TCGGCCTGCGAGACCGAGTGTACACCTTCCCGCAGTCGTCAACCTCGATGAGATACTGGGTGTACCGAAACCTGATTGGAGAAGCTGGATGGCGCACGTGCAAACTCTCTGTGCTCAACTTTGCGGGATCTGATGCTGGGTGACTGTGGTGAACTTCAAGCTCTATCGCATTTGCATGAAGTTCATGCTGTAACCATTCCGAGCGCCTGCTCGGCCCCAGTACATGCAAACTAGGCGCCCAATGGTGCCGCCATTCATCTCAGCCTGCGGTATCTTGACGACCAGTGGATACCTGTCAACGGAAGATAGAGGCTTGATTACACAGCCAATAGTCTGAACAGGCTCAAAATCTACATCAGGCCTCCCATAAGCACCCAGAATGTCTTGCTCGATCCTGGGCCGATCCATGGCGCAAGAGACGCCTGCAGCGAGGCTAGAATAATGGCACACGGTGAACGTCCAACAAACTTGGGGAATCTCTGTCCGTCTCACGGTTCATGGCTATACCCAATCAACTCCTTTTAACTTTAGTCCTGGATCGTAGGGCCGGAGGGCTACTCCGTAGCTGCCTTCGACGACAACGTGGCTACCCGGATCGGGTTTCGGCCAGGAGCTGGGTCTGTCAGGTGACGACTGTGTGGGCTAATGATGGCTGGTGCTGAGGGTGGTCAAGGCAGTGGCTTTGCCGTTTGCCGGACCAAGTCAGGACCATATCCTTGTGATCAAACTCCAAGTCTTGGGGTGCATCGTATCTTGGATCTGGCCCTCTGGACTCGGATGGGGATGATTTTCATTGTTTGCAGCGTTTTGTCTTGTGGGGAGGCTAGAGTGCGGCTTCTCTGCATTTCGCGACTTCGCGCCGCAGTGCAGCACTAAAAAAGCTAACCTGAGAGGCTGTGAGCCGGACAGCGAGCAAAAGTCAACACGACTCAGCTGCACAATGTGTGGGGTAAGTTGTTTGGAAGGAGCTACCTGTGGCTCTAAATAGGGGTATGTCGCGGGGTCCCGCCACCCGCCTGTTTACATACGTATGTCGCGGGGTTTGTCGCGGCTGTTTCGCGCTGTCTTGAAAAAGAGATACGAAACCCATGCAGTTCCAAGAAGGGGCTTGTCGCAAAGGCTTGTCGCGGAGGTTTGTAGCGGACTGCTTGTCGCAAGCAGAACGGCTTTGTTACAAACCCTATGTCGCGGAAAGACGCCCGGGAGCCAGTTGCATACCTAGACTTTTGAGCCGCACCCGGACCTTGCTACAGCATTCGGAACCACCGGCAGGTGTCTGTGGGCCAAATAAACAGCACCGCCTAGCGAGCAGCAGGTGCAGTAGTAGAATACACATATCTGTTCTTAAACCTCCTTGCAAAACATCTCGCTCCCAGCATGGCCCTGAGCCTGAGTTTTCGTTGTGTGCATGTTACATCGTGCGAAACTCCCTCGCGGGCTTAATGCAAGGGTACTCCGTGTTCACGCTTCGTCGGGCCCGAGTCTTGGCAGGCGTTGGCTTCTTCACAATCGGCGAAGACTTCGTTGTGGCCTTCACTTCGGCCATGAATGAAAGCCGAGACGAGAAAGTTGAGCTATTCGCCTCGGCTCGTCTGGAACAAGCAGACCACCCCGAAGGGAAAGTCGCCCTGGGACCCCCGCCGCACCTCCTGATACCTCCTGGGACCCGGCTTACAGGACACTGGGCTATGGGCTTGGGAGTGGGGTCCAAATGCTTTCGGTCCATGGTGAACCTAGCCTCGCCTCAACTGAGAACGAATGCCATCCTGAAAGTGCAGGTTGGTGGTCTCTGGTCGGCATCCAGCACCGGCCCATGTTTCCGTTCACGCTCTGATTGGCTACTGCTGCATCTGCAGCGGCTGAAGTCTTCAGCTGCTGGAGTTCGGAAAGCAATATTCTTCGAGGGCTTCGCGGCAATCGTCGTCTCAAAACTTTCACGACTGTGGCAAGCCCTCACCATCTTTCTCCCATGCTTCTGTCGTAGCTGGTGTGCCAGGGTATCCTCCCTAAGCACAGCTCTTTCGAGTATATTGGCCACTGGGCCCTCGGTATCAATTTGGGCATCTCACTATCTTCGGCGATGACTTTGCAGCCTCGCAGTATCAGTCCAAGTGGGGGCTCTGCTGCTGAAGGTCAGGCGATGGCTCTGTCACAACCTCTGTCGGCATGTTGAGTGGAGTTCTTGCACCGACATGCTACGTCGGATTTGTCATGTACACACCGCCTTGCAAAATGTCTCCAGAATCGGGCCTCAGGGCATCTTGGCATGCGACGGGCCCTGCTTGCCTAGAGATTTCGGAAGGAAGGGGCAACTGCACTAGCCACAAGTAGCGTAATCATGCTAAACAATTGCAGAGACACGCGCCTCATTTTCTTGGCAACTTGGTGGCTTTTGTGGATACATGGCTACGCCTGGCTACGCAGGCAGCTCACGGCTGATCAGCTGGCTCATAGCCAGCCCCAAAGCCTGCCGTTCGGTTGCCAAGATGAGTAATTAAGAAGGGTATGAAGAACTACTAACGATCTTCATTCAATTCGTGCTGCAGTCATGATGGCTCGCTGCTGTTACCCGGCTGGTTAGCCTTCTATCTTGCCCCCCAACCCACACACACACACAGGGATGCGCCCAAAGACCCTCCACCGTGGTGGCCCTGAAATCCCCTTCAGGATGCTCCAGGGACAAGGCCCAGGAAGCTTCGATCTGCAAGTCGTTGTGCAGGAGCTTCTTGACCACCAGAAGCCTGTGACGGATCTTGGAGAACCATCATACGAATCATAAGGACTTTGGCTTGGAGGAGGTTTTCAGCAAGAAATACCCGCCCAAAAGCGACCGGCGAATAACTAAGAATCCACGAAACGAAGTGATCAAAACTCTCCCTTCTAAGGCTCCAGCTCTTTGGCCTCCGGAAATCCAAGACCATTCAGGAGTATGCGGGCCTCGCGTGTGGAGACAGTATGCGTGTCTGCCGGGTCTCTGTGTGTGGGGGAATGCATGGCAACGGAGTCCAGTGTTTGTCTGTGTTTTTATGGCATGGCATACTGGTGCCCGATGCATTGTGGCCCTGCATTGTCAATTTCGCCTTCTTCGGACTTGAAGTTGTATCGGCCTAGTCCTATCCTGGCGAAGAATTTCATTCTGCAGAGTCCTGTGCTGGGTCTGTGAGGTCCTTGTCTTGCAGGCTACACACAGACCCTTTCCGACTCGGCTGGAAGTCCTGGAAAGTCAAGTCGAAGCAGAGCCAGATCAGCCTCTCCTGCGCGAGCCGGACTGGGGTCTTGCCCAGGGGACGTGAGCCAAAGTCAAGAGTTAAGAGGGCCAGGTACTGGGAGCCTATCTCCCCAGCCAAATGCACTGCAAGCCCGCCTTCGTGAGGCCTGGAAATTCCCGCGCTAGCCTCGGCACCAGTGGGTTTTGATGTATCCCGGTCTCCCTGAAGCTCCCTAAGATTGGGACTAAGGCATGGCACAGGCGTAAGTGGCAAAGGTTTCTCAAGAGTAGGTAGACGCAGTTCTGCCGGCTGTGCATCTGCTGTACCGGGTATATTGCAGCATGTGCTCAACGCAAGCTGCAGGCGGCTTGGTTTTTACAAGGTTCTTTTTGCGTTGACTGCACACAGCAGTTTTCAACACAAAACCATGAAGCCGCCAACGTCCTCCAACCAAGATCGCCCTCGAAAGCCAAGCTTGAGCCCATCTGGATAAGAGCCGGGGAGAATGCGCTTCAATCGACTGCGACGCAGCGGTGCAGGCGCGGTCTGGCAAGGGCTGCAGCTTGGAAAGAACATGCGTCGAAGCATTTGCTGTACAATCGAAACTATTGCTCGAAACTTTCCTCGTGTTTGTTTTAGGTGATCAAAACAGCTTTGGCACCACCTGTTTATCGCGTTCGCTCCGCCCACTACTTTATCGACCAAGAACTACAAAGGATGCACATTATCAAAATTCCGTAACCGTCAGTTTAACTTTAACTTTACTTGAACCATCTTTGAGAACACAAATGCTTGATATTTCGGCTGTTGAGCAAACAATGTTTATCAAGCTTGAAACATTTGAAAACGATCCGACAGATTTCATCAATCGAAATCATGCTAGCAAAGATTGAAACATCCTCAACATTGAATAGCTTGACGCTCAAGAACCTACTGTCAAACAGTTAAATAGTGACATATCGCTTTCACCTAGAACGATGTCATTGAAATCCATTAGCAACCAAATTCGTGCTGACAAATCTTGGACACAGTGTGTACAAATCTGTATCGTATTTAATGATCAAACAATATTCTTCCAAAACAGGAAGCCCAAAAACTTCTATCAGGTTCCATTGAGTAATGAAACAGCAGGCTGCCCTTGTTGATGTTCTAGTACCCACAGTAGCCCCGAACAGAACCTCCCATGAACCTCCCACATGCCCCCGCCGCAGGCCTGCTTGCACGGCGAACGTGCCGGCCTGAACTCGTGCGGAAAGCACACCCGGAGCTATGACGGATGCGTCGCGCCTGGGCTTCTGGAAGATATGGGGCAGGGGGGGGGGGGGATACGCAAGTCACCACGACACAGAGGCATTGCGCAACTCGGAAGCCGTGCATCCTGTCGTAGAAATAGGACTTCAGGATCACGCGCTGTGAACCTGCATGGAGTCAGGGACGTTCATGTGGGTCCACATCCAATGTGTCGGTGCACATGGGTGTCACTGTCTCCTTGGCAGATCTTGGCAGGCCCGCAGGCCCACTTTTCCCTGAATTCCTTCACTAACATCAGGTGAGACGATTGAAGCATGGCAGCACGGAAGCGCCTGGCTCTCAGAACAGCTAGACAGACAGCTCGGAGGCAACTAATTAAATGGAGCCCACTAGACTGATTGCCACAAGTTGACCGTGCGACCTTGTGCTGTGGTGATGCGAATATTTCACATTCCCACAGCTTGCCAGTACAGCAAGGTGAGTAGCTGGCATTCCTGCTGCATGCTGTGAAACACTGAAACAGGATCGTCTTCAACGTCTTCACTTTTGCTGAAGCGCGCTTGGCAGCGTCAGTTCCTTGTCTACGTAAATTTTGATATCTAGGGTTGGACGGTCGTTCTTTGTAGCCATCTTCCCGATGCGGATTATCGTGCGCATACCGCTTATGACCCTTCCGATGACGGAGAACTTGCCGTCTAGGAACGGCAGCTCACGCAGAGTGATGTAGAACTGCGATCCGATGGTGTCCTTGTCAGCAGGCTTCTAAAACCGTTCTATGAAGCAGCTCTATGAATACAGTACTATCAAAACCTCTGCTTTTCCAGAGCACCCGTGTGTTCGGGGGGACCGCGGCACTACAGTATTCCCCCCCCTGTCTGGTCCCCCCCTTGGGTCTCCTTGCCGTGGCAGCACATGCCAAGAAGTCCGGGCCGGTCGTGCGGTACGTGGAAAGACTCGTGCTGCAGCTGGCCACCGCCTGCTGCCTCGGAGTGCTTGCCCGAGCCATCTACAAGATCACCGGCTTGAACCCAGCATCCTGGCTTGACCCGGTGGATGGGGTGACCATCAAACTTGGGGTGAGAGAGTAGCTGGATGAAATTCTTCGCCAACTCGGGAGACTCGTCATCGAAGAGCTCGAGCTGGACGGTCTCTTTTGGCTCATCTCCGATGGCGATGGTCAGACCACAGTAAGATCGCCCTGTCGACTCTTTGACTGCCTTGATGCTCTTGTTGCCCACGCGCCTGTAGAGCATGAAATTCGTGTTATCCTGGTACTTGTAGGTCAGGGCCGCCCAATCCAAGAAAGTCTTCTCGCTAGCAAAATACATGATTTTGTCCAATGCCTCTGCGAAGATCAAGGGCGCGCTGGGCTTAGCCTGGGTGAAGCTCCCACCATAGTTCGCGACAAGGTGCTTCAAGTGCTGCTCGTACTGCGTCTCGAAGAACCCCTCCACCGTGGCATCGACGGTCTCCTGCTCTGAAGACAAGAAATCCACTGCGGCCTTCAGCAGCTGGAAGGTCGGGTCCTGGACAATGCAAATTGAACGGTGAGAGATGCTTCTGTTTCACCATTCACACTTCCGACTGTTTTCCCCGGAGCTCACAAATCGGTCCTGGATCTTGCCATACCTTAGCCGCTCACGTCCCTTCTCGATAACTGCAGAATGACGAATTGGACATTCAAGAGAGACATTGAAAGACTGAGCCTAGACTTGATGGGGCACTCCACTGCAGTGCAACACACTGATACCGACACATGCCATGTCACAGGAACAGGCGCACGGGTGGTGGCGGCTGCTTGTTCGCGGCCCGCTCCAGGGCCGCCCGCTTGGCCACGAGCCCCGCCGGACCAGTCATCTCGCGCAAAGGCAAAGCTCTGCAGAAAACGCAGGGCTTGGGCCACGCAGCAACAGCAAGACAAGGCACTGGTAGGGTGTGCTGGCACAGCTAACGGCACCTAACATGTGCAGTCAGAAAGCCTGTCTTGACAAGTTTGCACGCAACAGCTGCAGCAGCAGCACTGCTCGTTAGTGGCTCTGCGGGGCCTGTGCCCGGACCTGCCCAAACACCAGCCTGGCTGCAAACCCGCCGACTAGGAAAACAAAACAAGAGTCCCAAGCAAGCTGCTAAGAGCAAAGTGCGATGCCAGGCTGTGTCTTCGTCGATCCTAAAGCCAAGGCCAAGGGCCCGGCGAAGCTGCAGTTGCCGAAAGCCGGATTGCCTATAGGCATGTCGCGCTTCGCTTGCGCATTCACGCTGTAACGACATCAATGCCACAGCACTCCAGCTCCGCTTCACATGTTGCAGTGTAGCTTCTCTATTGATTGGGGGGGATCATCTTGCCCGAGAACAGGGAGGAAAAAAAACAAAGTTGAGCACTCTCTTTCCAGAGAGAGAGAGAGAGACAGAGAGAGAGAGAGAGAGAGAGAGAGAGAGCGAGAGCGAGAGCGAGAGCGAGAGAAGCTGTAGCAAAAGGCCCCGACTGGCTCTTCCGAGAAACTGCTCCTCTGCAGGGACTTTGGTTTTTTCCCTCAAGGGACGCTCTTCCCAATGTGCCCATCCCCTCATCCATCCCTAGGGGGCGTTCTAGGGGGCCCTATACAGTACAAGATAGCCCAAGACAGATTCGATCCAAGTTCAGTCCTTCAGGCCAGGCTCTTGCAAGCATGGAAGATCTTTCCGCAAAAGGAGATCCTCAGCATGCGCAGCGTGTGTGGGCCAACATCCCTAAGACATCCCCGAGCCCTCTCGAAACAGCTCACATCCCGAGGCTGCTCTCGGGTTGGAATCCGGATGCCACAGCTTGGCAACTCACATCAGCTCATGGAGTGCAGCCCTTCAGCTGCAAGAAGTTGGGACCCAGCTCATGATGCGATACCTAGCTAAATATGTACACATTGTACTTACATAACCTAGATACTTACAAAATGTACTGCGCAAGTGGCAAGTCTGTTTACGATTCTTATTACGCTCATCTTCTCTCCTCAACGGCGTAGGGCCGCCGACCGCAAGTGTCCAATTATTCTCCGATTCTCGATAGGGCAGACAGGGTCTCTTTTCCTCTCCCTCGCTCCCTCTCTCTCTCTCTCTAACTTTGGGGCGTCGGCAACCAATTCAGCGCACGCCAGCTTGTCGAGAGCCTTGGAACGGCACAGGCGATGTCTCTGCACAAAGCTTCGGACGTGCTGTGCGTCCACCGGCCTCCCCTTTGATTGAATCCCTGGGCATCTGGCTCCTTTGGCTTCCAGCTGCGTGCGGTAGTCACGCATAGACGCTTGGGCAGCGTAGGGCAGGCCTTGGGAAGGACCCGTGAAGGACCACTCCGTTGCCGCTGCAGCGACAACGAACTGACAACGACTGGCCACAGGACTCCGAGGAGTTGACAAGGATGTCGATCCAGCGAGAAGCCCGCCTCACTCTAATCCCTAACAGCCCTAGCAGCCTGTTTTGAAAAGCTCTCGACCTGCCGCTCATACTGTAACTTTACCATGCGTCACAAAGATGCCACGCATATGCCACGCGCATGCCGAGCTTTGCTGTCGTCACCACGGTGACTTTTGCATGGTGGTGTGGGTTTGGCGTGTCGCAACGGAGAGGACATGATTCACCGAAGGCAACTCTAGACTCTAGTGCTTCGGCAACGGCTCTGCTCGGGCCTTCTCGGCGTACTTGAAGCTCTTCACTTTGGCCTTGCCGCTGAGACTGATTTCTCCAACAGTCTCTGCGCCGCCCGGCGTGTTGTTTTGCTGCCAAGCAGCGGACAATACCGGGCAGCTCGCATCAGCTTGCACTGCATGTTCAACTTTTTTCTGCTTGGGGTTCAGGTGGAGGCCCTGCTATTTCACAACCGATTTGGGACACTCCACTTTTCTGGACACGAACTCGAGTCAAGTTCATGGCCTCTAGACTCTAGCCTGCAAGCGAAGCGGTTCTGCAAGTGGCTTGCTTTCGATGCTCCCGAACTCAGGCACACGCAGTGATCAGCCCGTAGCCGATGTAGCTATGCCTTGTATGCTGAGCTTCCTTTCATTCCCCGTGGCTTTCTTGCTAGTCGGTGCTACGCAGTTTGAGGTGAGAGAAGAGTTGAGAGAATTTGCAGGATTTGTGAGTTGAGGACATGCAGAGAAAGGAACCGCAACATCTTCCCAAATGCAAGCTCTCCCCAAACCAACAAAGGTTCAGGCCATGCATGGCCCCTCACAGGCTCTGACTCTAGGATGGGGGGGGGAAGAGAGGGAGCGCATGCGCCAGAATCCGATTCAACGCTTGTCCGGGCCTGTAGACGTGGACATTGCCGCCTGGAAGCGACATTGCGAGGAGCTGGGTTCGTCGGCTTCGTTGTCCCAAGAACTCTCCGTCCTTGTGTTCTGTTTAGGGATGGTGGGATGTACACGAGAGGAACCCTGGTTCCGAGCCCATGACAGTTTAGCACCAGAACGAGTCCGTCACATCTCATCGTACTCCGATTGCAGCGCTACAGCCTCATCGTCTACAGTCCCCCTTAGAGCCATCAGCCTCCAGGGTCTGAGCTTCCGGCTTCCAAAAGGCAAGCTGATTCTCTGGACGTATGCGTCCAGTTGCTGCCTAGGTGTACCACAAAATCCACAAATCCTTTCAAGGCTCAGCTCACTTTGTCAGTCAGGTCCCGTGCCGCTTCGCCCTGGAGACATCGTGATCTGCCAGGTAGTACGCCATCCTCGGCTCATTCTACAATGCATTCTGCTATGCGCTTGTGGATCGTCGCAGCAGCGTGCACTGCTTCGCAGCAATGCTGCACGTCCGTGAATGGCAGGCAGCCTCGAACCTGTGAGCAAAAAGAACCCTTTACAAGGATCCCTATACACCACCCCCCTCCCTCCAAAACAACAAAAGAGGTTCGGATTGGTGAGTGAACGGTTATCAGCCAAAGCATCTGCAGGGTTGCCCCTCCGAGGTCCATCACGGCCACGGGATCCCGCACCTGAAAGCCGGAGAAAAGCTCGTCTGAATTGCACAAGTCCCAGGTTTCCAACTCTCAAAGACCGTTCCCCAAAAAAATCTTTCATCTAGGTCTTCAAGCGACTCCAGGGCGAGTCCAGGATCCCTTTGCTTGGTCTGCTGAAGTAGGCTTTCGCATGCGCGAGTGGTAGGGCAGAGGACCCCGAGTCTTACGGGGCACCTGTGGGGCCTCTGAAATCTGAAGGGCCTGAGGCCCAGGCTCCCTGCATTCCGGGCTTAAAGACGCTCATCAGCATGTTCACCGTGAGCCACTCCTTAAGCATGGAGAGCTGCTGAAGAACACACTCTGAGGATCTTGGAAGGATCTTTCCGCACTTCGACTAATGAAGCCCTGCGGACGACAGCAAAAAGTTGCACTTCGCCCAGCGTCTGCAGCCGCCTCGGCGTCCCCGGACATGGCTTGCACACCACCATCCTCGTCGAGGTTCGGAGACCGGGCTAGGGGATGCAAGGTCGGCAGGGGATATAGGAATTAGGAGTGTCGCACTTCATTTTTCTGCCACATCAGTTATCCCGTGCTCGATCTAGCTGCGCTTTAGACTCTGGCATGTCTTGCTCTAGCCACGGCTGATCCTTCTTGCGACGGCTGCTGGTCACAGGCCCTGAGGCTCCCAGGAATTTCAGAGGACCCTAACAGCCCCCAAAACTCCCAAAAAGACAAACCCCCAGCTCCTTGAAACCAGCGAAGGACACCTGCTGCTTGAGCCCTTCCATGAGCTCCTGGACCTGCGGCGCGAGATTCCGCTAGATCTCAGGATCGGTTTAGGGAAGGTATCTCGTGCTTTTAAGGTCTGGTTTGGGTCCAATTTGAACTGTGACGCTTTTCCCAAAGTTTCACCGCGCGACGGGGCACGCCGCCCTATGAGGACAACCGACAAAATGGGTATCGAGGTCATTTGGGTTCCTTTACTACTATCCGTAAACCGAAACCGACAAGACGGATCTCCGAAACCTGAAGCTCCAAGCATCCAACCAAACAACAGGCATCCGGTGGGAAGGACGAAGTAAGTAATGCATCCCCACTCGCTTGCTCGCTCGCTCAGACGAACCGGCATGTGGAGTAGAAGAGGTACCACGGCAAGCACGTGCCTTGTGGAACCTTACAAATGACTGGCAGCCAGCACTTCCCTTCGTTGCAAGTAATTACACCCAGGTGATCAGCCTGAACCTCAAAATGCTCTGGCCGTGTGTCTTCAGGCATGCACTGCCCCCCGTGCTGGCAAGCCTGTGCACACAAGCCAGAGTACACTAACTCATCAACTCACGCTCCGGCCTGGTCCATGTCCAGCTGCTCCAGGGAGGTTGTAGCGCGCAGGGACAGCGGCGTCACGCCTCTCAAGCCAGGTTTCTGAAGGTCTATGCGCTTCTTATGTCGGAAGTGGGCACAGGCTGCGTTCCTGCGGGCTTGGGATTTAGACACCCGCTTGAACACGTGGATGCCTACGAAAGCCACTTCCAGTATCAGAAACAAACCTCCAAACCCGCAAAGGTGCGAGAACGTCTGGTGTCCACAAGTCTGCACTACTCTTCAGCACCATAATCAGATCTGAGGGCCCCTGTAATGGATGAACCCCTGCTTCTGCTGCCTCTGCTGCCCTTACTCAAGACGAGAAATCTGCTGCGGCCTCTTTGGGCGTGGGGCACCGCTGACACAGCTGCGTCCAAAAGCCTTCATTGCGTGCTGATAGCAAACTGAATAGCGTAGCTCTTGTAAGGGCTACAAACGGTTACAAGTAGTCGTTGAGATGCCCCCGCCTGCTTGCTTGAATGCTACGGAGCTTCTTTGCTTGCTTGCAGTGAGTTCTTGTCATTCACAAACCAAGAACCAAAAATCACAATAACGCGAAAAGGCGAAAAGTTCCGCACAAAATGTCGACACTGCCCGATGCTCGCCCAGCTCTGTGACCGCAGCCCCGCTGGCACAGTCGGCTCTCAGCATCTTTCATGCTCAGCAAGATTCAGCAAGTCTTGTCTGAGCATCTCTACAGTACAGCAAGCCAATCGCAAAAATGCCCACGCGAACCCGCCTTGCCATCTGCTGCCGCAAAGCACCTCAGGCGCAGCACTGCCGGTCTTGCAGTGCAAGGCAGCAAGAAACACTGCGGTCGTTGTGTTCACTGATTTGAAGGCCAAACTTAAGCGGCTAGATTATGTGATCGTGAAAGATTTCCGTGCAACATCCAGGCTCCGAGCTGGTGTTTTCGAAGAGGTCGCTGATGCCAGGCTCTTCCTCCTGGAAGACCTCTCGCTGCTTGACTTGACTTCTTTTTGCACATCTTTGCACAATCTTCCTAGCTTGTATCCCCCCTGACAGTACGGGAACGATTCCAAGATCAAGCATGCGTAGGATTGTATGTGGGGAGCTCACGCGGACCGCAGTAAATACTTGGGAAGCACGAGAACGCTTTCACGCCATTCGTACAAAACCCTACCAACCCTAGAAGCCCGCCCACATCCCCAACTACATCCGACTGCTTTTCGGCTCACGGTGTTTTTCATCCCTTCTCGTGCTCCCAGGGGCCGCTCCTGAGCTTGGCCGTCGATGTCCAGGAGCTTCATGGTCCAGGAATCGAAGCGGAAGATATTGAGCCGCGTGCCACTCGAGCCTGCGTCGATCACCACACCTCAAGGTGATGTCTTTTTTGTGGAAGTGGGGATACTAGTTGCTGTGGCGATAACTGTGGCAAGAAATCTCACCCTAGTTAAAGTTAGCGGAATGATACCCACGCAGTGGACTGCGGGGACTTTCTGGAACCTCAAATCAGGCATGCTCGATGATGCTTCATGCTAACTCCACAGTCCTACCGTACCGGCTTGTGCCTGCGGTCATCTATGCCTCTCGGATCCATGCAGACATGCTGCTGAAAACTGATGGCCCAAATCCACCAGTGAAAATGCGGAGGACGAAGAACGTGGAGCTGGTCAAGAGGAACATGGCAAACCGCCTCAGCAGTCGCGGTTTCTTAGTTTCTTTGCTGGGCAGCAAAGTACCAACACCAGCACCGCAAAGGAGACCTGCCCGATTTTTGTGTTTCGTGCCCTTCGACCCCTGAATCTCCCTGATGCTCTCGATGCTCTCGACTTTCTCAGGCCTCGAGGAGCCGCCAGCACCGAAACGCTCCGCGGAGACGGAGGCCACGAAGAGCAAGAGCCCGGCCATGTGGTAGCCTCTGCCAGTCGCAAGACTCAGCTTTGCTACGCTTTGCTACTTGCTGCAATGTGCAACAACTTTGAGGCTTGCAGAAACGTTGAGTGCTCCAGCATGCTTCGCATACCCTTGAACTCCGAACCGGCCACCACACAGTCTCGCCAGGCGACCGTTCCAAGGCTTGCCAAAGACTAGGAAGGATACGCAAATGGTGGTCACCTTTCCTGAGCAGCAAGAGATGCCGAAAGGGCTGCACGAGACAGGTTATCCTCCCCTGCTCATCATGGATTCGTAGCTTAACCCTGCCCAAAGCAAAACAAACGCTTCCCCGACAATCCCCCCTCCTCTGTGGACACCTCGAGTTCGAAGGGGAGGTCGAGTTCTACCCAGAGGGCCCGGAGGGGTGAGGGTGTCGAGGCTTAAGTTGGGCTCCAACTCCCCCAAGTATTTAGAACACAGGGTTACTGCACATTCCGGAGGAGGAGATTAAAGTGCATTTTGGTGTCGACAGCTCTTGACAATCTCCGAGACGGTGGCCCCGAAATGCTTGATGAGAAGCCTTTGCTGTGGCATTTGAGGTGTTCCGCCCGTGATTCAGAAGTCCACGACACTTGAGCTCGATGGATCAACAATCTAACTATTATAGAGCAGGACCTATCACACTCCCATCCCTTTAATGAGATGCAAATCTGTTGAGCCCTAATGAGCCCTGAATTTCACATTCTCTGATTGCGGAAGCATGTCGAATCTGATGGGGCACGATGGATGCGGAAGAGGTGCAACACGCCGCTCTGCGCCACATAGCCAAACAAGGAAGCCTGCGTAGAGAGCTACCGGCAACTGCTTCAACAGTTCACGCCCGAACCATAGATCGAACCATGCAAACGAGAAGGCGAACTCTGGGTCTTCCGTTTCGAGCGGGTGCAATCTGGCTTTCGCAGGGCAAACAATGCAGCTGAGGTGCGAATACAATCATTGGTACCTTTGATGGACCGACTTGCACCGCTTACAACTCTTGTGTTTGGCCGCTGCCGGCTTTCGTGGCTTTCATTCCCGGACTCCTGTTTCTGTTGCATCTCAAACTCCAAGCGAGCAATCTACCGATCCAGAAATCAAAGCACCAGGGCGCTGTCTCCCAGTGGTCTGCGGAGTGGCGCGCCGCGGACAGCAGCTCGCCCGTGAGCAGTGAGGCGATCACAGCCCAAACCTCTGTCTTCAAAAGATTGCGTTTGGAGCAGAGTTTGGCAGCTTATGGGTAAAGGACTACGGCTGGAAATAATATCTACCCCTCTACCGCTCTGCCTTGGCTGCCCGCTGTGCCGAGATGGTGCCGAGGGGCGCTGCCCAAGAGGTTGCTATATAGGACCACCTCGTTGGCCGAACAACCCATCCTCAGATCGAAGTACGGAGCTACCACAGAGATTTGGGAGGGCAAACCGACAAAAACAGAGTCTGGCAAAAACCCAGGCCTGAAAGTACCAACGTGGGGAGTCATGACGAGGCACTGAACGAAGAACCGTTTCTCCTCGTAACTGGCAGCCATCGCGTCGGCCAAGGAGCCCACGACAACGAAAACGATTCCGATAGGGTCGAAAAGAGCTTTGCCTGGCAGGTCACTTCTGAGACGATCTCCGAATAGGCATCAGCACACTCAACCTCGGGTAACAACAAACGTGTCGAACCTTTCGCATCCCCCAGCGTGAAGACGACCACACCTGCAGAATCACAGAAAGCCGAAGTGCTGATTGCTTCGCCCTGTACCACAAGTGCCTCATGAACCTCACAACTGTCTTTGCTGTGTTGGCTAGAGCACGGTCCCATGCACGGTCCAAATTTCAAAACGTCGGGTGTTGCTGCGCTCTGACAGTAGAGAGGCTTCGGGCCAGTATCATTGAGGCTTGGTGCAAGAGCAAACTTCTAGGCAGAACTCAAAGTTTTTGCTCTGTGCTGGCAGCCGGCCTGCAGTCAGTAAAAGGACAGCCATGTACTGGAAGAAAGTGTATCGCTTCTTCCTTTGCTGGCACGATCTTGCAATTGTATGGCCAAGGCAGGAACAATCGTCATGAGTGATTGCGGCTGGAGCCTTGCATGCCCTGCCTTGTCATCAACTTCTACAAGCCTGACTGAATAACATCAACATCGCCCATCCTACCCGGCCAAGAAGACCGGTGCAAAAGTGCCTCCAAGCCACAGGTACACCACACTCAGCACCATCACAGGGATGAGCTTGCTCGATTTGAACACAACTCTGAGAGGATAGCTGAGATAGTGCAAGCCTTGGCATGAGGCAAGCCTGCAAGTTGAACATGAACCACGATCCTCATGATGGACTCTCCGAAAGCCTTTGCGATTCTTTTGACGTCAGGAAGCTGAAGTTCGTGAGGTACATCCCGCCCATGGTGAGCATCGACAGCTTCAGGTAGTCATAAGCCGAACCGTGCAGCTGCCTCCCGGCGACTGCATCCGTTTCAGGTCAACGGTTCACCGCCCCCTTCACTTAAAAAACGAGCTAGTCGCCATGGATACAGAAAGATACTGTTGTTGCTTTATTTGCTTCCAGTGAGGACTTCTAACTACAGGCGGAGTAAGGCTTTGATCCACAGTGAATACAGTGATCAGCCAGGGCCCCAGACCCCCTTTCTGCATTGGGGGGGGGCCGGGGCAGCAACTTGTTTATGGGGCCATTGACCTGGGTTTCGCTGGTTCCGAGCACGCACAACGTCATCTTCCCCTGGAATGCAGACACCCAAACACGCAACACCAACACCAACCGAAAACCTCATGAGCCTTGACTTGAAGCCCTAAACCCCTCAAGCTAACATGCTGACAAGCAGAATTGTCGCTGTCCCCTTTCTCAAAACTCATTAGGCCAGAAGAATATTGCACCTGTCCCTTTCGCAGCGGCGCTCCACCAAAGAGAAGCCAGTGTACGAGACCGATGTGATCAGAGCCAACCATCCTAGCAGGGTTTGTGCTGAATTTTGGACTGGTTCGGGGAGGCTCAGGAAAGGTGATTCGCACACTCTGAGACCCGAAGCCCATCTAATCCGGGGGGTTAGCTTTGGGCTTGAGGAACTTTAGGGCACAAGGACCACAGGATTTGAAACCCCACCCTTCTCCTGTGTACCTGAAGCCAGGGACATACAAGACGCGCTCTTGGAGGCCCGCAAGGCAGAGGCTGCAGGATAGGACCTTGAGCAGCTTTAGGGCAGTCATTACGACTGGCTCAACGTATAAACAAACATAACACCTTGTTGAGTATACACTAATGTATAATACAGATATAAAAAAATATATATATATATATATATATATATGAGGATCCAAGCTCCCCCTGATTAAACTTTAAAGGTGTGCGCTGTCATTCGGATACTTTCAGGGCTTAGCGGAAGTTTCGCAGGGCCGAAGCCCTCTGCGCCCTGGGAGAAAATACAACGGGAAGGTCCTCACATCAGCCCAGGCGCGATGCTTGCCAGCAGGAAGAGCTGGCTGAGGCTCTCGGCGCAAACGCGGTGCAGCGGAAGGCCCAGCAGCCACAGGCGCAGCTCCCTGGCTGGGAGGGATAGCACAGGGCTTGGGGAAGTGTAGGGGTCTCAGGTGCTTGTCTAAGTGTGCTGGGGGAATCTTAACTTTTGGATTCTGTAAGGGTTCTACTGCCCAAAATGCGAGCAATAAGAGTTTATCAAGGTCCTAGGCCTGCGAATTCTTGTTTCCATGCCAACAGTTCACCCATACCTGGCTTCCGGAACTGCGCTCCAAAGGAATCCAAGACGCAGGCGAGATGCAGCAGGTGCTTGGGAACTGATGTTGTGATTGAGTTGTGTAGGACGGTTCTTTTTCTCTCTGCGAGTTCGAGACAGGAGATCAGCTCCTTGCCGGCGTGAGCTCTAGTCACGCTCCGAGTGCCAGGTGGCTGAGTTGCTGTACAGACTTGTACCACCTTAGCACCCAAACTCTGCACACAGCAGTACTCGCATATACTTCTGATCGCCGCAAACTGGGCTTCCTCGACTGGAAGCATCGGCTCAACGCTCATGTCGCCATCGCGCGCACATGCCTTGAACCAATTTATTGATGCCATTCACCTCGGCAACAGGCTGCATTGGAAAGACTCTGCCAACCACATGCCTGTCGTTGCCTCACCACTTGCAAGGTTTTGCCAAGCTGCGACGGGCGGGTGAGCAGCAAGCCAATCGCTTGCTCCAAGTCGCCACCTTGATTGAGCCCGTTTCAAAACCCTGGGCTCTACATCTGCACTGATCTCCTGCGTCACACCATCCGAATATGCAAAGCGCGGGACTCCCATGACGAAGATGACATTGCACAAATCGTGAAGCTGTAGATATCCGGAGTCGGTCCCGCTAAACGTGCTGTTCTCTGAGGAAGCAGCGCGACTGCTCGAGCGCCATCCTTGGTGAGCATGCAAGCATTGAAGCGTGGTCGCATAAAACTCAGGCAGGTCGACCTCATGCTACATTTACATGTGCGACATATTCCGCGCTTCACGACAGAAGTAGAAACACCCCTCGAAGCTCGCATGACGGCGCAGCCTGCAGCTGGTGGCATGAACTAAGGTCAAATACAAATGGTTGGTTTCTGCAGATCCTGATGCAGACCATAAGGTTCACTCGACTAGCGCTCAACAGAACTTGCCTTCTTCGGGCTCGAGCTTTTGAAACTCCCTTCACCAGGCACGATGTCCCCGACTGTCACCCAAAGTCTTGAAGTAATTGGTCCAACTCACGAAGCACACGAAAGCATACGAAAGCATCATACTATTCGTATCTCTTCGTGGTATGGCTATTCAGTGCTGCTAGATTCATCGCCGGGATGTCCTCGAAGCCCATCGACAGCAAGTGCTCCAGCGCCGCCTGGTACAAGTGTTGCAGTCTCCTCTTCAAAGCTCACGTGAAGGCCTTTGTGTCCTGATAACCTGTGTAGCCTGCGCAACCTGCCTGAAAATGACACACCAAAAACTAATGCCAGATACGATGTCAGAAAGAAGAAAGTGTTCATACCTGTAGAGAAGTTGAGCTGCAGATGGGCTGTTGTGAGTGCGCGGGCTGCCCCGAGCAGGCTGGCTGGCCATCGCAGTCGCAGGCGCACTGCTCGTGTCGGCCGCAATTGACGACGAAGAAGCTGCCTTTTTCAAGACATGAGCCCGCGACAAAACCCCTGATGCCGCCCTTCCAACATTTGAGTAGGGTTATCGCTTTTGGGCGGTCACCTTATCGTTTGCAGGGTTTTGGGACTATCGCATACAAATCCTAAACCCTACGCCCTAAACCCTAAAATTGAACCGAAGCTCTCTATGTGAAGCCATGTTGTTGGAACTATGGAAACAAGTCAAAAAAGTCACATTGGGGACATCTCCTCATTTCTCATTTTCCACCTGTGTTGGACTTCTGACGCAAGAGGGCTACAGTACAGCGAGTCTCTACAAGAACGCAAGATTCTCACACTGGTTTCTGGTCTATACTGACATACCGTTATCGCTTTTGGGCGGTCACCTTATCGTTCTGCGATAAACAAAAGCAAGTGCCTAATCACGAATATGCCCGTAAACTACTTTGCTTGACGGAGAGAAACGCCTCTGGCTTATCACGCTCGTGCAGAAGAGCAATCGCTTGCTCCACGTTTCCGCCTCAGTCAGCAGCACAAGTACGTAAGCAGCCTGCATTCCGTGACCACTGAATCGGTGGAGTATGATGCTTTCCCATGTACTGATGCTTTCCCATGTACGTTTTCGAAACCTTCATAACCAACCTCAAGCGATGTCACACCTAAACCATCACAGGATCGAACAGGCACAGGGAAATCCGAGGACCACGCGCGACTGCACAAAGGCGTTCCTGAGATCGAAACAGCCCATACTGCATGTCGTGAACTCAAGGACAGCATTTGCTGAAATTTTTGCGCCAGAAAACAGTATACAGGCATGTATGAAAGAGTTGTGACCAACTCCATGCTTTCGTACATGAACCGGACTGCAAAAGGAAGATTCATCGCTGCGCTTTCTTCGAAGCCCATGGACAGCAAGAACTGCAGCGAGTCCTTGCCAGGTTTGAGGGGGGAGGGCGAGGGGGGGGGGGGGGGGGGGGAATGGCGTTTGGTCATATAGTCTATTTCGTGACTATGTGCGTTCATAACCGTGCATCCGACAAAACAAAAGTTCTGTGTCTCACTTGGCTTCGACAACTTGAAGACAGGCTCAAGCTTTGGGCAGGTTCCCCAAGTTCTGTCATGCTGCAACCCACATACAAAATACCACGCATGCGCGGTAATGGCTGCCTTCGGATTCTCAGGATTCGATTTCTCGCTGCACTTAACAACAGGCTGCCAAGAATGGACGGAGTACCTGAAAACTTGCTAGGCTGGATATCCTGTTGGCTATTCACGCAAACACACCAGCACCAAAGCACAGACGCAGTTGAGTAGCAGGTTTATCGTCATGAGCGGGTGGGCTGCTGCGCGTGGGTGGAGCTGGCGACGAAGATGCCTGAAGTCGATTCTCCACAAAGCTCTCCCAAAGGGCATGTTGAGCCCCTAGAACCCTGAACCCTAAGCCCTAAAGCCCTAAGCCCTAAAGCCCTAAAGCCCTAAAGCCCTAAAGCCCTAACACCCTAAAACCCAAACACCCTAAAACCCTAAAACCCAAAAACCCAAAAACCCTAAACCCCAAGCCCTAAAACCCTGAATCTCTGGGAGCCCGGGCGGCTTTCCCACATCCTGCGCCGTCTTCCGCGCTTGGGCCGCTTGCGTTGCCTCGACCGGGCCAGCGCTTCGCTTTTCTCTAAAAAACAAAATCATACCAGACGCCTTATCTAAAATTGATCATATTGTTTCAATTTTCTATGTATATATAGTACATACATAATGGTGCTTTTCAGGCAGCCGTCCTTGATCTGCAATGGGAAGTGCAAGAAATTGGTCCTGGAGGTGATGGCAACGAAGAAGGTTAGCAGCTGAAGGTCCAATCAAGCTTCGTGGAAAGCGAAGTCCCGAGTAAAATCGCACAGAAAATGAGGCTGGGGTGTTTATGTACCATCCTCAAACAAACCGGCGGACCCCTTTGCTTGGATGAAGTTCTCTGCACTCCACTCGCAACCAGAAACAACGTCGAAGAGTTTCCTGGGTTAGCTGCACAGCCAGCAAATGTATGCAAAGGTGTGTCCAGCATGTCGGGCATTCAGGCCCTTACACGACGAACTCGCTGATTGCAGCGTTATGTGATGGTGGATTCAAAGGTTCGTGCTGGAATGTTTGCTCTCGGTATAGCAGGCTGCTTCAGAGTCTTTGCTTCCGGCCGCAGCAAACTGCAAGGACCTCCGCGACAATGTAAAGACGACGCGACTATTTCTGACAAACAGTCAACATGCTGCAAATACCTCACCCCTCTCCTTTTGCCGATTAGATCACAGTCCGACAATCACTCTGTTTTCTTCATTCCGTCGAACTCCATCAACCTCCTACTGCCCTGAACATACCGGGGTCCTCCCAAAGGCTCTCACTATCACTGTCGGAGTCTGAAGAAGAGCTGGAACTCGAACTGGAACTCGAACCGGAGGACCTGGAGCCACAGCGCATGCACGGTCTGCGGGTGAGAGGAGATGGAAGAACTGTGAACCAAAGTGGCGCCGCAATGTGCGCCTTCTGTCTGCATGGGTACTAGGGACCCCCAGGTCGGACCCGTTGCTTTTGAAGAATCCTCTGGGTCCTGACGTCCCCTCAAGTGCGACTCAGCAGCTCGGCAAGCGGAACTACGGCCTCCGAGGTCGAGGTCGTTGCTTTTGGGCCATCGATTCTCGACTCCTGTCGCAGACTTCGTTGGAGCAAATTTGGCTGTATGGATGTTATGATGACTGATGATAGGTTGGTTAGCAGAAAAAGATTGTCATATTCGGCTTGTTTGGCATGTCTATAGGGTTTAGGGAAGCTGCGTCAGCGGGTACTCAAACTGCACAGCCGTTCCTTTCAAGAGCTATACAGAGATATACTATTCCTGCTCTTGATGGCTGAAGCCAATCTCCGAAATTCCCAAATTTGCCGACACCTCTGAAAGTCACTGCTCTGCCTCCTGCACGCCGCTTTTTCTTCGCTTTGGCGGACGCCTTCAGCATCCAGGCTGCAAGGGTTCAACTCTGCAGTTTCACTGATCCTGCATTGGGCATTACGCAGACAATGTGCTTTCAGTTTCCGTTATGCCTCGTTGACATCTTGCACGTGCATGACTTCGAGCTGTCTGTGACACAAAGGAAAGATGTCGAGCAAAGGCACGAGGGAGCAGGCGGAAAGCTGTTGCAAATATGTGAGCGGCTGTTTCCTTATAATTCTTGCTCCAGGTTTAGGTTCGCAGGATTTTCGGCTGAAAGCAAGGGTCCGTTTGGGACAATGTAGACTAGTGATCAACATTCATCACTCTTGGAAGCCCATTCAGTGCAAAACAATATCTAGCTCGTGCAACTCTGAGAATTGATTAACGTATTGGGATGCTCTAAAACACAAAGCACCGGAAAGCCCTTTGAAATTGAAAACTCCTCGAAACATGCGAATGCTCCACGGCTGCGGCACATACTGGCATCGTCGTTTGGCTCGCGCGTCGCGTAGAGGTCCCGCTTGGTCTTGGGTGGCGCCGCAGTCAGGTGGACCTCGATGCCGACAAAGGTGTTTGCTTAACAGCTTACGTAAGCTGAGTGAGTTTTGTCTGACTGAACTCCACATGACTCCACTTTTTGGTTTGTTGGGGTGGGCGGGCGCAAGCGCACGTGCGCACCAATGCACGCACACGAGCGCACACTCGCACCGACCCACAAACATACACACACACACACACACACAAACAAACACAGACATGCACACACACACACACACACACAGACACACTCACATCGCCCTCAAGCTCCCGTGACTGTGACGTGAGTTTGATACTGCTTCAAATTCATTTGACTGCTCCGTCAAGCAAAGTCGGATACCTCACCACACTGCGCCTCTTCGCGAAAGTACTTCTGTCGCTCCATCTCGCGCTCGATGCGAACACCCTGCCGCAACATGGAAATCATGCGAAACTCCGAACCTATAGACGGCGGGGCCATCACATTGACATGCAGCGCAACGTCGAGGCGCAGCACCGACGCAATATCCTGCCAATCCTGAAAGCGCCTCAGGGCCACGGGGCCAAACCCTAAACTTTCCTAACCTGAAGCAAATTAACCTGTAAATTCCCTCGCCCTGAAAAGCCTCAAGCCGAAGGACCCACAGACAAGAAATTGTCAACAGACATGCTAAACTGCTGAAGAGCCTGCCTTTGGAATGTACAGACACTTTTGGAGGGCTGCCCTGCAATAACCATCCGCCTCTGGTGCCAGCTCTTCGCCTGTCAAAGACGCCAACTGCGAGGTGGAGAGCGAGCCATCCAACACCTGTCGTCTAAGCTTTCTTCAGGATGTGCATCAAATTGTGCCGCCTAACCAAAGGAGAGCTGGGAATCCTGCTCAAACCCATCCTGACACATTCAGCGGTTTCCGGCCGGGCCCTTATAAGGAAAAAGAAGACAGCCTTCGCAAGCAGGCGGTTCTCGGGGCGGCTGAGGTTCACGGATAAGCCTTGCAGACTCAGTCGAGTACAGGACCATAGCAGCCCACGGGAGAAATCGCGTTGCTACCGATGCGATGTCACGACGTGTAGCTGTGACCTTTCCACACGATTGTCGAGCTCCATCCTAGCTGAGCTCACTGTCAATTTATAATTCAGCTCCACATTCCGCTGGTCAGTTTGAAAGAATTCCGCAGACGACAAACCAGCCAAGATTCTCCGCGCCCGTTGTCGATACTCCTTCAGATTCTGGCCAAACTGCCGGTACAAGGAGATCTCGATACTGGGCGACACGACATGCAATGACGACATGCAATGACATGCAACGAAGGTGCTTGACAACTCTGACGCGAACCAATGCGGCCCAGAGCACTTCTTGCACGTTTCGAAGTGAGCCTGGCCATGTTTCTTGCTCGTGGCGCGCATCAGCATCCTTGGAAGCTTCGGTTCGTCATGGATCGTGGCGAGAGGGCTTAGACTTGGAAAAGCCTGCAAGATCCTGCACAGCGACTGTCTACCTCACAGTGCCGCCATTGGCTCCCCACGACTTTGTTGCGCAGCATGTCGACGTCGCCTTCGCCCTCGCCTTCGCCGCTGCCGAAGGCCTTGCTACGTAGGTTTTACTAAAGGCACGGACTGAATCTGAATCTTCCGGTCCTGCACAACGCTGAGCCCTGTGAAGCTCTTGCTACCCCAACCCCGAAACCCTGACGCGGATCAGAAGCTCTTTTCATAGTTTGCCGCGGCCACAAGGCCCAGCGCCAGGGAGACAGATTAGAGAGAGCCACTTCAGCTAGTTATGCTACGATGAGGAACGAGAAGTCCGTTGGGTTTGGGTTGGTCAGCGGAACCGACTTGCTGTCTAACTTTTGATTGAGCCCCGATGCCCCAAGCCCTAAGCCCACAAGAGCCACCCCAAACTTCCTCAACCCAACAGTCCTAAACTGCCGTACAATAGCTGCCCAACGAAAAACTTTCTTCTACGCCCTAAAGCCATACAAACCCTGCGCCACATCATGTCTGCCCTCGGCCTGAGGGGTCGGAGACTTCGGCGCTTCCTTGGGTTTCGCCGCTTCCTTTGGCACCTTGCGCTTCGACGCCGGCACGGAGGACCACTTCCTGAGCTTGGGGCCGAAGCCACGAAGCCCAAAACGTAGAAGGAACAAACAATGCAAGGGGGATCGCAGACGCTCAGAGACCACGGGAAGCCGTTCACAATGTTGAGAACGGATTCTCCGGGGTCGCCCTGTATGGTATCAGGCAAGGGACCAGGCAGCCCAGGCAAAGATGAGCCAGCATGGATACGGACACCCTTGATTTAGGGATGACCAGGGGGGTTTAACTTTTGCGTAGAGTGCTCAGTAACATTCGGCATCTTTTCGTGTCTGGTTCGGGGCAGTCGAGACCTTCGCGAGTGCCGTCGAAGGAAGCCCCAGAAAATAAGCTGGACACTGAACCCTGAACAAACCCCGCTACATCCAAACCTCAAAAAGCATGAAGGTACTTAGTAGCACCATTGCGAGTAACCAAATCCCAGTGCCCAGGAGCCGGATGAGGGCCGTGAGCCGGCCCCCCAGCGCGGACCCCACAGCCCCGGCAGCCAGGATGACCTCAGGCTGCACGCAAGGCATCCTAAAAATGTTGGAGGCCTGCTTGCTTGCGTGGGTGGGTGCGTGGGTGGGTGCGTTTGCTTCTGCCGATGTGTCCAATTGCAAGCAAAGGGTTTGGACATCTTCAGGCAGGTCCCTGAAGTGCTGAGCAAGCACTCTCGACATATAGATGATTTCCGACACAGGATTCGTGTCTAGATCAGAAGTTCAGACTCGGAAGTGTTGAAATTTGATTTACAGGGGACCCCTAGAATACACCCCCAAATAGCAGGATGCCATTTCGGCAAGGACCCCAATAAGGTAGCCCTAACTACGTAAACCTCCGTATGTTCGTCATAACTCATCCCAGATAGCATGGAAGACATATGGGTTCGACACAGTTTGACATCCACATCTTGGGCACGGGACGTCTGCGTTGCTTGCCCCATTTCGAAGGCCGGCAGCCGCTACCTTAGGTCTTGGAGGCCATGAAGACGCATGCTAGAGTGCTAGGGCTTTGCAAGGTGAAAAATGCTCTGTTGCTGAGGTCCAGGAGCCCAGGGCTTGGGGTTTAGCGTCACAGTCGAGAAGCTGCCCGGCCACTGTTGGAAAGCCTGGAATCCGTGACTTGAATGCAGCAGTCGGTGGCTGAGTCACGCTGATGGCGCTAAGTCAGCTAAGTAGCCTCGCATCCAGTGCTTCCATTGATTTCACCACATCCGTAGCTGCCTTCTCTGCCACTGAGCAGTCGACATTGGAGGGTGTGTGCATCAAAGCGTCCACGGCAGCCTTTACCAGGGTGCTGAGCTCATCGGGACTGTTTTTGAGCTTGGCACCCTTCATCTGGTCCAGGTCACGTCTGGACCGGTCAAGCGCAGCGCATGCCTCGAAAGGCTGACGATGCTCCTTGCTGAGATCTTGCCAGGCCGCTGCCAGGGCTTTGGCGATCCTCTCGAAATTCAAGGGTGAGTCCTCGATACCGGCATGTGATATCACATCTTTCCGTCGCGTCATAACGAAGTACAGATAGGGATTCTTGGCACGCTCGCCCTTGAGCTTGGGCCGCTTGCCATCCTTTTTTGGCTTCTTCTGACCCTTTTTGTCCTTCTTATCCTTTCTACTGCCTTTTGGCTCTTTGGCCGCTTTCGTTGGCGAGGTTTTCTTCGTCAAGCGCTTTGAAACCTTGGCTTCCTTCTGGCTCTGCCGCCCCATGGCTGGAAGGCATCCACAATGTCAAGCTGTACTAGTTTGTGAGTCGTAGGACTGGGGTGTGCAGGGGTTGCGACTGGTTGCAGCTTGCAATCATCAAGAACTGAGGAGGATCTTGAGCAGCACTATCAGAGTGCTCTTGCTTAAACAATTACGCTCGCGGCTGCGCAGAAGATTCGTGTTGCTTCATGCAGCAACATGGATGCCCGTGTATGTCTGAACTAGACACGGCTACAGCTAGTCCACTTCACCACAAGTCCGAGAAGGCTCCTCGCCCATGGGCCCGTACTGTCCGCAGAACGCTTCGAAGTCGAAGGTAAGCCAATAAGCCGTTTAAAATCCCCTCATCCACCCGTCACTGCAAAGCTCAGAAGACCCTCAGGCCACCTCTCGTCGGACGGGCTTTCCTCGAGTCCCATGGCCCTCGGTCATGGCCCGGGCAGCGGAAATCCACAGCGGCTCGGTTTACGGGTGTTGTAGGGCTGATGACTTCAGGGTGAGGTTTCTTAAAGGGCTTAGGGCCTAGGGCTTTCAAGTGGTAGCTGTACAGTCGTGCACGGCTAGGGTGTGAGGTTGTTGGGGGCCTCGGCGGACCGATGGCATGTCGCAAGAAATTTTGAGGAAGAATGAGGACGGCTCTGTGGGTTGAAGTGTGGAGAGCGTATTTGGGATGAATGTGGCTGAATCATAGACATGTCGGCCTCTCCAAGTGCACCGGTGTGCTCAAGCCCAAAGCTGCAACGGCCGAGTCATGAAGAATTGCTTTGAGAGCTCCGACCAAAGCCGGTGGTGCCTGGCAGGTTGCGAACTTCCCGGATCATGTGACGACTAAATTGACTAAATTGCCACTAAATTGCTGTTTTCGTGTGCTCGACTGTTTCATTGGGGAAAGGGGACAAGGCGTGGATCATCGCCGTGTCAAACGTGGTTTTCGTTCTGGTCAAGCACAAACGGGTGGGTAGAAAGGAGGTACAGTAGTAGGGCAGGAAGAGAAGCCACAAAACGTGCAGTCCATCGTTGTGTTTTGCGTTTGCAAATTCTGCTGTTCACATGTTCTTGATTCTGGTCTCGGCATTCGCGAAGAGGACGAGAACGGGAGCTCGAGCGTCAATGCCGACCACGAGGCCAAGTAGCTCTTCCAGTACTGGGTGGCAAGGATCCACATCTGCTGGGGGCGAAATGGGCGCATACTGGCCCCATGTCGAACATCAATGGATGGATTCGAAGGCAAAGGTGCGATGAAAAATCGACTGCTTGCATGCTCTCGACGGGGCTGAGTGTCGCATCGTTGCGATCGATGGCACGTCCAGAAGTTGGCACCAGGGAATCTGCGCGCCCCAAGCCATGAGGCAAGTAGACAACATGCGAACAAAGCATTGTCACTTCGAACACAAGTGCTGATTGAAAGCGCTTCGGTGTGGTTTCAGACGCATCCCAGATCCCCTAATCATTCAGCCGGCAGCCAACATTTTCAGATCAGCAGCAAGTGGGCTCTCAAGTTTACGGCTGATGTAGAGGCACCTGGCATACAGCAAGCGATTCGTTTAGAACAGATCAGATGATCGCTTTGTCGCAGGATTGCTGACCTCTAGCGCTCCTCCGACAGCCAAATCGCTCGCAGCGTGGCCGAAATAGTCCTGGGGCAGTTTGTTGACTCTTCAACTTGAAAAATGCGTAAGGTTTCGGGCCAGTCCTTTGTACTTGCCAACACTCGGAAGCTCTCGTGCCCCTCGAGAGCAGGGCGGCATATACGAGAACGCTATCTTCTCAGACTTCCGCCATCTCAGGCTGCAGCCATAAACAGCTTGCACACATTGCGGTGACCAGCCTGCCATGTAGGACATCTCTTCACAACGATATCCGAATGGAACGTGAAAAACGAGAAACACGACGGCCTCTGCAGCCGCATGCAAGGCATTCCGGCCAACGCAGTCCTTCCATGGACACGTCACCTGTTTCACCTCCTACCACTGCAAACTCGAGTCGTCCTGCGCAGTCACCACAGTGAATCGCGGATGAGACAGCAACGCGTGGCAAACCTGCAGCCATTGAATGCGAAAGCATAGGTATCCTCCACAGCTGTGCGCTTCATACTCGACCTGTCGCACTGGGGCCTCTTCGAAGCCGTGTGCTGCACCCAAGTGCAAGGCAGTCCAGCCTTCGAAGGATTCCACCCAGGAGCCCAATTCACAATACATCAAGCTTTGACCCTGAGGCAGCCGATGGACTATCAGTTTCAAAGAGCCCCCATGATCAGGGCAAACACTTCGCAGCCCAGAACATGGGGCTTGTCTTGACCAGAAGCTCACCTATCGCGATTTTGCACCAGCTTTTCCCCAACCTCCGGGGTGGAAAGCCTAAGGAACAAAAGCCACTACGACTAGGACCGACTAAGAACATCCCAGCTAGCTCTGCGGAAACGGACTCAAGGAGCTCATGTACCTCAGGTCCTCCAGCGCATGGATACAAACCACTGCTGTTAACGCCCACCTCGGGCAGTTCTTGCGGCCACCTGCCAGCAGGGATGAGACAATGCGATGAGCCATTGTTATAAGAGCACTTCAACCCTGACCCATAATCCCACTCCACGCCTCAACTCAGACTGCAAAGACTCCTACTTGCACCTAATGCCAAGGAGGCGAGGATGGATGGCCGATAGCGGGAAAGGCGGGAGGGGATTCTGATGCAATTAGGACCACTACAGTACAACCCTCATCGCCCTGAGGTAAGAGGAGTCCTAGCCCAGGTGGGGCAAGCCGACCCTCGCGCGGACCTTTCTAGACAAGATGCAACACACCACAGGGCAAGCAAAAGAACCCCCCACGGAAAAAGCAAAATTATTTTACTTCGACATCCCCACCTTGCTCCTCGTTAAAAGGAAAGAGCGCGAATAAGATGTTCAAACAAAAACACATTGATTCAAATACGCTTTCTTGCAATTGGGGTTGGGCACTCCAGGAGTCTCTGGAAATGGGCACTCCAGGGAGTTTTTGGGGTTGGGCACTCCAGGGAGTCTCTGGGTTTGGGCAAGGAGTTTCTGGGGTTGGGCACTCCAGAGTCTCCAGGTTGGGCACTCCAGGGAGTCTCTGTTGGGCACTTAGGGAGACTCTGGCATTGGGCACTCCAGGGAGACTCTGGGGTTGGGCATTCCAGGGAGACTCTGGGGCAGGTTGGGCACTCTGGGGTTGGGCACTCCAGCGAGTCTGGGGTTGGGCATTTCCGGGAGTCTTTGACGTTGGGCACTCCAGGGAGTCTCTAGGAGTAGACCGGGCGAGGAGAAGAGTTCCGGGCGAGGAGAAGAGTTGAGTTTAAAATCTAACAACCCCACACCGAAGGTGGGGAACAACTGCCAAAAGACAACCAAGTTCTAAGCATTGAAGGCCTGTAACACTGCCCGAAATGCTTGTTGCCTAGCTATGCTGCTATGTGGCTGGCGGTACATCCCGAACCTCATTAGCCTTCATACCTTTCAATCTCAAACTCGTTTCCCTGCTCGGCCTCGGTAAAGCTGGGGTTGGCTAGGAGAAGCTTGCAGGCAGTGGCATAGCCCCCCGAGGCCTTAGACCGTCAGGCCCGCGTCAGACGAAGCACTGATCCGCACGGGTGTCACTCACGGATGTCCCTCACTCCGAGCGCTCCGCGGCCCAGTGGAGCGCGGTCCATCCATCCTGTCGAGTAAGCACGAAAAAAGGGCTTGTTTCCGATGTCAACCGACAGATCTCGGGTGGAGTGCTGCCCCCCTCAAGACAAGGCCCCGAACACTAAACCCTAAAACCCCTCAAGGTTCCAAGCCCTCCACCCCCTAAACCCCGCAAACCCCAAGGCCTGAGGGTGGTTTGCTTTAGGGTTGGCTCAGGGTTTAGAGTAGCCCTCAGCCTGAACCCCTAGACCCCTAGACCCCTCGACCCCTCGACCCCTCGACCCCTAGACCCCTAGACCCCTAGACCCCTAGACCCCTAGACCCCTAGACCCCTAGACCCCCTAGACCCCTAGACCCCTAGACCCCTAGACCCCTAGACCCCTAGACCCCTAGACCCCTAGACCCCTAGACCCCTAGACCCCTAGACCCCTAAGCCCTAAACCCTAAACCCTAAACCCTGGAAAAACCCTCAGTCCCTAACACCCAAAAAGGGAACTTCAGACAAGCAGTTCTTGAAAAAGCAACCCAGTGGTTTGAGGGTTGAGGGTTGGGGTTTAGGGTTTAGGGTTTAGGGTTTAGGGTTCAGGGTTTAGGGTTTAGGGTTTAGGGTTTAGGGTTTAGAGTTTAGGGGCTTATGCTAGGGGTGGTTTAGGGGCTCAAGGCTCTGGGAGACAGGGTCTTAGGGTTTAAGGGTCTAGGGTGGGGGTTTTGGGGTGAGGACCTGGATGTTTAGGGGATGTTATACATACATATATATATATATATGATTCAGCCCCGGCGGGCCCCCCCCCCCTCCCCCCTACCCCCCCCCCCCCCCCCCATGGTACCCCCCCCCCCCCCCCTGTGGTGTGTGTTGGGGGGGTTTTAGGGTTTTAGGGTTTAGGGTTTAGGGTTTTTAGGGTTTTTAGGGTTTTAGGGTTTTAGGGTTTAGGGTTTAGGGTTTACGGTTTTAGGGTTTAGGGGGTTTAGGGTTTAGGGTTTAGGGTTTCCCCAGCGGATGGGGTACTAAGATGATCCCCCCCCTGTGGTGTGGTTGGGGGTTGGTTTTAGGGTTAGGGTTTAGGGTTCAGGTTTTAGGGTTTAGGGTTTAAGGTTTAAGACTTAGGTTTTAGGGTTTAGGGTTAGGGTTTAGGTTTTAGGGTTTAGGGTTTAGGGTTTAGGGTTTAGGGTTTAGGGTTTAGGGTTAGGGGGGGTAGGGTTAGGGTTTAGTTTAGGGTTTAGGGACCGTACAGTAGACTTGGGGGGGGGGGGGGGATACCATGGGGGGGGGGGGGGGGGGGGCCCAGGACGCTCGACGCTGAACCATATATATATATATATATTATTACATTCACTGGCATAGCAATTTTGTAGGCTTAGACCAGCATGCAGAAGGCATGCTGTGGTATCTTCTGAACTAAAACCCAAGCCTAGCTGACACCAAGCCTTTGAAGCCTGAGATCATCAAGCATGCATCCTGCACAGACATGCAGTGGCGTGGTTGTGGGCCTTATCTCGGGCACCCTCCGCGATAAAGCGGGGATGCTCCAGCAAGGCCTGGCCGGGATGCCAATAGCCTAACACCTAGCTTCATCCCAGCAACTCTAAACACAGCACTTTGCCCCACTGTGTTGCTGGCCTGGCAAGCTGCTGGGTGCCCCTGCATGGCTGCGTGGTGCAAACCTGACAGTGTCTTGGATCAGAAACTGAAATGCATGTCATGATATTCCCGCAAAGCAAGACTGGAGGCTGGAAGAGGGCCTGTGTGTCCGTAGTCGTCCGCTGCCTCAGATGAACCGTGCATCAGAGCTCGGAGCTCAGAGACCGTATCACAGAAACACGGTTCTTGCATGCAGAAGTTCGCTGCATCATGCTGCATCCATTTTTGCCCCGCCATTCAGCTTCTTCGCGTGAAACTCCTAAGTTGCATCACTAGTATCTACTCGTACCTAGGGCTGAAGGGCTTGGCGGCTCTGTTCACAGCCTCCTCCCAGAAAGGATATGCAGCTTCCTGGAGAGCGCATGTCACCGCACACGACTCTTCCTTTCCCATGCCCCGCAGAGTGACGTGCCCTGGCCTGCAGAGGACACTTATTCAGGGCGATGTTATCCGAGTGTTTCCTCATGACCTGGCCGTGGATTGCATCTAACAAGTCGCAGGAGTACGAAGTCCGTCATATTCGTCCGAAGCCCTACAGCGCCTTGACTATCCGCCTATATGCATGCAGCGTTGGTGCAGCAGAAAGGAATCTTACACTGCAAGACTATTTTGGGATTGGCTTCCTAAACTGGCATGATACATGACACTATCATGTAGATGAGTTTCTTCATAATATGAGCGGGACATCATAGACCGGAATAGACGCTCTTTTTTCGCATGGTATATCGAATTTTGTCAGGGTATCCCTAGTCTTTTCTTGCCATATTGAACTCTGCTGGCACGACTTGGAACGAATAATACCTGTCTCACAAAAGATCAGAACCTGCACCAGAAGGACATGCCCGAGCACCCCTCGGGTTTGTCAAATTGTGTACCGAACTGTAATTCCGTTGATCCATCAGTCGGTGAGGCGACAAGCGCATATCTAAGTGACAAAACCGGGGGGGGGGGGGGGGGGGGGGGCGGCATTTCGGCACCGCACGCGGCGGACATGAGCTGAATGCGTGACAAGCGACTTCGGCAGCCTGCAACACAGAAACAGCAGCTTCACTCTGTGAGACTTGGTTCCTGATGGTTTGCGCCTGATAATGAAGACCAGCGACCCACGCTCCCAAATCTTAGCGTCTTTCAACAAAGCTGCTGCCAGTCAAGCCTTTGCAAGGACCGCATCGCAGCCGTCCGGACATCGAAGCATGGAGCTGCCAAAGCTCTTCCGGCCCTGCACGCGATGTAACGGAGAAGCTTCGTGTGACTTTCAGGCTAGGAATCTCCTGCAACTGAACCGGTACCACTGGCTCGGAGTTTGGGAATGCGTGAAGCAGGGGGGGGACTTCAGCGGTTCTGAGGCTGGTGGTACAGGTGTTCAGAGTACGGTGGAGAGCCGGTATCCCAGAACCATGCCAGTCATGCCCGCGAAAGTTCCTCGATGGAAAGGACTTAAGGACTTCTTGCAATTTTGGGGCACACTGTGGCACGCCAAGGCCGCGTGCCTGAAGAGCTGCCTCATAGCGAGCGGACAGTTTCGCCACCTCGCCGTGGGTCTGCATGGATCTGTTTTGCATGACACCCTCTTCCTGTCGGCCACTCTGCAGCACACCCTGGAGAAGGCCTCTTCCTTGAAGAGCCCCGCCAGATCTTCCTCCTCTGTGGGGTCTGTCCTTCACAGCCAAAAGCGGCCAAGCGTTGACAATGTCACAGGGCGCAACGCTGCAACATGTCCTGATGTTGAAGAGCTTCCAGCGCTTGGGCAGCACCCAGCCAGGTCCAGCAGCTTGTCCGTCATAAGTTGCCCTGCAAGTTCTGCAGAGCAGCCGTTTCAGCCCAAGACTGCAAAGGCAACAAGTGCCGACACGAGTGGCGCAGCAGTTTCTAGCGCAGCAAAGTAAAAAAGCTTGTCAAGTTGTGATAAGCATGACCACGAGGGACTCACTGCAGAACCCCACAGCAAGGCCCAAGCAGAGGCTACAAGCCAAGCAACGACTGAGTTACCACGGTGCGCCACAGTTATGGAAATTGCTATTTCAACTCTCTGATGCGTTGTTGATTTCCCATCGATGAAAATGCTGGCTACGTCTGGCTCACGGACGGCATTCGTCTCATACAGTAACCCCCTCAGAGCGCCACCATAATCGCTCATAATCCGCTCATCCCGTCACAATCCCCTCCATAGATTTCGCAGCCAATTCTATCTTTTGATCACCGATTGCCCCCTCCAAGACCTGGCAAGGCCACGATTTTCCAGCAGGCCTGAAAGTGTTTTCACAACCGTTTAATTCTCAATCATCTCCGTCATGAAACTAACCCTTCCCTCCTAATCCTCCCTGGACCAGCATGGGACATGAACACAGCAGCTCAGGCCAGAGCAAGTACTCCACATTGTCGATGCTCCTCACTGGCCATCCTCGCTTCCCGTGCATGTAACATCTTAATTCACGCAATATTCGTGATCTTGGAAACCCACGGAAGCCAAGACCTCACTCACGGCCAAGCGTCTCAGGCCCTGGACTTCACCAGTGAAGGGGTTTCGCCCTTGGCGAGGGAGGGAGAGGGAGGGGGAGAGAGAGAGAGAGAGAGAGAAAGAGTGAGTGAAAGAGAGTGAGAGAGTGAGAAAGTCAGAGAGTCAGAAAGTGAGAAAGTGAGACAGTGCGAGACTGAGAGAGTGTGTGTGACGTCGTGGCCATGTTGCAGGTTATGCTTGTAGCCTGATTCAGATTTGGCCGTGTCTAATCTGTCAGCCGTAGGGACAGTCGCCCTCCTGGCAAGGCCATGGGCCACCATAGGCCACCACATTCCTGGTGACCCGTCCATCCTCCCTCGATGCTCGAGCCTCCCTGTTTAGTTGTCCTAAACGGCGCAATGCCTTCTGTCTGCCGGCTTTCCTCATTGTTGCGCTGCCTGCTGCCCTGAGCACGTCACTTTAGAGGCTGCGTGCCTCCTCGTGCGAAGACCGAACAACCCCTGTCAGGAGGGGAAGAACTCTCTGCCGTCAAGCTGCCTCCTGAGGGTGCAAGGACCAGCTTGTAGTCGCCAAAGCCTCGGAATCTGGCGCAGGGGTTGTGGTGAAACATAGTGGCAGAGAAGCTCAACGAGCAAAGACGACATAGTTGCAGCCACGTAGCGTATGGCAGCGCCTCGGCCAGAGACGTTGGAGATGAACTCCTGCCACATCAGTTGCAAACTAAAGCTGCTGTCAGAGCCAAACCTCAGCCACTTCTGCCAAAAGCCCAGCTGAGGCCGGTTCCGAGCGCGGAGATGGGGCGTCTTGCATCAAAGAATTCCACAGGCTCTCGCCGTCCAAGTCATTCGGGGGCGCGCGACCTGGGATCTCGAGCTTGAGGTATTGTACCGTCAGTGTCCACTTGCCACTGATGCTGAGGCTCTCACTTGCCGGGCTTGTGTGAGCCAGCTGCAAGATCGTCGCATGCCAGTCCACCAGGTGCATGAAGCCATTGCTGTACCTTGACTACTTGGGTGACATAAGGTGGGTCGTGGAGCGCCGATTTGGGTCCCATCTTTTCTGCTCCGGTCCCACTGAGAGCAAGGCATACGGCCCTTCGTGACAGCTTTGATCAGCTCCGGCTGGTTGCCTGTGACCAGTGCCTGAGTCCTGAAGTGGCAACCATGAGCTCACCATTGTCAGATGCCAGCTTATCAACTTCAGTCCTCATGCCGCCCTCCCAAACTTCACCTGCCACGTGAAGCTGCGAAAAAAGCAACACCGCGTTGCAGACATGAAGGCTTCGCGAGGTGCCTTGGTTGCCCCGCAGCGGCCAGTTGCTGCCGCCGGAGTTCCTTCGTGAAGCAGCGCCTCACAAGATTCTGAAACAGTTGGTAAAGGGTCCCTATGCAGCCTTCTGGTCTTCCTGCTTGCGCTACATGTCTGATTTCTTTTGAACCCGACGAGACCTCTTCATCGATCTGTTTAGCTGCTTGAGCTTGCACATGAGCCTCAAGAGCCCTGCCTCCGCTGTCGCTGGTGACAACCATGACCCAGTTGTCTCCGGCAAAGGTTTCTGACGGTGCCAAGAGGCTGTGAAAACCGATTGTAGCCACCGTAAGCATGGATACACACTGGTACACATGATACCACCATCCTGCGATCATAAGATCAGGTCCTTCCATGGATCTCGCTATCTCTCCGATCGTGCGGTCCAGGGCTGTAGCCTCAGTCCAAAGCTCGGCCACTCAGCGCTTGTCCTGATATATGGGAACTTCCTAGTAGGGGCACAAGTGCCTCGCCGACCCATGGCCCATGGCGACAGCTATGACTTCATCCCAGGTCCCAAGCTTGTGATCCTGATGCTACAAGACTCGGACAGGGCTCTGAGCCAGTGGCCATTCTGCAGACGGTCTGGCCTTCGCACGGAGACCGGCCCGTCCACAAAAAAAACATACCCCGAAACAAGTCAGCAAGGGGACCCCAAATCACTTGCCAAGCGACGGTTGCTATTGGCTGCGGAGCTGAAGCCTCAGGCGGAAAGTAGCAAACAAAGCGCAACTCTTTGCCGCAGAGTGAAGCATAACGAAGCCTTTGGGCCCACTACCAAAGCCCCGGCTAGGGCACCGGGCCAGTTGCAGACGTGCAGTTATCCACTGTCCACTTGGGTGCCTGACATTGCGACAAGAGGCCCAGTTTACTCGCGCCTTGCGCCTTGGACTTGGAGCTTGGAGGGATGGTGAACGATGCCTGAGCCCCTTTTGCTTCCTGAACCCCTACTGCAGCATTTCGATCAGAGAAGTGGACTGTCAAGTCGTCGTGGGGAACTTTTAGAGCCATTGGCCATGCCTGCAGGGGCTCCTGGAAGGACATCGGGGCAAAGTACAGGAACCTCAAGGCAGATGCAGAAGCAATCGGAAATGCTTGGATGGTATGTCTTGCTGAGGATGGCACATGGGCTTGGGGTCCTTGACATACTTCGCCTGCACCAGGGCTTTGCCGGCTCGGTCGGCTGTGTGAAGTGGTGATTGAGGCGGCAATGCAAAGCGGCTCTGAAGCTTGAAGCGGACCCCAAAGCCATCGATGGTGCTAACCACTGTCAACCACCATCAAACACTGCCAAGGGCCTTGTGGTCGCGGATAAACCTGAGCTTCAACCGACAATCTGAAAGTCTGGCATGGCTGGGTGCTTCTTCTAAGTTTTTCCCTCGGAGAAACAGATAATGCACGGGCTCCCTCGTGCTCTCCTTGTCTGTCTGCCAACCTGGGGGCGGCGTGTTGAATGGTTGTGGGGAATCTCCCCCCCCCTCCCTTCCTGCAACGACATATATTGGGGATTTGGGGCACCCCTGGGATGTTCCCTTTCCACGTTCAAGGTTCCCTGAAAGCTTCCTGGAGCACTTTTGAGACACATCGACGATCAAGGAAGAGCCAGGTAGTTAGTCACAGGCTGCGACGAAGGAGTCCCCACCACCACCAGGCGGACAAGTCTAAAAAGTCAATGCCATCCTTTTCATCAAGGAAGAGGCACTGGTAACTTCCCCCAGCGACTTCGCAATCCTCACTTGGTTTTTGTTGCGGGTTACGTTTGGCCTCCAGCTGCCATCCGCAACGTTTGGGTGCAGGAGTGGGTTTCCTTCTTTGTCGCCTTCTGGGTCGGTGGCCCTTGCCGGAGGCTCTTAAAAGGAAGGATCAGAAATAGTTCAGAATGCCTTCTCGGCAACTTGCATCACAGGAGCTGCTGGGCTTTGGCCTGGAAGAGGGTGTTGGTGTGTTTGCCGACCTCGTCTGGGCCAAGTCTAACGCTCACATTGTGCGTGAAGCTTAGCGTGCTTCGGCTGAGGGATTCCCCTGGCCATGCTTTGAAATCACATGGAACTTGTCTCAGCTTCGGGCAACGCCTTCTCCCGACGGATAGTAGTGATAGGGCCTTCGCGCACTGACGGTGACTGCCGTCCAAATAATCTGCCTCTCACCAAGTCAGGGGATAGTGTTGGATCCTGACCCCTCTCAAGTGGGTCTGGGAGATGAACGATAGGATACAAAAGAGTTTGCTGTGCGCCTGAGCACCTGAGGCCTAGCAGCAGGTCTCTAAACTGAGGCGGATAGAACTTGTTGTGCAAAGAGTGATAGCTTGCAAGGGATACTCGTAACATCACTAGTGAACTTTGCTGCTCCAGATCTTCACGTGGTCTCGGTGAGAAGGCCACAGCACAGAGCTCCGAGACGGCGACGTGTCCCTGCTGGATGCGTCGCTCTCGAAGCTTTCTGCCTCCTGGCATTGTAGGATGCAGCTCGCCAGAAAGCGAGTAAGTCCAACTGGATGGACTCCTGGTCACATGGGCAACAGCCCATTACTAGTAGTAAGTACGAACTGGTGGCCTCGTAATGCAGGTCGTAGTGGCCGTTGAGATCGCCTTGGCAGTCGCTTTCTGAGTTCAGGCTGTTGCCAGACAACCTTGCTCATCATGCTTGCCCGCTGCGTCAGCCGCAGCTGCTCACTTATGATCACCAGCTGTTCTTGCTGTTGGAAAGACATGGAAAGAGCACCTGCGAAGCTCGAAGTATCTAGGCAAGTGGCAGTGCTGGACGTAGTCCGAGGCATCGTCATAACTGCCGTAGAACCTTTCATCTATGCCGAGGGAGAACTTCATGCCAAGTGAACTGGGCGCGGAACCTTGTCTAAACCCGCTACTCGCAGCTTCATCTTGCTGTCGGCATTCCAGGCTTCAAGGTCCGCCTGGCAAAGCCTCTTCCACTGGGCGACATCTTCCAGGACCTTGGCGCTCAAGCACAGCAACATTGACAGATTGATTGGAACTGCTATCTCTAAGGTCACGGCACTCCTCCGGACTGCCACTTCCTCGGAGTGTGCTCCAGTCATTTTTCCAAGGCTTGAATCGGCTTGAACGCGACAGTAACAAAGAAGTCCAGAACCCCTCCGAAGGGCGACTACTCCACTGAGAGCGACACCCCACTGCGTAGCTCCTGTGTTCCAGAGTTCGTACAGGCACAAAAGCCCCAAAGCATCAAAGAGTTCTACGACTTAGGAATTGTTCAGAGTGCTGGGCGCGGCGCTTGTAACCCGCTTCGTTCAATTTCTGGGCAATGGTGGATTCGTCATCCTGACAGTCTAGGTCCTCTTGTTGCTATGCCAGCATCGTTCCGTTCAGCTTGGCCTGCCTAACGTCTCGGTACTATTATAGCCTATAGCCGAACTGTGCCTGTGAGAAGGCGCCCGAAGTGGAGCCCAGCTGCCCAGAGCCGACCCCGGCAGGCGTCCAGCCCTTCACAAATGCGTGCTCCGCATGCAGCACCGTGCACGATTCTGCATCCCGCCTCGGGGGGACCGCTACGTGCCTTCAGTTGGCTAATCTGCGGGACGCCCGCAGTGACCAGGTGGTGTTGCCAGCGGCCTGGCGTTGGACAACTTATGCAGACTTGTGCTTGGGAGGATGGCACACAGGCCTGTGAGAAAGGCAGCTCGGGATGGTGCGCTCAGAATCTCAGCCTGTGCAGGTGCGCAGCGGAATGCATAGCCATACCGCAGAATTTACAAGACTCGCTCTCAACTGCTTTGCCATTTGCCGTCTACTACTGTACCTTCTTCCGCAGTCCCAAGCCACATGGGTGCCATTTCTACACCAAGCTGCATAGGAGCTGTTGATTCGAATGGACTTTGGCCTCAGCAAGGAGCTGCAGCACAGTACAGTACCAGGTTTCCGAGTTTGCAGGAATTCCCCTTCGACCGGCATGTGTGAGAGGCAGCAGAGGGCAGCAGCCCACAGCTTGGGCCAGCACAAGATAGAGCTGACATAAGGCCACCTGGGCAGGATGTTCTGCAGGGTCTCATTGCAAGTTTGAGAAGTCGGCTTCAAGACTGCTTTTCGCTCCTCGCTCTTAGTCTTGGTATGTCTTAGTCTTAGCTTTAACCCTTGAGAGTGTTGAGTCCAGGTGGGGCGGTGAGCCTCGCGCTTGTCTTGTGTGTCTTGAGCTGCAACCACGCACCGCACCACGATCGGCATCAAAACTTACACCAACTGACATATCACCGCTTTCGGGACCTCTAGTCGCAAGGCCAAACGAAAAAATGGTCATGGTACGACCCCCTGTGACCGAGCCCTGCTGCCAGGAGGCGCTTGCTTCAGGTCTGTGGACCCAAAGAAGTCATTGAAGCCCATGCCGTTGACAAGAAGCCTCGAAGAACGGGGAATGGAGAGCCCATTCCGGCAACCCTGGCTTTCTATACCAGGTGTCGACCGGTCCTAAGTGCACCTTTAAGGCCTTTAAGGTCCGATCTGGCGTTTTGTAGATGTGATTTTGGGTCTGTTGGTCCTCCCGACATTGAAGAATTGAGTAGAGACCCTAACATCAATTTCGTTCAACCCCCATGCAATCTAAGACCATAAGAACCCACAAGCCGAGGTGCATGACGATGTGCGGCCGATACTTCTTGCAGCTACATGCACATTTCCCGGTCCTGAGCAGCATGTGTACCCTGGCCTTCTCTTGCAGCGATGGGGTCTCCGGTCACACCATAGAGAAAGCCAGCTATGACGTTCTGCGGCTTCATGTGTGAACGGACCAGTGGTCGAGTCCTCCTCCACTCTTCCGAGTCGCAGTTGCTGGTGGACACCTGCAAGAGCAGGGCACCTTTTTACTTGTAACATCTCTGGCAAGTACACTAGTACCACTTACTGCTCGCCTGCGAGCAGTCCTCCTCATCACACCCGGTGTTGAACACTTCCTGATAGTCCTCAACATGCTCAGCATCATACAGCTTCAAACACACAGTTGCGTGCTGCATGATAAGCCATACACAGTTAGGTGGCGGTGAGCCTCGTCTTGTCTCAATGGAGTTGTTGGCGTACTCCTGTCTTTGAACACCGACCGCAGGTCTAAATCAAAAACAATGCTTAAATCTTGGAGCCCATCAGGTCATGTACATTGCCCTAGCACACCCAGCTTTTCCCGACTTTGGCAGCCAACAACTAGCAACGGTAGCAATTACACACGTGCAACCTCGTTAGTCCGTGGCTGTACGCCGGCATGCATTTCAATTTCTTGTCGCCAAACATGCTTCCACTGGCACGCTGCACACGGTACAACCGAGGAACTCCCGACAAGCTCCCATTTGCATAGACTGAAAGAGCCTAAAAACTTGATGACTGAAGACCATGAACCAACCCACGGCCTCAGGCCTCAGGCCACCTTCACTAGACAAAACAGGTTTGCGGGATTGCGGATCCCTATCCTGGCCCCTGAAACCCCTGAGTCTTCAAACCCTTGGAACCCTGCAATATCTTGCACAATCCCTGTTCTCCAGGCAGCCTGATAGTTGCTGCGGGTGGGGCAGGCGACGGTGGCGATGGTGGCGACGGTGGCGCTGGTGGCGATGGTGGCGATGGCGGTGCTGGCGGCGCTGGTGGTCCTGGTGGCGCTGGCGGCGCTGGTGGCGCTGGCGGCGACGGCTGCGGCGGGACCCGACATGTTGGCAGATCCTGCAGAAAGAGGGCCCGCCAGTGGCGGCTTCTACACTCAGATTTGGGGTTTGACGAGGGCAGGAGCCGCCCTTCATGTACGACTGTGGATTCAGCACGTTGTCACTGTTCTGCGATCTTCCTGTTTCATGTTCTCTATGCAGAATTGGATCCTGCACTTGCTACAGGTACCTCCGTTCTTGCGCTGCTTATGCACAAGCACAGGCACCAATGTCCTTCTCGCACCACTCGCTGGCATCAGTCTCGCAAACGCCCTCTGAACTGAGGGAACAGAGCATCCGCTGGCCACCTCGGCTTTGCATTGTTGCGAAGATACGAGCTTCTGAACGCAACACCCTCGGCCTGGGCGAGGTATCACCAGAACTGCTTTCTGCTACGCAAAGCACAAGCGTGCATGGTCTAGCGCATCCAAGCATCTGCCCGATGTTGTGAAAAAACCGCCGGTGCCACACAACTCCTGAAGAATGACTTCGTTTGTTTGCCGGGTTTGCGTCTAATTGTCCTTCCACACCACATCTTGTCCTTTCATTAAAGTAACCACCGAATATGGACTAAATATGGACGATAGGCTGAACATCCTGGAGGGAGGGACGGAGGGAGACAGGGGCCACGCAGCTTGCGGGAACGACACGGAACGACACAAATGACCTGGCCGTGACAGATAAGACGAAAAGTATGTAGCTTGCTCGCACTAACCACAAGGCTCAAGTTGTGGCTGTGTGCCTAAACCCCCGGTTGTCGCGGCCCGCGCCCGCGCCCGCCTGTTACAGACCTCTGTAACGCCCGGCTTGTTACAGACCTCTGTCGCGCGCACGCTCGTATCATATCATATCATATCATATCATATCATATCATATCATATCATATCATATCATATCATATCATATCATATCATATCATATCATATCATATTATATTTTATGGTTATATATATATATACATATATATATATACACATATACATGCACTAAAAACGGGTCTCAGGGCACATTGGGGTAGGACAATAATGCGTCTGTTTGGGGCGCACGTTGCTTACGCAGATGTCATGCCTCCCGGCGCGCGACATACCCCGCTACAAGTGCGTTACATACCCGCGACAGACCAAACGCAGTCTATTGTGAACACAGATTTTCGGGAAGTTCGGGTTTCAGGTTTCGGGGGTGTCTTGTCTAAAGCCTAGAGAGTCCCCCTGTTGAGGACTGAGTGGGGTTGGCCGCGACAAGCAAGACCTGGAACCCTCACAGCTTCTTGAAATTTACGAACACTTCCCCCCCGATAAGCAAGACTTGGAACCACTCCACATACTCAGCCTTTAAGAGTTTAAGGGGGTTTCAAATTCAGGGATATATATATATATATGGACTTGGAACCTGCAGACAACAACAAGCAGGTCTGTCGCAAAACCCCGGCCATTGATACATACCCTCTGTAACGGGGTATGTCGCGTGTGTGGGCCGCGGCCCTGTTACAAGCAATTAATATTGGCACACGGCCTTGTGAACGTTGGAGCATGTTGGAGCAATACTGGGGCGATGTTCAAAGCCTTCCTGCGACAGTGCGACGGCTGCCCCGTGTAGCTGCATAGTAGTTGTAGGACCATCTTGAGCCCTGAGTATCGTGTAGCAGGGCATCGTACCTTCCAACACGCAACAGGCGGCACCCCAGGTCGGCAGACAGTCCTGCTCCAGCCCGGCGCATGTCAGATTCAGCGACCTTGTCGGCGGCGGGGGCGGGGGGGGGGGGGGGGGGGCTTCTCACTTACTGAGAGGTTTGGGGCTCAGAGCCACGCCGGACGTCGTGCTTGCCACAGAGGGAGAAACAGAAGGGCGGGATCATGGCCTCCTTGGCGCAAGTTGGCCCCTCGTGATAAGTGGGCTCCGCCTTGAACTTTGGAGGGCTTGGGTGACTCACGGGGTCGACTACTCAATGCGTTTGCCCAATCTCATAACCATCACACCCTCCACATCCCTCGAAGGAATCTCTGCTTTTAGGATCCACGCAGGCGATCGACGGCGAAGTGTGAGAAGTCCTCCCCTGCGCATGGTAAAGCAGCCCGGGCTCGAAGCTCAGCGTGGCCCAAAGTGTCTTGGACAGGGCGCAATCGGCGCAGAAGCAACGTCGGGTACTCGACTTGCGGGGGCTCTCGAATTGGCAGCTGGTAGTATGCCCTCACTTGTGGACACATCACAGGCTCGCTCACCTGCACTGCCGGGTGGACTTTGTGCGATGATGGAAGCACGTCGGATCGTGAAGATGCCTTCAACGCCTTCTTGGGAGATGCGTCTGGCCTGCATGCGGGTATGCTTGCGTCTGCTGCTGCCATCTGCGCGGGGCTGAGCCAAGCCATGAGGCTGCCCCACCATGAGCCGCCCTGGCCGGGCTGAGACTCTGGCTGAGGGGACTCCCAGGAGAAGAGCCCCGCGTCACAACACGAGGAACGCTTCTTCCGTCTTGAAACGTAGCAGCGCTTCTTCCGCGGCTGCGACGCTGCGTACGGCTGCTCCTTTGCGGACGAGGGTGGCTGCCGATCGCTGGCAGGGGTCGAGCCAGGAAAGCATTCCGTGTTGGCGGGTTGGGGAGGCTGAGCGATATGCTTGCAAGTCCCTGAAAATATGAGCTTGTGTCGGACTGCGGCTGCGATCTGCGGCGGAGGCTCCAGCACCTGCGTGCGAGGGTCCGATCGCGGAGGCGCAAAGGTGAGCAGGGTCGTCTGGTCCATCGTTGGAAGGCTCCTTTTCAGGGAAGCCATGTGCATAGACATGGCCTTTTCCAGTTGAAGATAGTCGCAGCTCTTCAACTCTTTGAGGGCTTGCACAAAACACCAGGAAAGGATTCCATGCTGCATTGTAGTCCACGAGTCCGGCTGCGTTGCCACTTGAATTTCTAAGGCTGTCTGCCCATGTCCTGCGGCCGATATGCAGAAAGCAGTGGGAGTGGATCGGCCCATGGCATGTCTTGTGGGAAAAAAGCTCTGATGGTCACAGACCTGCGTTACTGCCTGGAAACGAGGCCTTGCTTTGACAGCTCGAGCAGAGTCATCCATCCACACAGCACGGCAGTGCTCGGCCTTTGCCAGCTTTTCAGAGTGCCCTACCAATCCGCACAAGTTCTTGACCTGAACTCCCTCAATAAGCTCGCCGGATGTTGTTCCTGATATGTCGACCACACTCGTGGCGTGGTCACAGTCCATTAGAAGGGTCACAGCACTACCGGCCGGCGCGCTGCCGAGAATGTCGTGCAGCTCAGCACATGTCACGACACAAGTTCCACTGTCTGGCCCCTCTTGGAAATCGGTCGGCAAAATTGCCTCATCGAGGCCTTCTGGGTCATGGTGGTCAAGGCAAACCTGCGTTCCATACCCAGAAAAGCTGAAGAAGCACACGTCGCCACTTCTCGTCTTCCTGATCATCGATTGCAGGGATTGCAAAATGTTCACACGAGTAGGGCGAAGCGATTGATCTCGCTGCGGCTCACGCCGCCTGCCTGGAAGAGTATCGTGCAGGATGAGCACGTTCTCTCTCTCAAAACCTTTTGCTTCCAGTTGTTCGGCGATGGCGAATGCATCATTGACACATCCAGCTAACCCGTACGCTTTGCATGGGTAGTTGCATGCGACAAGCACGGCTCGTTTCACCATAGTTTCGGTGCAAAAGCAGCGCTGCGAATTGATAACCAGTCGGCTCAGAAGGCTTGGGCCGAAGCATGCAAAGCCAGCTCGACGGATTCGAGGTTTGTGCCCTGTTTTGAACCGTGGGTCCCAGGTTCACGGAAGTGTTAACGGCCTCCTTGATACTGACTCTGTCTCAACACACCAATTCAGTCCACTCCCGCACCCACCCCGCAGGGATGCGCTGACCTCAAGCAGCGGCAGCAGCGATAGTGCTCTAGAACGCCCTGAGGTCCAGACGGGAAGGGAGGCTGTGGTAGTCGCAGTGCCTTGGTTCTTTATGTCTTCGCTTCAGCTAGGCAAGAGGAAACATCAACCCGAATCCCGCAAGAAAACCAGATGGGCAACCTGGCCCAATTAATACCTGTATCCCTTCAAAACACATGCATGGATGAGATCATATGGCTGCACGACCTGCGCATGAAGGCAGCGTGCCTGCGTGGGCGCGGGCACTTGCACTTGGGCGCTCGTGTGTGCGTAAGAGTGTGTGTTTGTGACCAGAAACTTCAAGTTGGAATGGAATCGCGCCTGGTGTTCGTAGAGTGCTGTTGTTGCACTCTTCCGGTTGCTGGCATTGATCTTCTCCTGCCTGAGTAATCCTGTGTCCTCGTCATCATGCAGGGGGCGGATGGAGTCTGATGCCCGGCATCCGCGACTGAACATTCCTGCTCAGAAAAAGCCAGACCCCCCTGTGCTGACGGATTAGAAATTCGAGGAAGCCAGCCCCAAAAATTGAGTTGCAATCAGGTTTCAGTTCACACGTTAAGTACCGTCAGTTGTGTTTCAGCATCAACGTGAGTGTGTGTGTGTGTGTACATGTGTGTACATGTGTGTATGTGCGTGTGTGCATGTGTGCAAAGGTGCATGTGTGCACGGGTGCCAGAAGTGCCCATTGGACAAGCTGCTCGCTGCGCAAATAGGCATTCCCGGAGGACAGGATGCCGAAGTATCCTTGGCAACTGAGCTTCCTTCAGTGAGTTTAGGCGTGATAAGTTGCAAGTTCAACTGTTATGCAGGGCCACGCAACTCAAAATCGTAAGACTCAGCTCCACACTGGCCATTCGCGGTATTTAGATACAGATAATGTTACGGAGTTCCTGTGGAATGTAAAATTCGTGCAGGAAGGCTACGTAGTTACAGACACAGCTGCGATGGTTGCAATCAAGTGATGCCACGTGGCCAGGCTGCAAACGCCAATCTCGGACCAGCTGCAAAGAGCGCGTTGTCCATTGATTGTGGCATAATACTGCCACGTCTTGCATTTCGCTTCTGTCAGTTCCTCACACGCCGAGACATGGGAGCCTATATCTATTTTGTCGCAGAGGGTATAGCAGAATGGAGGCACCGCCGGACCCGATGTTGTGGTTGTAGTCGTGGTGCTTGGACAAAGATGCTTCTGGGGACATCTGGCCGATAGGTCCACACTACAAATGCCTGCAGCCTCCCACTGGCACAGCACCTTCTCTCCACCAACGTCCATGTAATACATGCGAGACTTGCAGTCGTCTTCCTGGAGCGTGCTGCAGTTGCCAGCCGACACCTTGTACTTGAAGCACAAGGAGCTACAGAATCGATCAACGGCTTCGACTCCCATCCTTCCCTGAGAGGGCCCAGAGCACGGTTCCTCACATGGAAAAAGTGGCCCAGACTCGCAAGTACCTTCGGCTAGGAAGCAGAGGGACATCTGGCCGTAGGAAGTCAAGTAGAACTCCTCACTTGCGCACAGCTCAGGCTCTAAGGTCCCACAGTCAGACACCTCCTGCTTGGAGCACAAGGACGAGCACCGAACATCTTCACGGCTGGTGCTGGCTGGTTGCGAGGACGTCGAGGGCGCAGCCGTCGTGTCAGCGGGATGCGCCCTGACCAGGTGGGTCTTAACAAGCGCATTAATCCATATAACAATATACAACACCGCATGAACAAACCACGTATCTTCACACCATGACCAAGACGTGCATGACCTCAAAAAGAGCCACATGCCACGGGCAAACACACAAACCCCCTCTGAATTCTCCCTGCGCCTCCTGACCACAACTCTGTCGGGGCCATGGGGGTTGATCTCGATCGTCTCTGTGATCATCGGGGCCGGTGACTGGGTCGCGCCTCCCTCACCAAAGCCGATGCCGGCATCTTGAAGCTCCCGAAGAAGGCGCTCGGTGGAAAGACCAGCCATTTGAGCCACCTCCACCGCTTCTCGGAGTGACATTTCTGCAGGGCTCTTGATGCTGAGGGGCGTGTGCGCCATCGTCGCATTTACCACGACTTGGATGTCAATGATGTTTAAACCCACGGCCACACACTCCTGGGCAGCGGCCACGACTGACTGCACAATTGCATCCGGCAGCTGCGTCCGTCGGGCGGTTGTCTGCTCACTTCCCTCATGCACTCCTTCACGCTTCTGTGAGCTCGACGGGCTCATCTTATCACTCTCCCCCCGCACTTCGTAGGGTTGTTTCAGTGATGACCTACTCACATTCGTGGTATCCATCTGTGAGGTCGTGCTCATCGAAGGCTGCTCTGGAGGTAGGCTGGTGCCGTTCACAACGGTGGAGTCAAGCTCCCTTTCTCTGGAGTCATCACTCACTTGGCAGATGGGCATACTGGCATTGCATACGAAGGACGCATCCACTGTACAGCGCTCGTCATCGTTCAAGATGCAGTGCCTGCGGTTCCCTTTCAGATCGGTCTCGTAGAAGCTTTCTGACTGGCACATCTCTGCAGACAGCTGAGAGCAAGAGATGTACATGCTCCTGCGAAGACAGCAGTTCCAGGATGCACAGGACGGGGGAAGTCAATGCCTGTACCCAATTGAATCTAACCTTACCCGCCCCGGCAGCACCTACTTGCCTCCCCAGAAATGGGCACTCAGCTCCTGCACTACCGATCTAGATGGGCGAGTAGTTCCGAGACATACTTTGGTACCTTTCCAACCCATCGCCTCGGGACACTGGTTTCACGATGGTTCACAGCTCCGATTCGCTTCCCCGTCCTGACATTGGTCCGATCGCAGAACTCGAAGCAGCGAGTGGGAACCACCTCAGAGTGATCTGACACGGTGCAGCTATGTGCAGCTTCTTTGAATCTGGTGAGGCCTCCTGGGATCTCCTGGGTGTCTGACCAAACCACGTTTGGTCAGGTATGGCTTGGCAACGGTCAGGTGGTAGCGGTCCGTGACGGACACTGCACAGGGGGCCAGACTTGCAAGCACAAGTGCAAGTTCCATGACATCGACTTGTTCCTCTGAATTCCCGAAATGCATAGCACTCTGAACTTGCAACCGGATATGCTTGTCAGTTGGCAGACTAAGATTCTTGCAAGCTGGGCCTGTGACTGTCGTTGTAGACGTTGTGGTGGTCGTGGTCGTGCTTGTGGAGGTGGTTGTGATTGTGGATGTGCTTGTTGAAGTTGTGGTGGTAGTCGTTGTAGTTGTGATTGTGGTGCTCGTTGTCATGGTAGTGGTGGTTAGGGTGGTGGTAGTTGTTGTCGACGTCGTCGAGGTGGAAGCCTGGCGTACACGCCACATGACCGCGGTCAGGTTCAAACATCTAATGCCTGCGCAAGTTACATGCGCTACAGAATGCTGCACAATGGTGCACCATCCTGCATAGTGCAGCCTCATGTTGCATGCGTTGCATACGCTACAACGCACCGTCCAGAATGCACGCGCTGCTGGAGCCTTTCGTCCGCACGGCCAGTTGCAGCTGATGCAGGCTTGCGTGTAGTCCTGCACTGCACTTGGAACAAAGGCTTCTGAGCAATCCCAGTTAGCTACAGAACAGGATAACAGAACAACAGAAACAGCAACAGAGAGCAACAGCATCACATAGCATCACAACAATTGCCTGTTTGGGCAAAGACAAGTGGAAGACTGGCGCACCATGGCAGACAAGGAACAGAAGCGCTACTGCAAAGATGGACCTCCCATGTCCGAGGGCAATGACCATGCAACCCTCTGTTCTTCACATCTTGGCAGCCCGTTCTTCAACCGTATACACCCGAGTTTTCTTCCCCATATACACCCAAATCATTGCGATCATTGAAGACCATTGACTTCTACTCCATCACAGCACGACAAAATCAGGCCAAGGCTCGACCATGCCCGGGCAAAACTTGCTCACAAGTCAACATCAGGATCATGGGGTTTAGAGCAGCTCATATTTTATAGTCACTTGGAGGACTCGTAGGTGGGCTGGCGGCTTCGAGAGCTCATAAGTACGCATGTGTAGGTCTTACGGTACAATGAACCCAGGGTGCGCAACACAGCGAGAAAAGAGCTTCCGGCACAAAGCGAAGTTGGCAAGCTGAAGTCTGTGGCTTCAAGTCCCTGAGCTCCCTGAACTCACTGAAGCCCCCAAAGCCCAAACCCTTGTACAAGAAACGCAACATACCACTAAACCCACAACGACTCCACCGAGGCCCGGACATTTCCATGGAGCCGCCCACACACAAAGCCTGCATCAACAACTAATGACGGATTGGGCTGGTGCGCCATTGGCGTAGGAAGCCCACCATCTGAACTGCATCTCCGTACATCTCTGAGTAAAGTGGCCTTCGCTCGCAAGCGCCCACCGTCTCAAAGAAGTGTGTGGAGGCGCACTCCTCCTCGGGCAGCTCCTTGACGAGGACAGGAAGAGACACAGCACAGTGGCCCAGTGATGCCCAGTGGTCACCATACAGAACATAGAAATGCTGGCAGCCCTGGGTTTGCAGCAATAACGACCCCCCTCATCTTGTCGTCTTGTCGCAAGGAATTGCTGAGACAGTGAATGACAGCAGGACAGTACGTTACAAGACCGCCAGAATCCGCCAGAGTCCACCACAACTGTGTTTCCAACCCAAGGCCCCTAATCAAGCCGTCGGGTTCAGCCAAGGGGCCGAGCAGGTCATGTTCCAGTCTTTGGTGTCTGTCTTCAAGCACAAACCTTGCTGCGACAGCTTGTAGAACTTGCCTTGTGCAACAAAGAGACAGGATAATCTGTCTTCAGGCACGGGCTTCGACAGAAGGGCGTTGCCTCCACTGCAGGAGAGGATGTGCAGGGGTTGGGGGTCGGGTGGGGTGGGCGTGTAAGACTTGATGTACGATGACAGGTCATCCGATCCTGGCACACAAACTTCGTCTTTGTTGTCAGCCCAGACCCGAACCGCCTCCTCACCATACTCCTCCGCCTCAGTGTCCTCCGTAGTGGTCCGTGTAGATGACAAACCTCCACTCTAAGAGCTCTCAAAGCCGGAGACAAGGGGCCATGGTTCAGTGAGGATTTGTTCGAGTGCCTCCTTGCGAGGCACGCAGGGTTTCAACAAGATCCAGGGTAAGGCCGGCCTCCAGCAAGTGCTGCTTCTGTTGTGGTTGCCACCGATGCAGCCGCTGCCGCTGTCGTCACTGCATCGTCTGATGCGTGTGCCGGTCGAGCGCTTGAGTCTGGCGCTGTGGAGGTCGGGCTCTCATCGCTTTTGCAGCAGTACTCGGACCACTTGCGCCGGGCCTGCAGACTTCTCCAAACGGAGACTTCTCCAAACGGAGAAGCAAATGAAAAAACCAAAGCAAGAACAGCACAAGAACTGCACTGAGGCGCCTCCGGGCAGGAAGGCTTCGATGTATTGCCTGGCTCATGTACTGTACTTCTGGCGCACCAATTACAATCCCGACCTAGAAAGTCAGGTACATATTGCGACCTTCAGGCCCAACCATCCGAACTAATCCATCTACGGCAGCCTTGAAGAAATTATGCAAGCAGTGAAAACGAGCTAAGCTCTCGGGCGGAGTGGCCTTTCAGAAGAAGCTGCGCCTCTTGGCAGGCCATCGGCTCGCCTCCCGCAACTCAAATTTGGCCAAAGACTCGATAGATGCCTCTACAAGAACCTGGTACCCAACCTGAAGCTCGTGTTCTTCAAACAGAATCATGAAACGCTAGATTGAAAACAAGCCTCGGCCCCGCCCCCCCCCCAGCCCCCCCTGTCAAGCCTCCTGTCAAAATTCACAAATTTTAACGCTCATTCGTTTGCGGGGCTCCTTCGAGGTGCTCCGCCGCCGCGTCGGGGATAAGCGACTGCCCGTCTGAGCAGAGGTAGCACTTGCAGCCTCAACAGATCCAAAACGTCTCAACAGGTCCCAACAAGCTGAGCAAAGCTGAGATTTTGAGAACTGAGAATTCGCTGAGACGCACAGTGGGACAGGGCAACGGCGAAGCTGCAACATCCCCAAAAAAGGACGATATACACCCACCAATAGCAAAAGCAGAGTTTATCTGACGAGACAGGAGGCATTTGCCCTGCAACTTGTCCTGCGCCTCCTTGCAGGATGTCCTGAGATAAGCTCGGACTTGCTTTGTCCTCACAATTTTAGCCCTCAACTCTAAAGCCCATCTCACATGCAAGGCGCTATGTTATCAGCGCCATAGCCCCTGACAGAAAGCAAAAGGTGCCTGTTCTCCACGCACCTAAATCCGACAACGACCTTCCGGATCGATGGTTTCAATCATCCGAGACTCTTGGCAGAAGCATCTTGAAGCCGGCTGTGTGCGTACTCGCCTTCAGGGGCGTGGTCTACAAATGGGAACCCAAGTAGCTTCGCGCGGCATTCTAGCAGATCTAAGAGTACAATTTGCTCATAGCTTGTGCTGTCCATATTGCCATTGTCAAATGAGGGATTGATCCAACCTTCTCCGTCGCTTGTACTAAATTAAAGCCCACATTGCTGTATGCTGCTGAGTGTTTTGCCTGCCAATAGCTGATGACTTGCGACGCTGAAGCTTAGAGCTCATATTGTGTCGTCCAGCCACAAGTGTACATCTCACCATTGATGGTGTACGCAATGGACTCCGCATCAAACGTCTCCTCCGCTCCACCTCACGAAGCAGATTCTGGAGTGCTTTTCGACATTTGAGGTTGTCTGCTTGCCTGGATGTGGGAATCCACTTCCACTGCTAAGTTCCGCACAGATGCTGCAGTTCTGGAGCCCCATAGCCGCATCGTCATCGGCTGCTCGGCTGCAGCCTTGGGCTTCCGGGGGGCGCCCTCGCGACTACCATCTGGATGTGACGGGCCCTTCCCTCTCTCTAGCACTGTCACTCCTTCTCGTTCTTTATCTTCTGTCCTGCCCCCTCTCCGCTTATTGCCTTGTCATTATTGTTATTCTTGCTACTCCTCTTCTTCTTCTTCTTCTTCTTATTCTTCTTCTTCTTCTTCTCATTGTTGTTTTCTGCCTACTAATGTTATTCTGCCTCTGCTTATGCTTCTTATGGTTCTTGTCTTCACATTGCTCTTAGCATGGTTCGCCTTACTATCATTCTTCTTACGCCCCTTTTATCCTATGCGCTTACTCTCGCGCTCTCGCTCGCGCGCTCTCTCTCTCTCTCTCTCTCTCTCTCTCTCTCTCTCTCTCTCTCTCTCTCTCTCCACACGCTTAGCCCCCCCCGAAGGGAGAGCTGCCCCGGAGGGCGCGCCAGTCCCAAGTGTCATGCGGTTTCAGGCCGCGGTTTTCGCGGCCGGGCCAGGGTGGGGTTTCTGTCTGAGACTGGGGTGTATCCGGGTTGAACATGGGCTAGCGGAGGCAATCGGGTTCAGTCCCCCCTCTGTGCACCTGGCAAAGAAAATGCTCATCTGCCCCTCTTTGGGGTGTGAGTTTTGGAACCTAGTCGCTGCTGGCCCCTTCATGTGTACGCCTTCGCCTCGAGTCCACGTCCGCCCCTTCTGGTAATCGGTGCCGTTGTCGATGTAGCCCCCACCCCTGTCTTTTTCCCGTAGATGGCTTCCACTTATGGTGGTCTCCGAATTGAAGTCCTGCATCGCAGATCACCTCTTGGAGCAGGAGGACGCGCACGTCCCTAAGGGAGGTGGTCTCCACGAGTATTTTGCAGAGGTCCCAAACTGCTGGGAGTCTAAGCCCCCCCACATTCCAAGTTGCCAGTCGGTACGTTCTCCCCGGCTTGCGGTCTCTGCGGTGAAACTGTGCCCCCCTTTTCTGTCAGAGGCTCTGTTTGATGCGCTCCCAGGTGGCTTTCACCTCCTCCACGCTTTGCTTGAGGATTCTGGCTACAGCAACAACGTCCACCCATCCTGCCCCCGCCGTCAAGCTGTCCGGGGGTGCGGCCGCGGTGGCCGATGCGATTCTGGTACCCTGGAACCAGACTGTTCCTGTGTTGAACTCGGCCTCGACCTTGGAGATGTCCCCCCCTTGCTCGAGCGCCAACCTCTTTGCCTTGCCCGCCAGCTTCGCCTTTGCTCGGCGTTGGGGGCTTTGTGAGAGAGCAAGCCAAAGGCGCTGCCCCGTGCCGTCCGGCTTCTTCCCCAGAACGATGTTGGCGTTCCTGACCTTTTGGAGGGGCATTCTGACTTGAGCGGTATGATGGCGTACCCCCTGCGAATCCCAGGGACAAACGCCCCCTCCATATCAATGTCCAGCCGGAGTTGCGCGGCAGTGGAGTGTGCATGGTGGAGAGTCTCCGCGGCTGGGGTGTTTTCATCCCACCCCCCTATGATGAGCGCTGGTTGTCTGCGGTCTTCCTCCGAGGAGGAGGACTCCCCCCTGGATGCCAAGGTGCCGGTGTTGAGCTGCCCGAACTTGCCTTCCAGAAGAGTCAGGCGTTCCCGCAGGGTGCGTTGTTCTTCTGCCATGGCATCCATGTTGGCTTGCTGCCGTTGCTGCACCTGATCCACTCGATGCAGGGTCTGTGCTTGTGCGGTGTGCAAGGACTGGAGCTCATGGAGGATTTGGTTGATATCCCCCAACTGCTCCCTGACTTCTGCTCGCACCTCCCCCAGCAGCTCCAGTTTCAACTCTCGTCTTTCCGACCTTAGCTCCTCCTTGATGGCCACACGGATGGACTCGAGCGTGAGCCCCTCCTTTTCCATTTTCCGTTTGGAGGCCGTTCCTCCCCCCGGGCTGCCATCCGGCCCCCCTCCACTTTGAAGTAGGGTGGACATCTTATTCACAGTCTCCCTGCCAAGTCACGAACTTGACGTTGAAATACTCCCTGGCGAGCGAGGGGTAGTGGATAATCCGGTACGCCCCCTCGAGCTCGTGTAGGCCGCCGATATCGTTCAAGTAGCGGTTGTCAAGCTCCCCCTCACGCCTCAGGTAGAGGAGCAGCACGGCCAGCGGCGGTCCCCGTACTGGACTGAACCCTACCTCAACGATGTACAGGGCCCCCAGCTGGAAGTCGCGTAGTGGTTCAAAGATGTAGTTGTTGTCGCAGGGTCGGCAATGGCAAGGGGGGGGCAGGCTCCCCTATCCCTCCACAGTCTAGTCCAGCCGGACGCCCCCCCGTTAGGCTCTCTAGGGCTCTCACACGACTCTCTCGCCCCCTCTTTGGTTGAAGCCCGCAGGACGGCGGGGTGGGGCTTGAGCACTCGTGGCTCAACTCTCTCTCTCTCTGTCGCTCTCCCTCTCGCGCTTGCTCTACCGCTAGGCAATGCTTCAGGGCGCTTCTTTGGCCGAGCTGCATCTTTGCACAAGTGCAGAATCCCGTGCGACTTCACAAGAGATTGGCCTGAGCAACACAAGTTGGCCGAGCCATTCGCACTGCACAACAGTTGACCCAGGAGATGGCTCTGATGAAGCTAGTACGCCTTTGGGATGAGAGTTTAGAGTAGCTGCCGTTGGCGGGGCTTGAGCCAGAGCATAGCACGAAAAGACCGATTCTCAGAAAAGATGAGCTGCGAGTCCAAGGGCTTGAGACATGCCCCAACGGCCAAGTAACGAACAGAGAGGTTACTGGTAATGCTGGTATCAGTATGCGGCAAAACCCCCTCATAATGCAGCCAGAGCGGCGCCCGGCCGCTCTGAAGGTTGTCCTCAGGTGCCAGAAAGTATTGAATACATAATATGATCCAAAATTTGTGACCTAACATGGTATATTGAATTTATACTGTGCTTTAATAATATCTGGAACCTAGGAATTTCAAGGGAGCTTCAAGCCTCGAGGCCTTGCACGGGTCCACGGATGCTTTTTACGCCACCGGATGACTAAACTTGGGTACACTGCTTGTTGTCAATGTCACAGGCCACGAAACTTGTGGCTAAGTGGTCCAGGCATTTTCAGGTTGGATGGCCGAGACTTCGCTGGCTTTATGGGGCCGGTGGTTTAGTAAAAAATGCGGCGGCTGGGCTGTGGGGGGGAGGACGGGAGGGGGGGTGGAAGTTGCTTCCGGAGGTTTGTGTCCCGCTTTGTCATGGATGCCCTGAGGATATCTTGGGGTGCAACGCAATCCTGTAACCCTAAAACCTTTCGACTTCAATGCTTACGGCTCAAGGACCTTCCGCAAGCCTTCCGACTTGTTTAGATCTTCCGTGCCTTCTAGGGTTGACGCGGTCATGTTGTCTTCTACTTTGGTTCCTGTTGTTGCTGTCATGCCTTCGACAGGGCTCCAAGCAAAGGACTGTAAATTACAACATTGGGTCCTCTTTGCAGCTCGGAATACTGCAAAGATATATCCAAAGACGCTGATTGGAAGTTGGACTATTGCAGGATTTTGCGAATAATACTACATTGAGCAATGCTCAAGCTCGAAATACTCGCGCGAGAGCCCAGCGCTTGCTCTTCTTCTCAAGCGTTGCTCAAGTGTAGCATTTTAAGCTTCCTAGCTGCTCAAGGTGCCATTTTCCAAGTAGCAACACTGGAAATTTCGAGCAAAAGCGAAGAAGCCAAGGCGCCAAGCAGCCAGGACATGCCAGGAACCCGAAGCACGGTGTGCATAAGCCGACTAATAGCGGTACATCGAGCAACCGCTGCAACCAGAAAATTTTAAGTGACAAATACCATCAACGACCAACATCTGCCGTCAAGACGATGGCTGAGCTGTGTGCAGACAAGCGTCCTGCGCTTCACTACAGGTCATCGGGCTTCCTTCTATGACCATGGCCACGGCAGTGCCTCAGTCTTCATTCAAGCAAGGCAACACACCCACAACTCCAAGGCCCAAAATGGCAAACTGGCAGCTGCCACGCCGCCATCACCCCTTGCACCCTCCGCGCCTTCGGCGCCTCCTCCGCTTCTGACTTCCACTGTTGGTCGTTGGGACTTCCTCCTGCTCCTCCCTCCTCCTCCTGCTCCTCCCTCTTCCTCCCTGCTCCTCCCTTCTCCTCCTTCCTCCTCCTCCCTCCTCCTGTCACTCCTACTTACTCATCCTACTCCTCCTCCTAGTACTAGTACCAGTACCAGAACCAGTAGTAGTACTAGCAGAAGTAGCAGAAGTAGCAGTAGTAGTAGTAGTAGTAGTAGTAGTAGTAGTAGTAGTAGTAGTAGTAGTAGCAGTAGTAGTAGTAGTAGTAGTAGTAGGAGGAGGAGTAGTAGTAGTATACCACTACCACTACCGCTACCGCTACCACTACCACGACCACGACCACTACCACGACGGCCACGGCGACCACGATGGCCATCACCATCGCCGCCAAGCATCTTCTGCACTTTTTACACTAATCTGGCACCGTTTTGCCGACCGACAGTTGTTCGTGCCAACTGGATTCCAATTCCCAAGACCAAGAAAAAACACACGAACAGAGCACGGCGCCAAGATGCTGTTCAAGTCTCCATATCCTGCGCACAGATCGCAGTTCCAGTTATCCGTCTTGTCTGAAGTTCCTGATCTTCCATCATCTAGGCCTCAGTTCCGCAGCTCTGAAGCCCGTCATTCAGCTGATGCGATCCTGATAAGCATGCCTTTACACAAATTCAGAGCCAGAGAGGGGGAGGGAGAGAGGGAGAGAGGGACCCAGAGAGCAGTATTCCGAACTGTAGAGCTGCACATACTTGGCAAGTAAATTACGAAGAGCACACGTCAGATTCACTGGAATTATTCGTTTCCACGGAGTGATTTCGCTCCAGTGCATTAAGCTGGTCGCAGCGTTTTTACCAAGGTAGGCTGTAGGGAGGTCCATTTGGCTTAAAAGAAACAAACGCCAGATGCAAGAGAGAAGATGCAGCCGGAGGGACGTGCGCAGCAGTCGACCAATTCTTCTGTCGCCTCGTGACAAGTCAGCTTTGAGTCACCTTGGCTTCAGAGGGGCTCGGGCAGAAGATGTTAGCAGTATCACAAGCAGAATCTAATGACGCTAACATGTCCTTCTAAGATACTCAGTATCATGCTTGAAAGCATCTCCGAAGTTAGTGTGAAACGCAACAACGAGTTGCTGTTAAAATAATTACGGCAGAAACTCGCTGCTTAACGTGCAGCAAAATTTGAAAGCCAGCCCCCGCAGCTTAGCTCTTAAGTCTTTAAAGAACACGCTGCGAAGTGCCTAGTTATGCAGGCAGCATTGACATAGCAAGTAATAGGAATCCGAAGGTTGAGCGAGAGCTCAACCTCAACCACTGTGCTCTGAAGGTGGAGTTCCTACTTGCAGCCTCAACCGGCAAGCCACCTGCCCGAATCTGGTCCAAGGCAAATTGGCAGGAAAAAGGCTTCCCATCCTGGCAGTGATGTGCTAGTGGTCAATGGCTCAGCAACAACACAGCAGCCCTCTGATCTCGCCCTATCTGAGTCCCCCCATGTCTTGGCGAAGCTAACACTGACTGCCAGAGCCCAACTGGGCCTCCATGAAGGCCGTCGCATCTGGTAGAAATGTTCCGATGCCGGAGCAGAAGTTGCAAGCCTCCTGGGCAGGAGACTTGAGGAAGCCGCTGATTTTCACTGCTAGCGGCTGCTAGCGCATGAGAAGGCATCTGATGATTGCCACCGTGCGTCTTCCGACAGGCTGTGGGAGGAGGAAGCATCCTCCTCTGTTCAGCATCAGTTTGGGTGACCATGTCTGTGATGTCGTTGGTTGACAGCGTTGCCCGAAGTTGTAAGCAACTTCAGGATGGATGCACATGGTGGCAGCGAATGCTCCTATGAACCTGCCGCTTCAAAACTACGAATTATTGCACAAAGTCGAGATAGGGTAGGTCCTGGCACAGCAGGCGGTCCTTGCGGCCTGAGTTTTGAAGAGTCTCGCCCACTGTGCATTGCCCGAGCACGTTTCTGCGGGTTTGGGCTACTGTAGCTGCAGACGCGGGGCATATCCGTTTTGAATCTGCACCACAATTCTTTGCTTCTGGGTCCTCAGGGGCAAGGCAGCTGCTTTGTGTAAGAATGTCTTCTGCACAGTACAGTAGCCACAGCCGGCCAATGCTGCACACTTTGCATACTTTGCACCCCAAGTCCGAGAGCGACAGCCCGGCAGCTTGCAGCGTGCATGGCCTTGCCACGTTTCCGCATGTTTCCGCATGTTTCCACACGGTTCCACACGACCCAACCATCTGATACCATCCGTACCCTTCCAACTTCCTCTGCCCCGCTGCTGGGTTTCCACGCAGATTCTATGGGAAGGTACTGGGATGTACTTGGCGTCGAGGTTTGCGGAACAGAGCGCACAACATGTCTGAGCGTACCTTCGGGTGCCATCCTTCTCGGTCTCATAGAAAGCCGAGCTGGCACCTTCTACTCCACCAAGCAGCTGCAACAATGCAGCAAGAAAATGTTGCCGAACTGTGGGCAAGCCATGTGCGTCCGAGCGGCATTCCTCCTCACAGGGCACTCATTACATCCCATGACAGAGGTTGCATTGATCAATCTGCTGTTCACGCTTGGTGGGATTGACTTTTTGGCTTCATTAGCTTCTCTTCCAGGCCTTGCGAAGCTTCCTGACTCAAACGTGCAGATTCGAGGGATGGGCTTAAGGCTTATGTGACAGTGTGCAAACATAGTGTCTTCTGTGAAAAAGCTGAGGTGGATCTCACGATTCAGAGTTCCGGATTCTACGGCAAGTGCCCCTGAGCCCTTTTGATGCTGCATGATGCTGCAAACCCGCGGTCGTTCGACAGATCGGAGCATTTCTTGGAGATCGACGTGATCTCAGCGCAGGCAACAGGGGATCGTTTGCTGAGCCCTGCAGCATGCTCGAAACATCTCTTACAACGAACATGCCAAGGGGCATCGATGGCTTGGCAAAGGGTTTCGCACACGTTGTCCTCGTCCTCCTGTACACTTGAGCTACTGGAAGCTTCTGGAAACTAATGGAAGCATGCTGCAATTCGCTAGCCGCTACACCAGGCAATGATGGCCAAACCGTTCCAACTCTTGCGAGCTGCAAAGCCCACCCATCTCTGCCCATTTTCCTCAACGAGCAGGTCACCGGCACTACCCACGGAGACTCGCTGAGACGATGGCGCCTGAGCATGGCTTCAGATTCGGCCTACCGAAGCCCAGCTGCGGCGTTCAAGGTTACACTTGTTAAAGGCCATATGGCCCTAGGCCTCAGGGATGTCAGGGTTTCAGGGGCTCAAGCCTGAACTCCAGCTGAAAGCCGGGCCAAGGCACCAGGGAAGCACGGCCCGGGTGTGCGAAGCGCCGCTGGCGGTGTCTGCCTGGGCTCGTGGGGTTTGCGGTTTCGAAGGTTCTGGGATTTAGGTTACCATGTTCTACATAGGAGATCTCACATAATCCTCGAAAAGGATACCAGCCACAAAGGGACCCTAATTGGAACATCCCCTACCGACCCTGCGGCTTCGAGGGCTTGAGGGCGGCTGTAGTTTCGGTCGGGCTTCAGGGGTCTCGAGTCTGTGTGGTTCTGGTGTTGGATGATTTCCACCACTCGGTAGTGACTGTAGCTTGTGATGTCATTCCATCAGTTTAGGGAAGAGCTGGAAAGACATGCTGTCCCGAATATGCGGGCCTCGCTGCAAGAAAGTGCATTAGGCAGCGTGAGCAACTTCTGATGTGCTGATGTGCTCCCCTCCTCTTAAGCTGCTGGCTCCTTTCCAGGGCCTCGTGGGGTATGCCTCGGTGTATGCTGCGCAGTTGCTGTAAACGGGGGAGTTGTTCCTCTCGAGCGGTTGCTTGTGATTTCAGCTGCCATCCAAGCAGCCGTGCTTGAGGGGCTCACGCCGCATTTGCGGTCGGTGTGCCTGTCCCCAAGCAGATTGGGGAATGAACAGTCGCTTCCGCTGCCGTAATCTACCGCAGCTACCGTGAGCATTCAGGCCTCCCATGCCGCTCCTGACGCCCAAGGCAAGCGCACAGCCATCAGGACAAAGCACCTCAGCGAAGAGAGGCGATCCGAAGCCAAACACAACCGGAACTTGACTGTCATCCACAATCGGTCCACTTGGCAGAACACTTTGCCGTGTTGTAGTAAAACAGCATCTAGGAGCCCAGAATGTACCAGCTGCGCCCAAGGCATCTTCGAGACAAACCTCGACCCGAGGAATCTAAGCCACCAGCCAGACCGCCAACCGCGGCATGGTGGCGACTATCCTGCAGAGGATATTCGGCACGCTCGGGGCGTCGAGAGGCATCGGAAGCTTGTTACAATGCATGGCTCTCAGGATTTCGCAGCAAGAACGTCCCCGTCACAACGAAATACAGCGTTGCGAGTTGCCTGAAGGTCTCATGGCCCAGTAACCCCTGAACCCGCACAAAAGACAAGAAGGCACAGTCCTCATATCATATGGACCGCTTTCACAAGCAAAGGTGCGGGTTGCGTCGCATGGCTGCACGCTGAGAGTACATCATGCTGTACTTGCGTGCTTGAGCCCAAGCAGATTGCGAAAACAGAAACTAAGCTTCAGCTCCTTGCAATACTCTCCAACATGTCACTTCTCCTGTGACAGCAACTGCAACTACTTGAGGCAGAAAGGCAAGCAACCCCTCAAAAGGAAGCTGGTTCTACACTCGGGTACGCACGTCGACAGCTGTGAAGGCCGTATGGTTCAGAAGTATTCGAAGAACCTGAACGGTGGTTCTCTACCTGATCCACTCTCGATCCAATGATAAGTCAGAACAGCTTTGAGCGTTGCCCAGCTTGTCACAGCGGTATATGGTAGCTTCCATTCCAGCTTTATTCGCCATTTTTGGTTCTTCTTTTTTGATTTCATGTCTCTTCATTCCCAGACGTTTTACTTTCGAATCTTCATGCTGGAGCCTCGGCATGACCGTACTCGGCCGCCAGGTGCAACCTCTTCAGAAGGCTCGTATGCAAAAAAAACGTAGTAAAGAAAAAAACAAACGCGATGAGATCCCAAGCTCCGCAGCCCTAGCAGGATCTGGCAAGGAAGGCTCAGAGTCCAGCGCTGTGCGGCCGTGCAGCGCCCGCCTGGAAGTCGGAAGGTCCAGACTCAAGAAAGAGCCGAACTCTAGACGGAATGGAATTCACCTTTGGGTTCTGACTAGGCTGCCACCGCGTTTTATAACTTGCTACGAGTAGCATCAGAGCTGCGGCTGTGAATCGTGTGGCCCTCATCTCAGCGCGCCTGTCGGCGTCATGAAAGCATGGGGCCTCCGGCGTCACCCGCATCCCACGCACGGTGCTACTGTTTTAGCTTCGCTGGCATCAACTTATGGTGTCGAGTCACTAGGTCACTAGCATCCAGAGAGACATGTATTAGGGTTTCCCTTGCTAGTATCCCAAGAGTCCCAAAAGGACAAACAATGCATAATACACGTATACAAATGTGCGCCCATACTATCATGTATAAGGAGCCCTCTACACAGCGCGAACTTATAGATCCTACCTTACATCCCACCATGCACCATCTGCTGAACGCTGCACCATCCTCAGCATCCTCAGGCTGGCACATCCAGCAGCTGCTGGCATGCTTCCACGCACCCAGCCTCTGCTCGCTTCTCGAAGAGCAGGGCAGGTCCACTCTTGAAAGACACTGCCAAGGTCTCCAACTAGTCTGTCATCCTTGCAGTAGCCGCCAGCGAAACCGACACCCTGAATCCGAGTCCGCAATCCAACGATCAGCGACTCAGAGTGGCCGGCAAGGGCGGAATGATGGAGCGCAGTCCGCATGTGGAGATCCCTGGCACAATTTAGTCATGCTTGGGTGTCGAACCAAGAATCTTTGGCCTTTGTCTCGGAAAGTTCCGGGCAGCATGCAGATGCTGGGGGACCATGCAGCAGCTAGCCTGCGTGTAAACCTTGGACCTGCGCAGAAACTAGTTGTTAACTCGGCATGTACCCTGCATTGGAATGCCAGGACCAGCGAGAGGTGGTGACGTGACGAGATCCCCACGCGTTCCAGCGAGCAACAGGGACAGCCAAGAACAACTAAGAGAAATTTGGCGCGAATGAGAGAGATATGAGAGCCTGAGGAGCACACCCCCAAAGATACCCCGAGAAGCACTCTCTCTGATGGCGCTGCCTTGCTGACGCCATCTGTGCACCGCCCTTCTCAAGCCTGAGATGATCTCAAGAGATCTCAAGAGGCATTCAGCTGGATTGTGGAATCTGGAGGCATTCACGTCCGGGCTTTGACTTGGGTCCGGAGGCTGGAGGGCCAAGAAGCCAAGGCGCAGAACCCCTCGCACTTTGACCAGTCCTGTGGCATGTGCTCGCGCCAAGCTTGGACAAAAATCTCATGAACTCGCAGCGACGCAAGAACAAAGCCCGGGCTCCCGGTAACGACTCAACTCCAAGGACCCTGAAAAACTGTGCCGAAAACGGACAGCTTGGGCAGTCCTGGCAAAGCTGATGCCCTGTGAAGCGCCGTGCAGCCTTCCTTGAGGCTTCGGTTCAGGGGCATTAGCTGCAGACGCTCAAGTGAACCGACTGCTTGACTAGGCCCACTCCATGTCCAGATGGCTTTGAGCATTTCAAAATCTTGCCGGCCCCCCGTATATCTCTACATCCGTTACCTGAAAGCAGCTCCCTGAAGAAAGCGAGACTCTTGAGGAGGGCACCTTGTCTTGGGCATGAAGCTGCTGCAACGTGGCGCTGCGAAGGAGAGCAAGGGCCCTGGAGACTGGAGAGCACATTGAGGATGAGGGGCATGGAGAGCAGGGGTAGGAGGGGGTGCACAAAGGACTTCGAAACATGGCGCACCGTCTCTCGGCTGCCTTCTTAGCCTTAGGCCAAATTCGTAAGCCGTTTTTAACACCTCTGGAAGGGAAGCAGTTGCGATCCTGGCAGGATCCTCAGAGAGAACGGCTGCAAAGAGCGGGTTGTCGTCAGCCAGCCTCAGGCAAATGGAGGGAGCCATTGGCTCAAAAGAAGGGCACTGCGGGCCGTCTTCAGGGGGGTAATAGCATGGTAGTAGCTCTGACACTCATTGACTCAGAGTAGGCGGGGGGGAGTGATCAAGAGAGGCAAAGTCAAAACATCCCAAACCATGTTTGCAGAGGGAGGCTCACGAAGCTCAGATGCGCACTCGGCACCGAGCTCACCGTTCAATGCGCTGTCGGCCTCCTCGCGGTTTCTGGGCTTTGCCTCCAGGAGTTCACAGATCTGATGGTCTCCTTATTTGTTTTGAGGGGGCACTCGGCTACCTCCAAGCCCCATGTTTTTTTTTGCAGGATACAACCGGCATCGAGCAGGTCACTACAGTACAGCAAGGATGCATCTGCGACGCCCTCAGATGTAGGAGCTGACATAGGGTCTTATTTTGGTAGGATGCATCTGTGCTGAGAGGTCTCGACTGCCATATCCGCCGGCCCCCGAGCAGGGGCGGTGTTGGGCACCTCCACTTCATCGCTAGTTCGACGCGGAGGTCGCGCGGCAGCCACCTCGCTGCCCCAAAACCCTTGCAAAAAGCAACTGCGGATTTAGGACTGTCACATGGAGTTCAATCTCCAAGGGCGGTGCCGTGGCCGATGCGAACTCCTCTCGACTTACCTGAGGCTTTGCTCAGCCATGTGGCGAAAGGTGCGTGAAGGTATTACTTGCACTTTGTGGGTCTGACAATGGCTCTGAGCAGCTGGCACGGCCATCCAAGTTTGCATCCAGCTTGTCAAAAACTTCAGCCTGCCCAACTGCAAAGTGCGAGCTTTGTTGTTGTTGAGCCTGTCGATCCTGTGGCTTCTGCTCTTCCCGACACTACTGAAGCTATCGACCGATCGACGGACGTTTCCAAGTCTCCGGGGTGGCTGTCCTACAGGTCCGATATGCTGTGATGCTTCCCTGCGGAACGCACGTGATGTTTCAACGGTCATCGCAATGAGATGCCCCGTGCCGATACACCACGCATGCAGTATCAGTACGCGTGTCGCACATGAAACCATTCGGTCGCACTAAGAAACAGGCGCCTTCCGCTGGCCGTCCGCAACCTGGAAACAGGGAACGGACAGGAGCCGCAAGGAAAGCAGCAGCAGAACCATAATTCACCAAGTCGTACTTTGCCACTTTGTTCTCTCAGAAGAAGAGCACCCTCACACACAAGCAGAAAAAAAAGATACAAGAAACCTTGGCCGCGTGAAACTCCTTGAGGCTGACGTCGCCATCCCCATCCGCGTCCAGCTGTGCGAAAAGGGCCGCCTGGGGTTTTGCAAGCAGCTCGGCAAAGTCAACCAATAATGGTTCTGAGTCCGGGACATTTCGGCCCTCCGGGGACGTGAGCCCACCCTGCACCACACCACAGTTTCAGGGGTCAGCCATACGACAAGCATACGCTGTCAAGTCTTCGAACAAATATCCGCTGCGCTGAGCGTTTGCTAGATGAATCCACCACCTGGTATCGCACAGAACTCCCCCTTGACTGCACATGCTATCTCCGTCAAAATGCCTTCTATCATCCATAATGACGTTACAGTGCTCCAACTGTTGCAGCTGCCTTCTGTTGCAGCCATGACTCTTGCTCTACGAAGTCTTGAGGGATACAGTACCGAATGCCAGACAAAGCCCTGCTCTGACAGCGCACCATTGTCGCGTCATTCGGACTGCTGGGCGACATGGCCTGGGACTCCTGCGCACAACGAAACGCAGACACTGATGCAGCAAGGCGGCCTAGGTTGCAGCCCAATCACCACGGAGTAGCTGCACATACAGATGGGTGAGGTCGCATGTGCATAATACCATCAAGCACACATGCAGGAGTGCTTAAGTATGCTGGACGTGTCGGTGACTGCAGCAATCAACCCTAACCCGCAAAGCATGCCTCCAAGCCCAGCTGGGATGCTGCATATAACCCTTAAACTTCCTTCACACATAAGCCCATCCTAAACCCCATGCCCAATAAATCCTTGGACCCGGGCCCGGTCGTGCATGCTTGGCGACAGCGACTTCCTGGGCAGCGAACTCGAGAGCTGCTCTCGAGGGAATTTCGGGAGGGGGCATGGGGGCAACTCGACTGCAGGCAGGAAGCACACCATCGTCAGCTGCAGTCCTAAGCTTGACTCCAGCAAGAATCAAGACCCCCCCTAAGGCGCACAACCTCAAGAGGTAAAGAGGCGCGTGAGCTCGTGTGCTTGCTGAGGATCGCAAGGTCGAGGCCCAGACCTCACAACAGAACCCCTAAAATTCATTATATGTTGAGGTGGCCCTACAACAATACCCTAGCCCAGTACCTGACATAGTTCGCGCTACACGTTGAGCTTCAAGGGAACCCACTACAGTGTAGAATTCTGGAGACCCATGACAGTGTTGCCTTACTCAAGCCCTCCTGTAAGCTACCCGTGGTTCCTTCAACGGCCGCCTGCCCCTGGAACGTCCAAGGACCCAGCTCTCGCTCAAAGCCTGGCGGCGGAAGTTGACTCAACGTCTCAAAGCTTGGAACATGATGGAACCAATGGTCTCAATATTTATGACGTAACAGAGTCTCATTCTGGCTTTCAGGGGAGGAAGCCTCCACAGCATCCCGGAGCCATCGCGTGTCTTCTTCCACCGCGTCACAAAGCTGCCGGTGGTCCTTTTCCAGAACCTGCATCATCCCGCAACCCTGAACCCATAATCAGCCCTCAGCATGGCGAGCCAGCAGGGATGAAACAAGACTGATGAGTCGTACTGGTTCCTGGGGCCCACTTGTACTCACTAGTACATTCCTTGCCCCATTAAACCCCTACTGCAAACTACTTGATGGTGGCCTGCAGGCGTGGTAGCACTCGGGTGTCCTGAGCCGCCATGTCTCGGCCATGTCTCCACGTGATATCTCTGAAGGCTTGAAGGATAATAGACGCAAGGCTGCGGTTGCGCGTGCTGGGACCAATGCCTGCATAGCCGTCAGGACTGCGCTTTCCAATTCTGCCTTGACCTGAGGTCGCAATGAAGTTTCCGTCGAAGCTGCATCGCCCACAAAAGACCTAATCTACGATGAAACGGGCATTGGAGTCTCTGGGGCGGAATTGGAGGGGCAGTTGTCCGTGTCTGGCAGTGGAGATCACGACTTCTTCCTGAACCCAGGCCTGATCCCTTTAATCCCAGGATACATCACTGCACGTAAACACATTCTTCCTGAAGACCCTGTACTTTGACCAGCCCGCGGAAGCTTTCAGAAACTTTCGAGAACCCCATAAAAACTCCGTTGAACCCGTGAGCCTCTCCGTCCCTTGGGCTTCGGCAAAGGCACGGAGGCGGCCCTCCAAGACGCTGACCGACGAGGCCTCGGCAGGAGGCTTGCTTTGTTGGGCTTTGGGGGATCTTTAACCCCGACCTGCAGGCCGATCAGCTTGCTCTCGGATTTCACAAGTGCCTGGAGCGCAGGACACCCCAGGCTCCATGGGAGCTTACGAGATTATAGAAGTGCTTACAAGTGCGTATCGGGGTATGCGAATGACTGATGCACCTTTGCAAGTTGCGGCCTGCTCCATGTTGTACGAATCCATCGCCTGCTTTTGCAGAGTCTCGGCCAGGCGCGCAACCATCCCGACCTTGTCATACGTTCCACATCGATTGTAAACCCGAGAGCTTCTGCTCGGCTCCAGGCCGCTTGCTCTGTCTGCTCTTTGCACCACTCGACCTGAGGAGGAGGGGATGGGAGGGGAGAGGGGCAAAAGGGCACGAAGAGGGCCAAAGAACAAAGAGTGAAGAGTGCTGGAGGGTTGTTTGAAAATGTGTGGTTTTTGAATGTAGTTGAGGGCTGCGAGATGCTGCAAGGGTCAATCTAGAACCACTCTTGAACAGCGCTGCCGGACCTGCTCCATCGAGCCGTCCACCCGCTCCGACATGGCCCGAACCTGTGACAACCAAACCCTTACCCTGAAAGCACCACAGACACTTCAAGTTGCGCAGCTGACTCCAAACCCCAGGCAAGCATCCGAAAACAGACGTGCAGCCAGCGGCCTGCTGCTGCAACACTTCCACCTGGTAGGGCAGCCGGGCAGCACCACAGGGTGACTAGGGTCCAGCAGGATGTGGCAAAGGACTACCAACAAGTGGTCAAGTGCTTCTGTGGAGGAAGAATACGACCACTGTTGTATCTGGTACAACAAGGACCTCACATCTCCCTGTCTAAGAGCGCGACCTCAGATCCATCTTTGCACCCCTCGTCATCAGCAAATGTCGGGAAAGGGGCACAACCATCGTGGCTTGCACAGTGTCTGCAACTACTCCCCGCCTCGTGCTTTGGCAGATCGAAACATTCTGCAAGGGATGCAACCTGCGACGACGAACAGGAAGTGGCACACAACCGTCTGCAAATGCGTGGATAGCGTTCGAGTGTTCCATGATGTTCCATGCTTGCATTCGTGCAAACTGACTCCAGACTCTTGACAAGTCCTTGTCCTCAGGACACGATGCTTTACGTCACACACCCACACAATCCATGGGTCAGCCCTCTGTCGCGTGCCCTGGATTCATGATCCTGAGGCAAGACGGTTACACATGTGCCGAAACCGTCTTGGACTTCAGAAACCCTCTGCATCCATGCCTTCTCCTTCAAATCCAGCAGCTCCTGTGGGTTTGGCAGGATTCGACTTTTGGGCTCTACAAGTACCTCGGAGTTGTTGATTCAAGTCAAGGCTTCCAATTCCGGTTTGTAGAGCGTGCCTGGGGTCATGGTGCACCATTGACTGAACCCACCTTCTCCAGGCGAGGCGCCGCCACGGTAGCTGCGGAGCTCCCCGCAGCCTTGGGAAACGATGGAGGGAGGCGGCGGGGGAGGCGGGCGGGGGGTGGGGGACCCTGCTGCGGGTCACGCTTGGGAACGCTTCCTAGCTTGACTAGCAAAGGTCAACAGGCGCACGACCTTTTGGGTAGCAAGGCTGGGAGGGAGGATTGTCACTCCTCCACTTTAGCACCCCATAGCCCAGGCATCTGGCAGGGGATCAAAAGCCCCCACCAGGTCGGAGTCTGCATCTTTCTGCCATCCACCCCCGGCCTCGCCAGTGTTTGGCAAGTCGTGGCCGCTCTTCCGCTTGTGTATCCTGGAGTTGGCTGGTTGCTTTTGCAAACCTACAGCTTCCTATCACTTTCTGCTCAGCAAGTTCGCCCATGCAGGACAAGGAAGCGCGAGCAATGCTGAAAATCTCGGGGCACTGAAGATACAGAAGCAAACTGCAGCATGCTTTGACGTTGCATCTGGCAGACTCTTGCAGCTGCACCTCCTGAGTCCATGCAGCTTCAATAAAGCCTGGACGAACTGCTCGAAGGAGACAGCACCTTAACACAATTCCCGACCACCTCCCTCCTGCACCTTCACATCACCAGGTGGTCTCGTGTCTACCACTTGCTGTGAAGGCACTGGACATGTCCAGGCCGAGGATCTCGAACTCCGCCTGCCATGAAGCAGCTACGGCTCGGCAATCCGACACCAACAACTGCAATTGTTACACCATGCTACACCATACATCACCATCCAGCAGCGGCTCCAACTAGCATCAGTAGAAATCGTCGCCGTGGCTTAGTAAAACTGATTTCGGAGCCCTGGTAGTAAGCGCTGTGGCCATGCTCGTCTCCGATTGGTGCCTGCAAGTCCTCCGTCTTCATTCGTTCGAGCTCCTCCAGAGCATCAGCGAAGCAAGACCAAAAAACACAAAACACACGCATCATACACACACACACACACACATATCTTCATGCGGTTTGCGACCACAATTCTGTGGCCAGTACTGTGGCAGTCAGCGCGCGTCCTCCTTTGGGAGCCCCGTGTGGTCTTGGACCTGCGGACTGGAAGGGGGTTGACTTATGGGGGCTTTGAGAGGCCTCTTGAGGTGGATTAGAGGGTGATGAGGGAGGGGGGGGGAGGTGGGGCACTAAGTGCAGCCTTGCCTTGTCGGGTGCCCGGTTAAGGGCCCACAAAGCCTCTCCGGAACCCGCCTAGCAGTGTAGCAAGCCTTCCAGTCCTCAGAATGCCCCAGACCGCCCTCGCCTTTCTACTTTCAGGCTGTGACAAAGTCAGGGACCAGAGATGGGGTTGTGCAGCATTGGGCATCCATTTCAGGGCCAGGGACACGTGCCACCTAATCTTGCCAGCACCCGCGCATCCCACCTTCTGCACCAACTGCTCGGTGCCTCTGAATGCCTTGAGCAGTTCCTTGGAGGAGAATCCCCTCTGCATGGACAAGCAACCACGGACATGCAGCAAAGCTGCAGACATCTGGAGCTTGGTGGCCTGGTGAGGCATTACATCTGTTGTCTGGTGGCACCAAGATGGCAACCAACCCAAACTGTCATGCTTGCATTGCCAGCGGCTGGACTGCCTAAGGCGCAGCTCTAGAAGCGCCCACATGCTCTTCCCGCTTGGGCTTGGCATTTGCTAGCATGCGCGAGTCCGAGCCTTCCCGCTCAGGTTGGAAGGGTCCTGGCGAAGAAGGCAACCAACTCTCTTTCGGCGATCCCTTGTACAGCTTGTACAGAGCGGATAGGACAAAAAAACGTCGTCGGCCGCTTGCGTCTGCCCAGGAAGTGAAGATGCATATCATGCCGGAATTGTCCTACTGGTAGCACCCAACAACAGGGCCGTTTAATCGCAACCCTCAACGGAGCTGCTGGAAAGTCTAAATTCGGAGGCCTCAGACGACTCAGACATGCCTTTGCTCATCTTGGCTCATCTCAGCTCTTGGCTCATCTATGGGCCCGAGGGCAACCCCGGAAAGGTGATGAAGACGAACTGAAACAGTCTTGAAAGCCCAACATGCTCGCACAACATCCCGAAAACCGGATTTCATGAAGCAGAGAAGCTTTCAGAGAAAATGCCTTCCAATGAGTTCAAGAACATCAACAACCAGAACAATGCCGTAGAAGCATGGTTCGAGGAGCCTTCATTCGTGAGAGGAACCGTTTGCTATTTTTAGATCGGCCACGCTGGGCGGCTGGGTCAAGTGTCCTGGAGCCGCAAGCTCTGCAACGGAAGCCACTCGTCCTTGCCATTGTGGGGATTAGGGCTCACCATGACACACCTCAAACCCGAGATGCAGTAGCCCGAAGCCCCGAAACATCCGATAACCTCGATACGCGGCGTTGCGCACGCTAGCAAACACGTGATGACAAGATGGCCTCGTCTTCGTCAAAGCCCAGGAAATGCACCTGCGGACCCACTTGCAGTGCTTGCATGAGGAATACGAAAGGGGTCAGCAGGGTCTCCCAAGACCATCCTAACACACTGGCTGCAAGCCTGTTGTCCCTTCTTAGGATGCCCCTCAATATAAGGGATCGTATTCTCCGAGGGCACAGGGACCCAAGAGCAGTAGAGAACTGACCCTAAGCCTACCAACTCTTCAAACTAGTAAGCGCCCGAGATGACCCCACTCCCAACCCTACCTAATTGCGGAGTGCGCGCGTACATGTCTCAACGCTTCCGACTCCGAGACCTCAAGAAAGAGCACTGGTAGGATGGAAGGAGAAGCGGAGGAAAACCTTCCTATCTTTGCATGAAAGTAGCCACTCTCGCAAAAGAGCTCCAAAATTGCAAGGGGCTTAATTGGTCGAACTCCTACCACAGACCAACCCGAACCGTCGAGAAGGCCGCTTTCCTCATATCAGCAATGGGGATCCGCCTTCACACGTCCGGTTTCCTGGGCAACTTGCAGAACCTGGCAAGGCACAAGTTTGTCGGCACTACTTGTACCCTGCTAAGTCTGAGCGATCGACTGCATCCCTATACCTTGGGTCTATCCTTTGTCTCCTTCCTCCATCCTTGTGCACTGTAAGGTATGTGTTGCGAACGGACGGCCGGGTTGTCTTCCAGCCGTGATGACATGAACCATAAGAACTACTGTTTGCGTCCTGCCGCAAGATCCGCAAGCATCTATCCGAAGATCTATCCTTCATCATGGTAGTTCATTGAACCCAAAGAAGACCAGTACTTAATCAAAAAAAACCGGAGAACAAAATCTGCCGCCCTGCACAGCATGGGCCCATCTTGGGAGCCAGCATTGGCCGGGTACCAGACTCCGTCGCCATACGAAAGGGACTGGGCTTCCACCTTTGAACTCGGGCGAACTCGGGCGGCGCTCAAGCTGCCGAGCTCTAGGGGCTTAGGGATGGCCCCCACTCAACGGCAATCCCCTGCAACCCTCTGCAACCTTCACAATGAAAGGCCGGGTGGCCTTCTTTCCTGCACGGCGCGACTCCTGCGAAAATGCCGAGGGCATGAAACCAGAATGGTGGGCTCGGGGGATGTCTTCAATGTGACAAGAGCGGATGCTAATAGCTGGATCCCTCAAGCTGGCTGTCCTCTGCCTGCTCCAAAGAGAGTGACCCGCTTGCAGCGGCAGCTGATGCCTTGCGGGGGTGTATGGGGGGAGGAGAGGGGAGGAGAGGGGGGGGGGGGGGCATTTTCAGGACCCTACTGTACTCCTGCCAGTTGCCAGGTCCGTTGCAGGTGCAAGGCTTGGCCAACAGTTGTTCAAGGTTTGCCTGACAACCCTCAGCCTTTCCAAGAGCCCAACCCTACCGATCGATGGCCTTGCTGGATCCATCGCTCATGAGGCCACGGCAGGCAAGTCGATGGAAAGCATGAGAGGCTTACTCTCGAGGTTCCGATGTGGATTGCAAGGGTGGGGTGGGGTGCTTGAGGCCTACTCCAACACCCATTCACGACAGGCAGCTATCCATGTGATTATGTCGGGCCTCAGCGGCGGGCAGAAAAGTAAATGGTAGCTATGTTGCCAGGCTTGGAGACAACCCAGCAACAAGCAAGAACTGGGCAGGGCAGGTGGACAAGATTGTGTTTGAAGCTGGATCAGCTGGCCATTGCCTAATCCGTGAAAATCGATCATGCGCCTGTGCGCCTGCATTGAATCATTGGGGGCAGGGAATGACATCAACAGAGTTGTTAAGTGGTTTGGGGTTTACAGCTTGGGTTCGGAGGTGAGCGTGACTGTTGGACGGCTCGAAGGCCAGACAATGGATAATGAAGATGCAGAATACACTGTGGCTGCTAGCCAGTTGCCAGAGTCATTCCCGCAAAGAAGCTATTTGTAGCTTGGCGATTGCCAGAGTCATTCCCGCAAAGAAGCTATCTGTAGCTTGGCGATCTCGTACAGAAGCATGTACCTGATTCACAATCCCCTCTGAAACCCAGCGAGTGGCAGATTTGGCACAGGCAAGGGCACACGCCATGACTTGGAGCGAGGTGGAGGATCCGCCTGCCGAGGCAGTCCGCCGAGCGAGCTATTACAATTTCTGTGCGATGCAAGCCAGCAGCCTTAGTTTTCAATTTCCGGCAACGGGCAAAGGGCCGCTCGAATCGAATCTTCCTTCCATCCTGTCATCCAAACCTTTCGCCGAGGCGCCAGGTTGCTCCTCGCCAGAAGGCAAGCATCCCCTCGAGACCTCGGGCATTGGCGAGGGAGGGGGCGGGCAAATGAAGTCTGGATGCTTCGGATGACCTCCTGCTTTCCGGCACCCATTCTGTGTGATTGGGCGCTGGCTCCAAATACTCCGTGCCGTTTCGATGATGCCTGCAGAGTCCAAAACGGCTCATCTGTTGAGTGGGTGGCAGCGCTAATCAGGACGGTGACAGAAAGTGACTTTCCATCGGAAAGACGCGACATGTGGACGCATGCATATGCATACGGTGCATGGCGCCTGGGGGACTTGTGCCTGCAGGCCGGCCAATGATTCCTGTGCAAGGAAGCAAGAGTGAGCCAAAATTCGGCGTTGGCGTTGGCGTTGCATCTCGCAACACTCCGAGAGACTGAGACAGCCGCGTGTCTTGATGACATCAAGAGGATTCGTCACCTCGGTGGACTCTTGGCAAGCACAACTCACCACACCAACATTCAAAGGCAAACAATTTACAATTGAGCGTCAAGGCACGTCAAAGGCGCATCAAAGCGTATCAAAGGCGCATCAACGCGTACCAAAGCGTATCAAAAGCGCAGGTGGGGAGCGCACGAGCGCCGTTAAGGTGCCAGTGCCAACGCCAAGTGCGAGATTCTCATACACCTCGGGGTCGCGGACGCATGCGGATAAGACGATGCTCGTACAGTCTCAGCATTTGAGCGGCAACAGACCGAAATCGTGAGAGGGCGGCTGGCAAGTCCGAGGAGTCACGGACGGAAAATAGCCACTGCCTGCGCCGAGACAAAGAATCAATGCCCTCCTCAAAGCACTCTGCATGAAACTGGCTGAGCTGCCGCGCATGCTCAAGGTTAAGATCATCAAAGTCTCTAAGTTGCAAATTCGGACTCTTCGAACCATCCGAAGCAACTGCAAAAGATGAAGGAGCTCTTGAAAGGCCGAAAGGCCTGCTGGTCTCGAAAATAAACCACCCAAATGCGCTGTAGCAGCAGTCGTGCAGGACTGTTTGCGGCCTCCACGTTTAGCATTGGAGTACTGCTTCAGAGCGAGCTTTCAGAAGGTCCATGAATGATGCATCGCTCTAGACTAAACTGTGGAACATTCACTGGATCGCTTTTTCCGTTGATAACCCTGGGTTTGAGTTGGACAGCAGCAGTTGGGGAAAAGGGGCTTTCATGACAGATTCACAGCTAAACCAAAGGCCGACGTTCCGAACCAGGTCTTTGCATGCTTTCAGCGGAAGAAACACGGGGTACAGAGCCGAGTCCACAACCTCAATCCCTGAATCCGACGGAGATGACTAGCCGAGGATGCTTCGTGCCCCAGGCAAGTGCCCCCCACTTGGCAGCCACGCAAGAAACTTCCTCGATAGAGGTCCTTGAGGTTCATCCCCAAGTCCTTGTCAGAGGTGGCACATGGGACTATCAAGGCTTACAAGTCCCTCTGGAGTTTTCGAGAGCTAAGGCTCCTTAAGATTCCTGAGGCTTTGAGCCTTTCTGTCAGCCTGAGATAACCAGTGAAGGAAAAAGAGCCTGGGACTACAGCTGCCATAATCCCAAAAACTTACCCCGACAGCGGGCAACCCCAAGAAACTGAGTTTGCAGAATAGTTCCGGAAAACTTTTGATTCCAGAGGGTGGCTCTACATTATACTTGTGGGGGTGGCTCTGCATTATACTTGTGGGTGCAGAAGTTGATCGAGTCAAGCCCTGTGCTCTGCAAGCAGCTTCACTGGAAGCACCCTCGTGTTGGATTTGGGTGTTTGAGGGACATGCTGATGAACAAAAACCACTCAATCCAACGGCCTTGAAGGCTTGCCAGCTGTTGCGGTAGACCCCGAGCTGTAGCCGGAGCTTCGCCACCTTCGATCAAGGTCGGTTCCTTCAAGGCCCCTAAGGGGCATTCAAACCCCATAGCCGCTCCGTGGGTAGACTCGGGGATAGGTAGACAAAAGTGTTCAGACCGCGTCCGTTGGCCTCCATGGGGAGTCGAATAACGGAGCCGGCCACCTTTCGCAAACTTAGAGATTTAGCATTCTGGCTGACCCCATGCTGGCCCACTCTTCCCCTGCTTTCGGGATCTTGTCGCGTGACATGCCGTGCCCTTGCCTGTGAGCCTGGCTGCATATGGCCACTTACTTGATGTCTTGGGGCCCCCTCCTAAACCCTTCACTGCAAATCCCTCGAAATAGTCCTGAAGTCCTGGTATGTCCTGGTGCATCTTCTACCTCCAGAGTTCTAGTTACACCGATTCTACCTGGTCTCTACCTGTACCCGAAGCCCAAGTGCAGTTGCAAACGTCTGCTCAGGAGCCCCTGCTTCTGCGGCCACTCCCGCTGCCACGAAGGTTAGGCCGGAGTCTCCGAAGGGCGAAGGGCCTCCCAAAGAGGGCCCTGAGACTGAAACCGTTCCCAAACTGCTGCCTCAGGATCTCCGGTATACATCCTGCGCCTCCGAAAAAAACCGAAACGTGCACCAAAACGAACGGAAGCCACGCCCGTAAAAAGAAAGTGCATCGCAGCCTATTACAGCAAACCAAAAATGCAGACGCAGACTTTGGTTTGCTGAGTTTGCTGCGCCCACACGGTCTAGTGAGCCCAAAGTCTTGCTGGCACAAAGGGGCTGGTGCCCGGTGGATGTCAGTGATGTCAGCACTCAGCGATCGTCGCCTTTGGAGAGGGCATCGCGAGCACTGATGTAGGCGCTCATGTAGACCGCCTCATCGCAGGGCTTGCCCGCACCCATGACAAGGACTCGGCATTTGGAGGGTGGGTCTCAAAACCAGCCGCCTGGTAGGGAGAGTACAGTAGAAGCTTGGGAACCTCGTGGCATAGTGCCAAGAATCGGTGCAAATGCTGCAACAGCCAACTTGCAGCTTCCGCCTCAAGGCTCAGACCACACCCCGGTAGACACCCGTGAACGTGCGGAGGTGCCGGAACTCTGCCGTCTCTCCAAAGCGTCGTGCCTCTGAGAGCAACCGGCGAAAACACAAAAAGGCAACTGCAGGTATCGGCCAGTGTGAGATACCACGCGAATGTGTATGAAGGGGTGGCCTGCTTCCTGCTCTTCCAAGTGTCCAGGGGATACAGAGCAAGCTTGGTTGCCTCAGCTGAAATGCGATGCAGGCCAGTTCCAACACCATCTACCCGGGCAGCTTTGTCCCCGACGGCTTTCGCAAGGCTGCCTGCCACCGCCTGGTCAGCTGCCGTCAGCCTGCAAAGCACTGCAAAGAGCACCCACAAAAGGGAGCAAAGGGAGCTGCATTTACGGGATGGGGACTGAGACCATCTTGAAGCCACAGAATGACAGCAATGTGACAGCCCGACTTTGCATCGCTGTTCGGTGTGACGAAGCCGCGCTGACTCGCCGCCGAGCCTGTGCAGGCGACGCGTTGAAAGCACGCTGCTATGCAGGCAAAGGGAGACCCTTTAGGATCATCTGAAGGAGCACTCTCCAATCTTGCGCAGCACCCGACAGAAAGAGCTGTCTTGACATTTGACTGAAGCGACTCTGCAGTGGGGCCTCAAAATGCCAAGACAAGCTGAGCTGGCCTTCATGACCGCCCTCGTGCATCGTCATGCATGCCGCCGAGCGCACCAGAAGCCGAAGCGGGCTCAAACAAATGAAGCCGGGCCCAATTGAACTGTTTGGGGGCCGAGGCGCGTGGCTTTCAAAACGTTTCCAATCATGTTGTCCGGCTACTGATTCAGGCGGCGTGCAGTGACTCAATGATTTCGTTTGCTTCGTCCAACTCGTGTGTGGGCCAATGATACATCTGCGTCACACATCAGGCCAAACCCGCCCTAGAGTCCTAGAGGCTTGGGGAAATCTGGGGATCAGCCCTTGTCTATTTTATCCTTCCTTCACTTCCCAGTCAATTCTTGACAAAGGTGTTGTCATGAGAGTGTTCCTTCATGAGCTTGCTGGAGCCATCAGGCCTCCCATGGTGCCGGAAGATGCCGACGCCGGAAGCTGCCAAAAGCATGCGCAGACTCGCAGCCACGAGAGATCACAAGAGCATGCCAGAGCCTCTGAGCAGCATAAGAGCAACCGGCACGCAAACAGGCACGCAATTTCTGCTCGAAAGCTCGCTTTAAATTCGGGTCGTAGGCGCGACGATGTCGTCGTGGCCATGGGACAACTTCTTCCTTTCCACTCGTCCCTCCAGGCACTTTTCTGCCAACATCTGCCAACATACCTCACTGAGCCTCACTGCTGCAACATTCTGCAAAAAAAGCCCTCCGACACTCGGAGTTTCGGCTACTATGGCTACATCAATTCTCGCCACGGTGTCCGAGGCAGATCCCGCGCAAAGCCCCCCAAGTAGCAGAGGATCCGCCCCACGCTTGAGCTCCAGGATTGAGCCGCGGTCCTGGCTAACGAAAGGAGCAACTCGGCAACTTTAGCAGCGTACTGGGCCATACATGATACATGGTTTAGCGAAAGCTCACGCCAGTCCTCAGCCCTTCAGCTCCTGGGCTTTTCGCCAGGCCTTCTTCCACCTCTGAAAGGCGGGTGCTTTTTAGTTCTTCGTGCTTAAATTTGGCACTGGTGTACTCTGTTGCGACAACACCAACGACCTACAACATGTCAATCTTCTGCAGACAATTTGGCTTTATCACGCTTTGTCTGTGAGAATCCCAGCTCCCTCTTCCCGTTGACTTATCAACATGTCACGTCAGAGTCCCCAGAAGTGCCTCTGAATCAAGATGTCAGCGAGCTTCGTGACATACGAATCTCCCTGCTTGCGGCAGTCGTTCACTGTGATGCCGATTCGGGTCTTCTCCAGCTCGTGGGCCAGGACCTCCCTCCTTCCTAGCCCCTTTAGCCAAGCTACAGCCTCGTGCAGGTCCTTCGATGTCAGGGCTGCTGTCAGACCATCCTTTGCAGCAACAATGCCCGTCAGATCGCAAGGCACGTCATGTGCACTTACGTCCGACAGGGGCATCCAGCTTTTTGCCGCCTTCCCCGGCTCTGACTCCTTTGTCTTGCTGCGCTTCGACATTCCCGGCATCGGGTCACACGTTGAAGCGTGGCGCTTTGCTGTACCCTGTGCGTGCTTGCAAGGTGTAGGAACTGCTTCACGCACGGAGCGAGGCTGCGATGCCTCCGGGGTGCGGATGCCTTCTGCGCCTTCTGAGCCATCACAATGCTTTTCTGGCTTTTCCTGCACTGCTGGGTTCTTGGCAGCAAACTGCTTCCGGGCCTCCATCGACATGACTACCTCAATGCAGGACTTTTCATCACCGCGCTCCAGCTTCGTCAACTGCAAGCCGGACAATGCGAAAGAGGCCTTCACAAAGTTTTGCAGCTCCTTCCACATCTCTGGCGATAGCTCCACCTTAAACCGAGCCTTCAAATGACCTTTGCGCTCGATCCGCGCGCTCTCGGTCGAGCTGAAGCTTGATTCGACCCAGTTTCGAATCATCCGCACTGTCGCCAGCATCAGCGCCACTGCGGGGTCTTGCTCCCGCTCGTCCGAGGTACCCTGCATTTCTGCAGATGCCCGCGCCCACGAGCGCACTCAAGATCTTAGGCCGTCGGCTTAATGATATGCTTTTGAGTGTCCCGTGGCTGCAATCCAGATCAGCCTGATGCCAGTTTTCGTTTTTTGGAAGTAAACCTAGAAGATTCCAGAAGACTCGCACAAGACATTTCAAAGCCACTCTGCCACTTCCAACCACCGCTCTGCAAAGTTGTTAAACATGTTGTCCGTCGGCCTTTTTTTCACACGAGTCTGGAGGTGCCTAGCGTGGTGCCGCTGACGAAGATTTCAAGATCAGCAGGGTCGCAGCTCTTGATTTCAAGGGATTTAGGTGCCACCTAAAGAAACGAAAGATAACGAAAGTATACAGTTGAGAGCTCTTCTCGAGGAAGCCGAAGATAGCCATGTCTTGGCTGGTGTGCACCGAATCCCTGTGGGGAGTGTCACGAAGCCTTCAGGCCCGGAGCGTGGCCCCCGGAAATGACGGGAAACAATCCTGGAGCATCCGATGGGATGCAATTTAGATACGACTTTCCCTTGACAGGTGCAGGATGAAGGGGCTTCAAGGGCACCAGGAGGCCTAGGACGCTAGGAAGCTACCAGTACCCCGCAAAATGATCTGATCCCGTGCACTTCCTTTTCGCCGGCTCCGGCCGGGAGTTGCAGCTTCAAAAAATTGATCTTCCACGGCCTGTCGACTTGGCCCTTGGGGCGCTTAGAGATTACCGCATTTCGGTCTCACGGTGCTCTGGGGTCTGTTGGAATTTGGGGGCTGTGGATTAACATGGGATCAGGCTGTTGAGGGCTCACTCATGAATCTCATGCGCTTGCAAAAGGAACCATCCTCAGCGGATGGGACTCTTTGATGCTGGTAAAGGCAGGTGGATCAGTGGACTCCGCTATCAACAGGCCCTGTGAATCCTAAGCTGATTCATCTGACATCCTGATGAATCCTAATGCTGATGGCGCGGCTCCCTTTGTTGGCTGAACCTTCACTTCTTAGTCACGTGGAGTTCGAAGTGTTGGGCAGCCGATGTGCCAGATTTCGGATGGGTGTAAAGTTGTCGCAGTCTGACTTGGACCCGGCCCAAGATGCCTCATGATGCCACACGATGCCCCTACTAGTAGTGTGACAAGAAATCACCTGTGCTTTCTCGTCCAGGAGCACCGCCATCGGATCTCACTCCCTGAATACAGCGGGCTTAGCTTCCCTGCGCCAGTGAAACAGCACGAAGACACAGGGTGATGCTTTGAGTCTTTGAGCCCAAGATGTAAGGACTAGCATTCGCAACTTGCCTACTGCTGCAACGTCTGAGACCAGTCACTTAGCGGCTTTCCATCAAGATGCTGAACGCTAAATTTTTCAAGGAGCCGCAATAAGATGAAGACATGACAGTGTGCTGCCTTTGGGCTGTAGTCAGCTTAGGCAATTTTAAGCATCAACAACTTCCTGCTGTGGCGCATGCTGGGCCAGATTCTGTATCAGAGATGCCTGGCCGTGACTCCGATTCTCCAGTGTTGCAACGTGCAATGTAGCCAAGGCTGAGACATCTCTCTGCAGGCTTTCTGAGCTGAAGTGCATGGACGCTGTCCACAAGGAAAATATGACCAGGCCCGTACTTCAAAATCCGAGGCCCAGCCAAAGTGTGGCGAAGAGCGGTTTGAGCTTCTGACTGTGCAGAAAGCCGCCGCTGCAAAGAAAGTTCAGAAGAAAACGAGCTTGTGCTGTCAGACCGGGCCAGATGCTAGACGCTAGGCTCCTGCTGGACTCTAGACCCCCGAATACTGCTCAACAACGACATCCAACCCATTCTGCACGCACGCGTTCAAGCACGTGGCAAGAGAACAACCACAGCACACCCATGCACACTCCACCCTTGCAACCAATGTCATAATGCACAGCCCGGAACCCTAAGCCCGTCTTCCTGAACGGCAAAACCTTCTGCGATGAACGCCATCTGATTCGTCTCTGCTTTCTCAAACCTGCGACTGGCTCTCGGCAATAAGATGCGTCACACATTAGGCTTTGGGGAGTCGGTTTGTGGTTCAAGGTTCCCTGGCCCATGAGAATTGTTGTCAATGCCATGGCTTGGCACGTTCTCACGATTCAACAATGCATAAGTCATAAGTCGGAAAGCCACATTCAACATTCGCCAGACGAAAGAGAACTCGTTAAGAGGGAGGATGTTGCGACGAATTTGAGTGTAAATTTGGCTTGACAGGTTCGCATGCAACGTCCGACGGCGTTCCTGGAACCCTTCAAGTGGGCCGCAGCAAAAAAAGGCGACACAGTGATTCCCACAACATCCACTCAATAGCTCTGCATCCGGCTAGACAAACCCCGAGCATCCTCGGACCTTCATGTGATGGACCCTCCCCGGATTTTCTCGGATCTTGACCCTCTCCCAAGGCCTCAGCCGCCTGCGTGGCCACGAAGGTTGGCCCTGTGCCGCTGCTGAAGGAGGCGGGGCCCTGTCTTTGAAAAAGCGTACTTGAAACCGGATCTCAAAGAGCTCTGCTCGGCTACAGTGTTACAGCATGTTACAGCATGTTACAGCCCTGAAGCGTGTGGTGTGTGGCACAGCATGAGTGCGTCGTGTGGGCCATTCTCACAAAAACCGCTCACAAGCACAAGCAGACTTCAGTCACCCCGACTGGAATTACTGGAACACACCGCACCCTGTGCCGGCTTTGCATGGCTACCGTGATTGGTGTGATGCCAGATGCGAGCTGAATGGCCATCACAATCTAAATCAAACTGAATCATGCAAACCCTATTCTGCGGGCCTGCGAGCTGCTGGACCTCTGCACCGGGGGTTTCGAATTCAACACTGGAAAACCCTCTGATCGCTAGACCACTGTGCCCCGGGATAGTTTCCGCACTGTCCTCCCCCCCACCGCCCCCTGCGGCCCCTGCAGAGGCACACCTTTGCACCCCTGTGCACCCTGCTTGCAAAACATCTTAACACGGAAAGAGGCTCCGACGCAGCTGCAGCACTCGATCCGCGCACGAGTGCACGGGCATTGGCAGCATGCCTGAGATGAGCGAGCAGTCTGGCCATCGCACCCTCTCATGCACAGACACAGGCATAAAAACGAGAGGGACACAGTGTAACACGAGTGAGAAGGTCCACGCCCCTGTGTCCTATGAAGCTGTGGACCCTTTTGTCTGAAGCCTTCTGCTTGAAGAATGGCAGATGTGGAACTAAGCCAAGTTAAGCCCTTTGCAGAATGCCTCAGATCAGGCAATGCATACAATGCCTCCTGCCATCTTTCTCTCTACGCATGGCAACCGTGCCACTCCAACCTGAATGCTTACGACCCCGCTTCAAGCCCTGCACGTTGGTTCGTACTGCTCGAACTGGGCCCAGATCGCGTCCACATCAGCTGGGGACAGTTGCCTGCACCAAAGAACGGAAAGCGTCTGCGAGTATGGACAGTATGGATACTGGCGGTGGCCGGAGCTTCCACAAGCTTCGGCTTCTCAAGTCCACAAGCCACAGCCTGCCAGCAGCCTGGCGTGTCACGAACTCCTGCCGCAAAAACGCAAAATTCGGCCATGTTCAGCAACTCTGTCGGCAACCGTCTCCATTCAATGGCCTCGTGAATCACCAGTGTTTCAGTGCGTTTCCACCTGTGGTACCTCTTAACCGATGCTCTTGGAGCTCTTTTCGAGCTTTGCAAACTATCCACGGTGCAGGAGTAGTCTCGTCGGAACTTCTTATAGGCGGCTCACTACAAGTATGCGGCTGCTGGCAGTCCTGCCAGTGCTGAAGCGCAACCTGCCAGCCACGGCAGATATTATGACTCTGCATGCCTGAGGCTTGAAACATTCATGCATGATCGTGCATGAACCTGATATTGTAGGGTCGTCTAACAGCAGCGGACAGTGGAAACCCCCTAAAGCCCGCCTGGACAGCCCATGGGAGCTGGTCCATCTGCCTGGGTTTTCCAAACCCTGTAGAGCTTTGGGTGGTAGTGGAGCGACTGGGCTTACTTGCGGAATCGCTGCAGGGACCTGCCGAGAGCACTGCTGAGGCGCACTGAGCCGCACGCACCTTGTTTTGGGCATCACCTTTCTTCTGCATCTTGTCGGCGATCCAACTGTGCCCAATTGAGAGATGCTCTGGGACTAGGGCGATACTATGGCTTCAGGGGGGGAAGTTCGGATGACAAGGTGCGCTTTACTTACCACTTGCAAGGTCCTTCCCAAACTTGCATGGATTCTTACACAAACGCGAATGTAAGAGATGATGTGCATCGCGCTGTGCTGTGCATGTGCCATGTCTTCTGCCCAGGCCGAGGTCATCTGCCTGCCAACGCCGTACCCAACTCCAGCACCAATTCCGACCTGAGAACTCTCAGCAAACGTCTCCGGCGGCTCAACCACATACATCCACACCCCACATCCCCAAACATTGACCCATGCTCTGCTTCCTTTGGAACCACGCATGGTGAAACAGCCCAGAATTGCTCAGCCAACCTTTGTTAAAACTTCAAGACGTCAAGGTGATTAGAACCCCTTGAAATTGCTGAAACCCTGGGGTTAAAGGTAATCTCGGAAAAATCAACTTCGTGCAATCTTCGTGGTCTTTCGTTTGTAACTTAGTACTTAGATGGTCCATTCCTGGGCTGGCAGCCGATGCACCCGCTTTGCCGGCACAGTCTTACTTCTATGACCTAATCTGAGCCGATGAGGCTGTCTACGGAAAAAGAGGCTGATGGGACCACGAAATTGTGCCCTCAACACAGACAACCATCGCGCGCGCGCTCGCTCGCGCAAGTCCGTCAACGAGCGGGCTTGTTTCGGACTGTGGCTATGATCTTTGGCGAGTGTGACGGTGCCAGCGTGGAAGTGAAAAAGCGAGCAAGGCCTCCTGGCTCGTTGCCTCGATCAGTTTCACCAGTCTCTCAGGCTTGCTGCGTGGTCACAGCACGCCAGCCGGCGCACTGCACAATTCTCGTGTAGCTCAGCCGGCACCGTGCAAGCGCCCAGGATCAATCTGGTGACAACTTGTCCGCCTATGGAAAGCTGGCAACATGTGTGTCTTGACCATCACGATGATGACTCATGGTCGAGACGCATTTGTTGCACTGCTTTTCATAACTGGAGAAGCTAAAGAAACCTAAATGGCCAGGCTGAATTTTCCTGATCACGGCTTGACCGAAGGGTTCACGCACATGGGATTTTACTTTGGCTAACACCAAGCTGGAAGAGCGCTTTGCAGAATCAGTGGTGTTCGATTGTTAATGCCGTTTGCTTAAAGCTGCGATTGCAAAGGCGTCGACACCGGCTACATGACCTGCGGTTGCAAGTTTTCAACTGAGGTAGACACACTACAGCCCAAAACCCCTGTAGGGTCCCAACCAGGCCCAGCGTGGTCATCGAGGCGATACCCGTGATCCAGTAGACTGCCGCGCCCACACCAATGGCGGGAAGCAGGCCTGGTGCTGCGAATGCTTCAGGGGGGGCTTGGGAGTGTAACAGGTCTAAGCAGTCTAGGGTCGGGAGATGTGAGTGTCAGAGCTTTGGTGGCGCCGCGCTCGAGAACTGAAAAAGTTTAGGGGTTGAGGGCAGCACGGGATTGGGGATGTGGCTGCGTGCAGCATGAATGTGCTGACGGCGGAAGATGCCCTAGGATGCCAGTGACTCGACTGAACTTAGCTTTCCCAGGCGAGCCTTTGGACCTGAGAGGACGGTTCTCGTCATCTTGGCTGCCTGACAGAAGGGACATGCTTGACCCTAGGCCCTTTCAGTTCGGTTGGAGGTTTACGTTGCTCAAGCGCCGCCCCAAGAAAAGAAGCCTGCCGAGTCGGCAGACAGCAGCAGGAAGCAGCAGGAAGCAGCAGGAAGCGGTTCGCAAAAGCTGCCCTACGCAATGCTTAAGCGCTACATCCAGAGGCCTTGGCTGGAAACGCTGGGTCTTGGGACCGACCTCGGCATGCTCTGGGGGAGGCTCTCCTTCGGGCCTCTCATGGCCTCTCTTTCCGCAGCTCTTTTGATGATGTGGGCTTCACTTGAAGCTTTACACCATCCCCCGACAGAGACCCGGGGCAAACCAAGGCCAATGCAAGCACAGGCAAACCGGCAAACCGCGAATCCTACACCCTAAACACCTTCTACTTCCAACTTCGAACCCTTGCGACTTAGGGCATATTATGCCGTTTGGAAGGAAAGGGCTCCACCGCGCAATATCGATCAAATGCAGCGAAGCAATGCTAAGCAACGTTTCGGAACATCTTGCTGGATTCTAAGCTGACGGCATTCCTTCAGTCGGGTAGAGCCTCAGCGCGAGAATGACTAGCCGACAAAGTTCTTCGTACACCTCTGTACACTCTGGACTGGCCAGTGCATTCAGAAGTCTGACTGGAAGCTACTGCCTCAGATGCGCGCGAGATGAATGAATCGCAGTCGCCAGGCGCTGAACCCAGCTTGAACACTACTCCACAAGCTGCGGCACAATAGCTTGCGCGGTTTGCATGACAGCTCTGCGAAGACCCCGGCTGTGTCACGTCTGGCAGCAGGCCAGAGCATTCTGCACCGACCCTTGTCACGCGGAGGGAATCCGAAATGGGAACCGCACTGTGCCACCGCGCATCTCAACAGCTTTTTGTCCGTAGCATGGAGCCAGCCATGCTGCCGGTATTGAGCTGGTTACCGTAACGACAACAAGAAGTGCGGAACAAGCCAGCAGGGAATCAAAGTTGAGGGGCATCGAAATGACTATCCTTGTAGGTCCTGGTAGCCCACCTGACATATGTCGTGTCAACAGCAACCGTCATATTCAGTCAAGAGCTGTACGGCAGCATTTGTGGCCATTTCATTGCTTGCCCCCAGACATGAGCCTACCGGCAGTTACCTACCTTTCTCGGTGCATTCTTGCAAAGTACAGTACCCCAATAGACTCTTGGAGTGGGCTGAAGGCTCGGTTGGCACTCTGTTGAGAACTCCATCGCTTTCCATGTGGCGGTAGCGGACCACTGCGTCCTCATCGGCCAGTTGCCGGCTAGCCCGAAGCACCCCTCCCCTTGTCCACAAGCCCTGCATACCTGCTCAGAACCTGAGGATACAACTGTATGAGGATGCTTGGAAAACTGGAAAACTTCTAAAGCACTCACCATGAGCTCCGCACACTAAGCCCACAATTCACGCAGTGATCCACAAACCGCAGACTCATTAACAGGCCGAGGGGGTCGGCTCAAAGCTCGTCATCCTTGCAAGGGCCATAGGATTCGCCGTGGAGGGATGTTCGGGGCCTGGAGTTCAGGTGGGTTCAGATGGGTTCTGAGTCACGATGGCCATGCAATCTTGGATGCACTGCTGAGGGAGGAGAAAACTGCAGCCCCAACTCGTCAACCAAAGTGCCAAGTAGAAACCTTCAGCCCGGTAGTCCGCAAGCTTGGAGGCCTCGATCATGATCTTGCCCACCGCCGCACGCAACTTCTGCGCCTGCGAGGCAACGCAAGCTTCTCTCCGGACGTTTGCCTCAAGACTGGTGCCATAGACTCTCCTTCCATGTAGACCGGTCGTGAACAACTTCAAAACACCTGGAACCCAGGCGAGTGGATGCTATTGGTTCATGATCTAGTCGCGAGCCCATCGCTGTCTCAAGTGAGTTGATGACCCCACAGGTAGAAAGAAAACTCGCCGGCCTCCTGTTTGGCCACGGCTGCATCTTTGGCGCACCTGGGGCTTCGGGCTTGTTTGGGCTGCAGCTGGGGAGAATGACGGGCGTGGATCCGGTAGGCCACACAACAACCCTCGAGGTCGCATCCGGCCTGGCGCACTCAACGGAGCATTCCTGCGACTCCCGTTCCGCTTGCGCGAGGTAGTCCTTTCTGTGGCTCGGGAAATCATCGGGAGCTTGCGGTGGGGTGCGGTTCTCTGGCGTTTTCAATGGAGAGTGTGCAATCAGTGTCCTGGCGACAGTATGCCATGCAACGATTTCCCAATAAGCGTGTGGACAGGACTCCATGTGGAACTCAACCCCTGTGGTATCCAAGATGCAAACCCCGCACCAGTCCGACCACATGCGAGAGACAGGACTGGAAGGCTTCTACACTGCTGTGCGCAGAGAGCAAAGGAGACCTTGCTTGCAGATCTTGTTGGCTCTTCCTTCAGGATCGCCTAATCACCCATGAGGAACCCATGAAGAACAGAGACTAAACCCAGCAGGCCTTGTAGCGCTCGGCCTCGTGGGAAGCTTCCAGGCATGCCTGCTCGGCTTGCTCGGCCTCCGGAAGCCACGGCTGAGACACCGAGACTTTTCCAAAACAAATGACTCAAAATGCTTGCTTTTCAGCACGTTACAGAATGTTACAGAGTATGGGGGGCCGTGGGAGATTGGCGGATCGCCGTCATGTCGAGGTCAACTACTTGCTCCGTGCAAGGATGGTGGCCGCACATGCCTTCGCCGTGCTTTCACCATGGAGGTTCGGAGAGAGCAGTTCAAGTTTGCTTGGGTGTCAACAACCTTTTGCAGACGCTTGCGGAGATCAAGCCAAGACCCTGCAATCTGCATTTGCCGTCAAGTCAACACAGATAGGGCTTGGAGGTGCCCCACGCGGAAGGTGATGGCCTCCCTCATCTTCCGCTGGGCTTCCTCTTGCATCGCCTTGGCCTCCGGACTCCGACGGTTCTTTGAACTTCTTGTTGTTGCAGTCTAAGCCAAAACAATAAACCAATGTCTGCGCACATAAACCACCAGGCTCCCAGGAGCCGAACTGTCCCCACTGCGGTCAGCTTGATAGCTTCAGGCTTCCAAGTGTGGAGATCCAGACCCCAGGCCCCGTTTGTGAAAACAGGCGCAGTCCGACCTCTTTCTGCTTCTGTTCCGTTGCCCGGGAGACCTGAGAGCAGATCTGCGTTTCACTTCCATCCCGCTCACGCTAACTCTACGACGTCAGCACGTCATTTTGCGGGTAACCCTGTAAGCAATGCAAGCATGTGTAACCGCTCGGACGCTGCACTCCTACAACACTTACTTCATGCTACTCTCGAGTCTCGGATGGCTACTAGCACCTGGAATTATAACCTCCGGGCTTGCCGGCCTCTTCCGCTTTTCGCTTGGCATTGTTCAGCCGCTCGGTAGCACGAATGGCCTTGATTTGTTTCATGACTGCAAACCACTTACTTTCTGAGACACTCGAACACTGGAACACTGCTCAAGGCCCTGCCAGTCCGCCTGCTTCTGCATGTCCAAGGACACCTGCTCTGCAGCGCTGGCCTTCTTTTCCGCCTTCCACACTCGCGACGATGCACTCACAGTTGCAGGCCCCGCCCACAAGGACCCACCATCAACAGCGAGTTCAAAAGAATCCGATTCTATACCAAAGACGCGTCATGAAGCATCCAGCCTCGGAACGCGCCTGTTCCCTGATCCGTGTCCGGTCAACGTCCCTGGCTGCAGCTACCATTCACTTGTCGGTCTGATGCCATGGGTAGGGGCACGATATCACCTCCTACGCAGCTCTCTGAGATCTCCGAAAGTCCCAAAAGGCCACCTCAGCGCTGGAGCAGCTGATGGGTGCGGCATGCCTCGTTAGCAATGGCAACACAACCACTACGGTAAGACATTCTATTTGTTTCCTCATTTGCAAGCGAGCATGCCAGTACATCATGGAAGTCTAACATAAGAATCCACAAACTCTCGGCTTATTGTGAAACTACACGAACGAAGCTGGGCTTTACTTGGAAGGTCCCTGTGTTTGCCAGAGAACTGTCCACGTCCTAAGAAGGACTGAAGGGTGTGGACATTTTACAACTTGACGCTAGCAACTCCCATGTCTGGCTCTTCGGCTGTAGGTCAACTGTGGCCACCTGAGTGGTTCTGGATGGCGAGCTGGCCCGGAACCTCTCCATCATTCCTCGAGAGCACAGGGTGATCAGTGATCTCAAAGCATGAAATTGGTTCTCCGGCTCGTTGCAGCTGCACTGGACGAACTGAGGGGCGGCGATATCACAAAATCTAAACGAAGCTCCCACAGTCCTTCGACCGGAAGCATACTCCTGGCACATTTTCTGATGGGTATCCGCTTCGTCTGCTTGGATCTCTGAAAGAAGATTTCAGGGGGCTTGTGGCCATGGCATCTCGGGCTCGAGGGCCCAAGGGTACGCTTCCAGTGCCCTTTTGATGCAGACCTCCTGGCGATGAAACACAAGTCACAACTCTGCGGACTCCGAAGGCAGGATACCACGATGCAATGAACAACCAACAAGTTACAGACAAACATCCCTCCGGAGCGAGAACAGGGGCAAGCCCGCCCTGTCCGAAGACACGCAGTCAAGACTGTTACAGCGTGGCATCCCAATTCCCAAAATTCCAAAAGATCCCAAAGCAACGGCACCATGTGCCTGCAGCAGAGGACGGCCGTCTGGGCCCTTGGCTTCGCGCCTGAAAAAGATCTTCCGAGATCAGATTTGTCTTGTGCTTTCAGGGGAGGGGGAGAGGAAACATGTGGTTGGGGATGTCAGGCAATAAAGAAGTTCAGGAGTGGTTTAGTTTAGCGATTTTACGTAGTGCGTGGGGTCGGGGCTTCTGGGATGGACCCGGGCGGACATGCGCATGTACTCAGCCACCTGCAAGGCATGAGCGATCGCAAGTCTACTTTCAGGGTAGTTTTGGGGGCCCAGGGCATGGGGGCCCAGGCCATGGATTGCTGAGATACCAGGATGTACCAGGTACACTGGCCCTCCCTCCCACCCATGCTCCCCTCGGGCCTGTCGTGTCCCTGAACATGACCTGAGCGTTCGAAGCTGACTATGAACTGGGGCTGTTTTAGGGAGATTTGTTCAGCTGGGTTTTAGCATGCTGCGGAGGACGAGTAGATAAGCACGGTCCAGGAGCTCAACCCAGAGGGGCATTTCCGAACACAGGGGCGCCTTGATAAAACCCCAATATTCTCTAATCCCCTTGACTAGGATTACATTAACTTTGTTCAACCACCGGATTTCTGAACAGTCCAAACCCTCAAGGCCCCAAATTCACTCAACTCGGATCCGGAACTTCGAGGTGAATCTACCTGGACTTCCTGATGAAAACCTCCCCAAGTCACTCCAGACGGTTCCTGTAGGCCCTATAGGCATGTGCCCTGATACGTCCCTGTACATGAGATTCTGCCCGCCAGGAGCCCCGGCTCCGAGAACGGGGCCTCCAAGGGGGGCGCGCGTAACGTTCAAAGAAGCAAAGGAGTGGCGGCACCGGTGCGCCGGTGAACATAGCACACAGATGCTACTTGCATGACACCACAACACTGAGGAGGATGGGTCGGACGTCCCTGCATGCTTGGGCTAACCAGAGTGCGTTTGATGCCAGTCCTCTCGGCCCGACTCCGGTCATTCTCGCGGAGTTTGCCGCCCTGCACCGGCAACTGGCTTGCACTGAAGGGTGCATACTTGCTGTAGCAGACACTTCTCCCACTAGAATGGCAGAGCGGGCACCTCTGACCAGCGCTCGTCCGTGCGGGGGCGCTCCCCACCTGGAGACGCAGGCTAGACGACGCATAACAATACGTCCTCTACTCCCCCCCCCCGTGTCTCTCCTGCCCTGCCTCGCCGGTCATCACGCCTCTCTTCATATCGTCGATCGTCCCGCCGCTCCTGCGCTCGGTCGTCGCGGCGGTCATCCCGTCGCTCATCTCGGCGGTCATCTCGCCTGACTTCACGCCCATCACGATGTCCATCACGGCCACCGTGACTGCCATGAGGTGCCACATCGTAGTGCCTGGAACTCTGCTCTTTCGGGTCTCGCCGGTAGTGCTCCTGACGGTTGTCCCAGCGCTGTTCCTCCTGTCGACCACCATATCTATCATCCCGATGCTCCGGATACCGTTCGTCCCTTGGGTCTCGACGGTCTCCTTGTCGGTCATCTCTTCTCTCTTCTCTTCTTTCATATGCCCGATCATCTCTTCGCTCATATCTGCGATCGTCTCGCCTATCATCACGTCGATCTTCCAATCGAACTTCTCTGCGCTCCTGGCGATCATCTCGCCGTTCTCGCGATCTCCCTTCGTCCCGGCGGCCTTCTCGGCGATCGTCTCGACGGTCATCTCGTCGCTCATCACGTCGTTCATCTCGCCGCTCGTCCCGTCGTTCATCCCGTCGCTCGTCGCGTCGGTCATCCCGCCGTTCGTGCCGCTCTTCTCGACGATCTTCACGCCGATCATCCTTTCGGAAATCGTCTCGACGCTCCGGCCTTCTTTCCTCAGCTGCGAGCTTGTTGGACATGGCATGACATCGACATCGCGATGCTTCACTTAGGCACCAGCGTGGGCATGCGCCCGCTCGTCCCGAGGTCGATCCGGGCGTCCTTCCTTCTCTTTGGCATGCCTTTCCTGCAATGCCCGTTCGATGCAACATTCAGCAAGGCACCACCGAGGCTTTGTTGTGATGACACGTTCCCGGCCTCTTTCTCGACCGCAGCGCGGACTGCAGTCTCGACCTTCAAGCAAAGCAATCGGCACTTACTAGCAGGATTCCCGCAAGCCACTGGCCTGGAACGGCCCCGATGCGTCGGCGGGCACCTGAGGCTCAGCAAGAACAAAGTGCCCGCTGCACTTTGTCAAACTTGAATTGCCCTTTACTGCACATTGGGCAAAGACAAACGCATGCGTGATGATCATGTTAAGCCCATCTCCACCACACCCCCAGCCTCGAACGCGGCAACCTCCTTGGCCAGACGCATAGCATCCTGCCAAGGCAGGCCGTAAGGGCACGTCTTGAAAGGACCTCCTCGACTCCGCACGAAGTCTTTAAAAGGGACTGTCTTTACAGGACTTCCTGGCGACTTCCTCGACTCCACGCGAAGCTGCGCATGGGTGAAGCTCTCAGCTTGATGATCTCCGCTGGGAATGCTCTGGCTGCTCTAGTCGAATAAACAAGGTCATAAGGCCATGGACACGTGCAACGATGGATAGCCAGCTTCGCATAGAAACAAAGCAAGTGTTTTTTTTACGGCATTTCGAGGGTTTCCGACGCGATAAACCCCTTAGACCCCTAAACCAACCCAGTAAACGCATTAAACCCATGCCTAACGAACAAACCAAACCATGTCAACCAAAAACTGAACAAACTAAACCCTTTGAAGCCACAACAACACAAACTGCACCATGAAAACATCTTAAACCCTTCTCGCAAGTTTCTTGTAAGATCTTGTAAGCCCGCTCTCCTCCTCCGAGGCACACTCCAAGGCGGCCCAGCGCGGGCCGCCCTTGTGGCCATGCACCTTTCCGTTCTCATGTCAGTCTCCACTGTATCTTAAGTTATAACAAGGGGGCCCGGGGCTAATAGGGATTCATGATGTAGAGGACCAGGGTTCGGGAGCTGTTGGGAGCTTGGTGCTTGCGGCCCATGTCGGCGAAGCGACGTTTGCAGGGTCTTAGGGAGACTGGCGCGAGGCAGCTCCGGAGTACACACAAAGAAGACGAACCGAAATATTTGAAGATAAGGACTTAGGACAGCCGACGGCTACTAAAGGGTGAGAAAGTGGATGCTACAAGTGTGACAATTGGGGATGTAATGGGATGTAGGTTTCTCAGGGCTCACGTTTCATGACTCGGGACACCCTCTTTCAGCAACTCTCCACAGCGCTCTCTGGGGCCCCGGCTGTGGCGCTCTTCATCCGGTCCGAGGCCGGGAAACGCCGAAACCAGGCATAGCTCTTAGCCTTGGCAAAGGTGGCCTGCACTCCCTAACTTCCACAGAAACGTCGCTGTGTGTCAGGCAGTCCTGAGGTGGGGAGGAAGTAGGCTGAGCCTCCCACATCCGGGGTGAGGTTGCGGACAATCACGAAGCGCTTGGTGCCACCAACACGCTCACCTCAGCTGGTGCGGACACTGATGGACTCGATCTGAACTTTCGGGCAAGTGAGTCTGCAATCCTGAGTCAGAGAACCTGTGAGCCTATGACATTGGCTCTTCAAAGGGCAACATGCAAAACAAGCGGTGTGAGTTGGGCTGTGTCTGCTGGGATTCCCAGCTGGGTTTCTCGTGGCCTGCCTGCAGCTGCGTGCTGCTTTGCAGAGCCTGGTCAGCTTCATCGAAGTGCAAGCAATCGCTGCCCAGTCATTTTGCAGACCACGATCCGTTCAGGGCTGTTAAGGGGCAAGGAATGCCCTCTAGCGCAACATGGGCAGCAACCGCGCGGAGGAGGACGAGGAAAGGACGGAAGCAGAGCACGACGAGACAGCAAGAAAGGAGAACTTGACGGGCAATTGCACTACGGTAGGACGACGGCGACCGCCAGCAACGCCAACCTGAGCGCCAGGCGCGCTGCTGGGCCTGCAATGGTCCGAACTGATTCTGACGCTCCTCCTTGGCTGCGAAGCGCATAGAGGGGTTACGGCAGCACATGGTTGACTACCACACCACAGCTTCAATGTGTCTGCAACAAGAGGAAGCTGGGCACAAGACCTCTGAATACAGCTCCTGGGCAGTGGTAAGGTGGAGCCAAGCTCAATGTCCCATGCCATCTACGGATGCCATATCCGGCTTAGGGTAGTGCTAGGAGCTGCTAGGATGCAAACATGACAGCCCGAATGTCCATGACAAAATGGCTCCTGGCCGAGACAAGCCAAAGCCCATAACAAAACGGCTCCAAGCCAGAGATGACAAGGACACGCGAATGCCCAGTCCTCGCTATCCATAAGATAACGAAACAACAGAAGTAAACCTGCCAAAATCCAGCTGTTCACCGCAACATTGTGAACACCTATCAACGCTGCTTGGCATGCGAACATGGTGACTTGCACTCAACGCGCAACAACATCCAGCAGTCAACAAGAAATCCTGAGAACGCAGTGTATCACCAAACTTGTACAGGAACCCTTGCAGGCGTGACCGTGGGCAGCGATTCCCCAAAGATTCACAGCCGCGAAGCGAGCATACACAAGAAGATGCGAGATGCGACTGGACCCCAGTAGCAAACCTCAAAAGGATGAGCGACAAGCCATGGCAAGCAGCTAACCCCCCGAAACGATCCAACAACAAACTCCCTGTCTCTTTCCGCCGAGAATCGGCATTCAGCGGCTCCGCACCCTGCTGCGGCACGTGGCCACGGACCTTGGCCGCCAGCCTGGGAGCTTCGGGCGGTATGGGCCTGAACACCCTGAGCCGGGGACTCGGCCCTTATGTATGGGCCATTCTGGGCCCTTAAGCTCTTTAAGCTCAAGTCCTCTCCAAACTGCCTGAAGCCATTTGGAACCACCATGCTATGCAGCCCCAAGCGGCTGTTCCGCAATCTCCTGGGAGCTCCTGGGTCGAAACTTGTCGCGACCATTTGGATTTAGGCTTTAGGGTTTAGGGTTTATGGTTTAGGGTTTAGGGTTTAGGGTTTAGGGTTCAGGGTTTAGGGTTTAGGGTTTAGGTGCAGCCGTGCCACATGCACATGAGAGCGTAGCGCTTCTCCTTACAAGCCGGGGGTTGCCGAGTGAAAGCTGGGTACGAAACCGCGGCCTGACTAAACCTAGCTACGAGAATTCATGCCCAAACAATGGCTCGCTTCACCTGTCATACTCTGGTTCCTTCAGACGCCCCCAGGGAGCGGGCATTGTTCGTCTCGCCCGTGACAAGGTCTTTGTCGGTTTGGAGCAAGTCCCGCGTCAACTGGAGATTGTTACCACTTGCTGCGGCAATTCAAGCATGTGAAAGTCAGCAAGCTCAAGCTCTCACCACATCTCTTCCTGCAATTCCCTGCACCCCGCTCAGCAACGAGCCCCAGAACACAGAACAAATGGACCTCTCATTCCTGGTCTCAAGACTGCTAGCCTTCTTGATCGCAATGTAACCGAAGCGCGGAGGAAGCGGGCTGGCGGTCGTTTCACGGTAAATGGCAAGGCTTTCTTGTGATTTGGGTTGGAGGGCTTGAGGTCATGGTGTTTGATCGCCTTACCCCCCAACACCCATGCAGTGCATCAGATGCCTGAAGCCTGCCTGGAGAGACCTGATCGTTGGGTCCGAGCAAGACAAGCCCAGGATGCTATATCCGCAGCCAGTAGTTCTTGGCGGCTTCCCCCTTAGAGGCTGAAGGTCAAAATTGGACACAGAGCTTTCGCAGCGCACTAGAGCCGAAGCTCAGAATTCTTAGCCATTGCGGCCGGACCTGCAAAGGCTCCTGGTGGCTAAGCGTGTTACATGTAGACCCTGCTGTCAACAACTCACAAGCTTCAACTAATCGAAACTCGAAACCGCCTTGACAGCTGACCCCCGATTTGACAGCTGACCCTAAGTCGCAACTCGCAAGCCGACAACGGAAATCGGGCAAGCCGCACAGAGCCGAAGATGCAAAGCTTGGCAAGTCTTACAAAGGGCCTTTGGAGTCCTTTAGAGTAGGATAAGCTCAGGACGTCTCAGGAATGCCGTGGGCTTACAAATTCGAGGCTCGATGAAATGTCCGAACGAGGCCCGGACACCACCGTCGCCCTCCTGGAAGCATGCTAAGCACCAACTACAGGCTGAGCCGGAGACGAGAGGGCGGAAGAAAACTGAGTTCAACTGAATGGCCTCTCAGCTTTTGGCTGCTCTCCTAAACCCTAAATATCCCTAAATCCCAAACCCTACATCGCGATGCCAAACCATGACCCCCCCCCATGACTCCCAGACCCCAAAAAAGCCCACACCAAGTTCCAACTGCGCAACCTGTCCTTTGGGAGATCGTTCTCGGGCTCCGACCTTGCAAAGATGGGAAGGGAGGCGCTGCAAGCTGAAAGGAGCCCACAGCCATAAGAACAAGCCATGTCAAGCCGTGTCTGTGGCACTGGCTGCCAAAATCTTGGGGGGTTCCGCGTGGCTGATCACACCACTGAAGCCGTAGGGCTGCCGGATCTTATTCCGCATGCCGCATGCCCTGGATGCCCAGCAAGAGCCCGAGACGCGTGTTGATTTCGTTCCCCTCCAGTCCGAAAGTCACCAGGTGCCCCCCCCCGGTTGGAGGTTGGGATGCCATATGATGCCATCTTGCAGGATGCGCGGTGCAGCCTTTACGAAAGTGGGACTCGCTTGTTTATCCATGTCCGCTGCCTTCATTGCCTTAGTTGAAAGGACAATCTGCGGCTATTTGCGGCTTATGATATATGCAAATGCGCAAAGAAGCAGGCCCGGGCTAGGCGCGACTTCACACCTGCATGCCCCTGCGCTCCCATTTCCAGGATAGATTGGCAGGAGAACTTGCCAGAGATGACCTCCTTTACACCGAAGCTATGTAGGACGGAAGGGTGCTTTGGCCAAGTCGGATCCCGCACTCCACATCACAACTCCGAAGCGAGGACTGGCTGCATTTCTTTCATGAAGCCACGAGCGTCATGTGCACAATTCGATCACGTGCGAGTCAATGGAACAGAGTGATCTCGAAGACCAGTTGCATGAGTCATGAGCGCACCACAAGCACCACGGAACAATGTGCTTCCGAGTTCGCTGAGAATGTCTGGTGTTGGTAGAAAGAACACTGCACATGTGATACGATGATCAAAGACGATCGAACCTGCCTCCTTCCACCGGCCACCGGTTCGAAGTACGTGTCTTGGCACTGCGCATGAAAGGGACTCAAGGCTGATGAAAAAAACGGTGCTGATGTCCTTCACGCAGTACAAAACTTCAAGGGGCTACTGAAGCAAGTTTCATGCATTCCATATGCGCTGACGTCCGACACCCTGTTCACAAGGAGGCGTTTCACTTACTTCTCGAGGCCGTCGGCACAGATCATCAGCAAGCATAGGCTGTGGTGTCATGGTGGAACGATCTGGTGAGCGAGGTTGAGCCCAACAGTTCTGAAACTACAGGCTGTAGCGAATTGTAGCGACAATGCCGAGCCCCAGGAACGAACAAGATGAAAGATGTGCCGAGGCTGCCGAGAGTTTGGCTGTGAATGGAGATGGGTCCGGCCAGGCATTTGTGGTGTTGCCAATCGTGTTCGCCACCGCATACGGAGAGCTTCTCATCGCGAGAAAGTCATGACGGTCAGGCATCTGCCAGTCGGTCTCATCATCCGGTTTTTTGCTCTGGCTACTGGATAAATTTGGGAGTCCTTGAGCTGGGGCTTTGCGAGCAAGAGCATCCCGAAGGTCTTCTGCACATGGAGGTTGAGGCCAGTCTTGCCGCACGCATAGAGTCCTACTCATGATCACCAGCACAGCGCCTGACATGCTCGTCATCGTCGCCATGCTGACAAAAAAGAAAGTGCATCAAGTGGGCAAAGCTCAAACATCTCACTCAGCAAGATTCTGGAGCGTGCCTGCATCACATGCAGTCTAAAGACAACGTTTCAAACCGCGACTACACCGCCAAGGAGTGCTGATGCTTTTTGTCAACTACATTGCTGTGTCACACACGCACACACACACACACACACACACACACACACACACACACACACACACACACACACACACACACACACACACACACACACACACACACACACACTCGACCCCAATGACGGTGCGGGGCCCGGAACTGTTATAGATGTTATAGTGCTTCCCGTTCTCGACATGTGTGCATTGACGGTGTGGGCAGGATGGTTAGATCCGTTAGATCCCAAGCAGGTACTCCGGAAGCATCAACATCCTGTGGATCTGTTTGTCGACTCACCATGTCCAGGCCGAAGCAGGAGCTGTGAAGATCCACAAATGATGCCCCACAGCTACATGAGAAGCCCCACGTTCACCTTCCGTATGTTCTCATGTGGTTGCCGCAGTTGCAGACGATGGATCTTGCCTTTGGGCTCTTCCAAGCACGAGACAAACAGCTCCCCTCAAAATCCACACCATGTTCATCCATATTCACATCTTCATACTGATGGCGGAAGCGTTGCCCTTTGCACATGTACCCGTGGGCATGGACCTGGGAATGAGTACAGCAGTAGTACGGCTACCATGCAAAGCTACACAGCTTTGCAATCTTACAGACCTTACACACTGGTAGGCTGGTAGGTATTCCTGGACTCTAGCCCGGCGGAGGGAGACAGGCTACAAGTCCGCCGCCGGATCACAGAAACTGTGCGGATCCTGGAGCCGTCCGAGTCTGAGTGCGGAACGCGCTGGCATCTCCTGGCTGGCGACACTCGAGGACGAAAGTAGAGAAGCTTACGTGAGTCGACCTTGCAAGAATTGCAAGCATGGGCCATGAATCTTTAGGGCCGAAGGTGGTGAGGAGGTGGAGGAAGGGCTCAGGGCTTTTGAAAGCGTCAGCGGTCGCACCGTCTGCACCGAAATCCACCTCCTCGGCACAGCGCCTGCACAAACACATGGCTCAGCAAGCTGATCCCAGGACTGCTGTCTGTGAACAGAGCTCACACGAGGCTAGAACTTTGGGGCTGAAAGGTGGGGATGGGATGCAGCATGCAGCATGCAGGTCTTTCGGTCCCGTCCTGGCGTCGCCATCTGCGTCCATGGATCTTGGCCGAAAAGCGAGTTTGAGAAGTGCTTAGATTGGCCGACACTTGCTTCACCCTTATGGAAGCCCATCTGCACTAGCAGGTCGCCCTCACCAATTTCACGAAGCATTGACAGGGAAAGGCAGGGACTGGACTTCCAAGAAGCACCGCCAGCTTGGTTCAAGCCTCTCTGAGGTGGCCACAGATCAGGCTCTGCCTCGCCTCAAAGAATTCCCGGCGCTGGTTTCAGTTGGGGTTCATAGCCACTTTAGGGTCACCTTAGGGTCTTCAGGCTCGTGAGGCTAGCATGTTGAAATTGAGGGTCTAGGTCCAGTGAGCTTGCAGAGACTTCGGGATTTCAGGGATCAGTGTCCCGCTAGCAAGCGCTCGTGCAGCATCCACTATTTCCAAGACAATCAGCACGTTCACATCCTGACGAAGGAAATTCACGCGCAGCAGTCACCTCACCACAACGATGCCCAACAACAACGCGGTGGCAATGTCGGTGCGGGATTGGCTGCACGTCCATTCAGTCTTTCGTATCACCCGTAGGACGCCGGCCCATTGCAGGCCAACAAAAACACCCCGGCGGCAGCAACTCTTACAGTGTTGATCTGCGATCAGCTCTACCGTAGTAATTGTGCACTGGGGCTGTTTCACTCTTTCTCGGCTGGTCGTGCGAATGTAACCTGGCTCAGGATCTCGAAATCTCGAGAGATTGGGCCAAGAGCGGTGCAATGAAGCTTGGAGTCGCTTTGAGGCCCGGGGCTTTTCGGCTTTCCCAAAACCCTGTGTACAGCCGTACGCAGAGCATCACCATTGGTATGAAGAATACGTGGGAAATAGACAGACTTTTTGCAGAACGCATCTGGACAGGGTGAAACCTGAATGATCCTGAGACAAGCTCGGCTATGTGCCGTGTGTAACACTTTATAAGTGCTGTTCAGCTTCGGCAAGGACTGTAGCTTGGAAATCTCAAACTGCGTCTGTCAGAAAAGAGATGGCTAACTCTGAAACTCAGGTACTGCTGAAGCTATTGCAGTTCGTCAAGGTGTGCCGCGTCGAGGCTGCGCAGCCATCGCGAAGCCCACCTGCAAAAGGGGAGACGTTTTGCAAAGCCTATGACCCTACAATGCGTGGGGATGAGAGTAGTAGGGGCCGCAGCTCACAAACCGCAGCGACGCCTGGAGGTTCTCGCGGTCGTAGACTGTGTAGTACCTTGCCATGAGCTTTTTAACACGCTTTTCACCACTTTTACCATTCCTAACACCCACACGACAGTGCCCCCAAAGATCGTTCACAGAGGGGCGCACTTGCGCAGAAGAGGGTCACCGAAGATAAAGAGTGGCCCCTTTGGTGGTGGCACATCCAGCGTCATCAGCGCCAACTGGCTGATACATCTCACAGAAGCAGCCTGCAAACATCACTAAACCTCGTGTGTACGGTTCGTGTATGATTCGTGTATGAGTCGTGTACGATTCGTGTACGCCAGTAAGGCAGGCTGGGCAGGCGGTGCAAGTGTGGCCATCGCGGTCGACATAATCCTGCAACCAGACTGGGTACTCTGAATACTCTGCTGCTGTCTGCGATAGGAACGCCATGGAACGCCCGTCGCCGAACAAAGCCTTGCTACAGCTCACCTAGGCCACTGACAAACCACAAAAAAAGATTCGGCAAACGGCCAAACATGTCACGCTAAAGGGAAACGCAACCTAAAAGGACATGCGGAGGCCTGTGGGGTCAGCTTCAGGGTGTGGCCACCCATGACAAAGCCCAGATCCTGCCGCATGCTTGACTCTCATGGCCGAGTGCTCAGAAAAAGAACTGTTGATAGGGGTGGCTGAGGCGAAAGTCCGGCAGCGTGTCGAAGTTGGAACAGTCTTCACGGACACCCAGCCTGCACTGGCCATACTACAAACACACTGGCCGATTCGTAGCATCCCCATCTCCAATGCTATTTGACCAGCATTCACAGATTCGTGTCGTGCTTGTCACAACGCTTCTACAGCATCCCCACACATTAGGTTTTTCGAGAAGAATGCATAGAGTGGCGTCGAAATGATCTACCAGACAAGAGCCAGCTATTGTACAGAGCTGTACAGAGCGCTTCATCCACTTTGGACATGCATCCATTGGCAGCAGCACTGCTGCTCACAAACACTCGCGCATCTGCTGATGCCGGGCTTGGCTTTCATTTCAGGAGATGCGGCGGCCATCGTTTGAACTCATGATCCTGCTCGGAGCGCAGCACGAACATGGGGATTCGTCCAAGGAACGGAGACAACCATGCCGAAAGCCTAAAACTGACCCGAATATGCCATTTGAAAACTGCTTCGTAATGTCGATCGCTCGAAACAAATACTCACAAAGACAAGGGTGGTTGAGAGGTTTGCATCGAATTCAGGGGCCTTCCGAAGGCGGATGCACACGACTCCCTGGTCCCTATCGATCTCCCAGTCGCTCTCATCTTCGTCGATTTCGAGGCCGGGCTCTCCATCAAAGATGGCCTAAGCTGAAATGACCCGGAAGCTGGCTTACCATTCGTATCCTTCGTATCAGACATGATTCCGCCACCAACGCCACCAAACCTCCCGCCACGATGGCCCCAGACATGAAAGACTCAAAACAGATTTCCGAGCAGACAAGGATCTTCGCCTGCCACAGTGGCAGAGATATGGCTCTTCAAGAGCCTCTCGAAGTCTGCTGAAAACTTGGAGCCTACCTCCGTTCGTCTCTTGCTTCGAAGCCAGGGCACAAACACTCGACATCTTTGCTCGAGACGGCAGCGTCAATGGGGATGAACACAAGCATGTCCTGCTCAGGAAGATACACACCGTCACGAATCTCGGCAGAAGCGGCAGCAACAACAGCAACACATCACGTTGCTCAAAAACCACGACCTACATCAACCATGAGACTAGCAGAAGTCGCAAGCAGCAACCCTGGTGATGACAAAAACAGCGTTGATGCCCCAGATTCATGGAAACGAGAAGTCAAGCTCCTCTGTACTCCTACTACATGCGTGACAGCGCGAAGTCTGTTGCAGTCTTGTCAAAATGATGAAGTACTTTCATATCAGCCGTATGTCCATGACATGCAGTAAGCGGCAAACCCTGGCGCGTGCATAACACGAAGCACAGTACATGGAGCAAACCATCTACGACAGTATCATGCATGAAGCTGTCATCAAGAACACCTGGACTCGACTCGTGTCGTCAAAGTGCGGGCGCGCGCGCGCGCGCGCGCGCGCGCGCATTGGATTTAGCGTGATGGACAAGCAGCTTCCCTTTGATGCCCTTTGCAGCTGGGCGGTCCTGGCCGTGGCGCTCCCAGTAGTACTTCCCCAGTGGGTCTTTGCCACCTGCCAGGTGCTCAGAACGACTTAGCCTAAGCCGAATTCAGCACGGAAATGTCGTTGTGCCTAGCAAACTACTTGGGGAAGCGGGCTCGCACATAAGCCTAGCCCCGAACCCGTCAAATCCAAACCTGGTTAGCTTAACATGCCCTACGTTACTGTTACCTTCTTTGTGCGAGGGGGGGTCTCAACTAAGCCTGCCGATCGTTTCCCCAGGCTTGCATTCAAGCCTCCCGAGCGGTTTTAGAAACTGCTTAAGAGCAAAACGAGGGGAACAAGAGACAAATATGGGAAAATTGATTACATGTTGTCAAAGAGGCAACAACGGCCATTGTCTATGTTCGCAGAAGGCATAAATGCTTGTGACAGCACGTCTTGTTCCAGAAACATCCGTATAAATTGTACAAAAAGGCAGAATACTCGGGTTTTCGGCATGGTCGCCACATGGACGATATTATGCCCCTCCCCCCCCCCCCCCCCCCCCCCCCCCCCGCAACCCTGAAAAACCAGAAAACGTTCATCCAACCCCACGGCCGTGGGCGTGTCTTGGTCCAACTACTTCAGCAAGCCAGCAGCCTTGCGTAGCCTTCTGGGCCCCCGCTGGGTTCTCAAGAAGCCAGGCCTTCGCCCAGATCGTTCTTACCCATCTTGTCCAAGTCCTTCGGGATCTCGATGTCTGCGTTGAACTCATCCACATCTGGATCCATGTCCACCACATTGAGAAGCTCGATTTCATACTCGAGTGAAGCGCCGGGGGGTACCTTGTCGCCCAGGCCTTCGTCGCCGTATGCCAGCTCCGGGGCCATATAGAACCTCGAAAGCTCACCCTTGCTCATGCTCATAACCTTAGAGTAAGAGCACAGACGTGTGCACTGCTGACACTAGTTGCATACTGCTCAAATTAGACGAGCCGCTGCCTCTTCCAGTCCTCGCATAGCCTCGCCATGCCCCACGCGAAATTTCAGTGGCCCAGTAGTCCTTTCGTTGCTCTCTCGCGTTGTCTCGAAGACATCACCATCAACAACTCGTGCCGTGTAGTGCACTGTGACCTCGGAGGCAGGCTGGCAGTACCCGAGTACCCACGGCTCCACCCAGCTGTTAAACGAAAAGAGGTTGGCAAGAGGCTAGCATGAGCCATGCAACTTTATCTCCGAGCATTGGACGAACAACCCTGGATTTCCGCGGAGACGGAGTCAGGATCTGCTTCAACAACCTGTTCAACTCTGCCGAGTTGTGCAACTGCTGTGTAGTTACAGCGAAATGGCAAGGTGACGGTTGTGTTGGGGAGTAGCCCAATCGGTCTTGCACGCATCACTTGCTGCCATGGCACGTGTCATTGTCCAATACGTCAATTGCCCAGCCCTCCCTGGCATCGCGCTCATCTTGCTCGTAGTACTCCTGCTAAGCCCAGCTCGCATCATCAGCTGGCCAGTCCGTCGCTCCAATTCTAACACTTCTTACAGCTGGGGAACATGGACCTGCCTGCCATTGCTTCTCCAGGTCCTCTGCTTCGTCGAACGAGTCTGGCAGGCGAAGGCGAGCACGGACCTCTGGCGTGTGAATGCGAAACATGCACTGTCACTGACTGCCAGGTATCGAGTTGGTACATGATGTTTGGCATATCTGATCTATTGCAGCCGTATATCCCAATAGCGTTTCGGAGAAGCCTAAGTTAGACACCTCAGCTGACCGTCTTCGCGTTCTGCTGCAGGAAGCTGGGCTCCGCCCGGTGCATCTCAGTCCAGCTGCAAGCGCAGCACCGCTGGCTGCGACACCTCGAGTCTTACCAGGTTCTATTTTGTAGGATGATGTAAGATGTTTAGGCTTGTTTCTTGTGGTTGGTGTTTGTAGGGTGTGCAACCCTGCCGATGCCGCGGACGATCGATCCATCACAGACTAAGTGTCTTCTGGGGCACGGCCCACCACCGCTGTCACCGGCAGAGCTGCGAAGACTTCTCCGCTGTGGTGCTCTGCCCGGGAAAGAAGCACCCTCAGCAGCAGTTCGCAGGCGGATTCGTCCGACAGATCCATCTGGTTGAAGAAAGCACACAGGACCACAGAACTGTTGGTGTGAACTGGAAAGACACCAGAGATCCCAAAGAGAAATCCACCAAACACTTGAAATATCAACGGCCGCCTTGGCCAAATCAGCGGCCATCCATCGCTCCGCAGACGCGGTGCACGTCGCGCTGCCGAAGGGCATGGCGCATGCCAGTCGAGCAGCAACATTCCGGTGCACTGGTACTGTTCTCTGAAGAGCGACTCAAAGCACTGAAAGCTCAGGTCCTGTCTTTTGCTGAGCCGTCACATGGTTCAGAGTAAAGCTCATATCTGAGTTTCTGTCATTGCTGGTGAAGGCTGTGAGCAGAATGAGCCGAAGAACCGATAAGCACCCACCACAGGAACACACTGACTAACCTATCACACCTCACAGCTGCAGTCGGTGTTGGTAAGCTCTCATTGAACTCTAGCCCATGATGGCATCCTCGTCCGAGTCGCCCCAATTCACCCAAAGAACGTGCCCTTTCCACAACCCAAGCAAAGCAAGCGCTCCACCGGGCCTCTTCGTCAGGCTTCCTGAGACGCAGAGGGAGGCGACAGGCCATGCCGAGACTTGCCCGGCTGGTTGGGTCTGATGCCGGTAGCCATCCACAAAGACTAGCAAACCTCCGAATCTGAGCTGTCCAAACCTCAACTATTGTTTTGGTTTTCAAACAATTTTAGCGCACATGCCCACAACAGCCTGCGCAAAGCTCACAGCGCGACCCCTACAAGAATGTGCACAGGAGACAACGCCGCAAAGACGAAGACCAAACCAGCCTAAAGCTCAAAACCAAGACACTTCACCCGACACTACACCTCCCAGAAGAACCATCAAAAGGAAATCCTTCAATGACCCGAAGAACAAACCCAAACAGCCCCCGCAAAACCACGACCTCATGCGGCCACGGCGCGTACCACACTCGACGGCCCGGCGAGGAGTGAAGTGCCAGTGTCCACGGCTGCCTTCGGGGTGCAGGGTCTGTACGACTTGGGAAACTCCATCCCGAAATCCCCAGAGTCCCACCTGACACTTTCCATTGCATAGACCTTGTGGCGTGTCCCCGACGGCGACATCCTCCATCTCTACCTCCAGAATGCAAGTCTACCCGCCGACTATGGATCACCCTGCAGCTCGCTAGAGATTTGTAGCCGCGGTAGCCCGGTTGGGTCCAGGGACGAGCCCTAACGTTCACGTCCAATCACATCCTGCGACTGAACGTTGGGACTCAAAATACTCCCGCTTTGTCCACCCCGTCCTGCCAGTAGCCGGGGTTGGAAACCGGGACCCAGAAGAGCTGGTCAGACATGCGCTCAGGCTTCAACCTAGGGTCTTCAGGACACAGAATCCCTCGCTTGCTCTGCAAAGCGGCTCGGGCTGTACATGACGGTTTTGGCAGGACTTCCTCTACATCTGCAGCAGTACAAACTCGCTAGAAACCCGGACAGGACGGTTTGAAACTCACCCCTCCCCGCCCCGGCACTGTCAATTTGGGGTTTTAGGATCGTTCTCTTCAAGCGATTACTCAAGCTGGTGGATTTGGAGCTGCACTCCTGGGAACAGCTTTCAAGGGCCCATAAAGGTTCAGCCCAACAGCGCAAAGAGTAGGTAAGCCTCGCAGCTCCCAAAGGCATAAGCACAGAAAACTACACGAAACTACATGAACCCCCCCCCCCCGGTCAAAAAAAAATGTCCAGTCCAAGCTCCTTGCTCTCCAAAGGAGATCTCGCTTTCATCGCGATCGTCGGCAGCCAAGAAGACTGAAAACAGGTTTTTCTTCAGAACCTGGGCCAACAACGTTTCCGCTGTCTTGACGAAGTCCCCAGCTGGTCGACTGAAGAAAGATTGCGCAAAGCAGGGTCGGCCGTGCTGCAGCCAGAGACCACGCTTTTTGGACATCCTCAAATCAAACCCAGGTCAGAAGCTTCGTGTTCCCCACCTTGTCTCGAATCATGCAGTCCAGAACCTCGGACTCCGTGGGCTTGACTTTGGGGAGTCAAATGAGCCTGGGCTTGAAGGCTTCGGGGATGCAAGGGACGAGGGATTTGTGCGCCAGTCGTCACGGTCCGAGAAAAAACACATGCAAAAACAAGTCCTGAGCTAGACACATTGAAGTGGGGCGCCTGCGACATCTGCGGCAGCCCCAGCCTGCAGGAGAGGCGGCGTTCCACCACCATCGGGTTTTGGCTCCGGAGCCCCCCCCGAACAGGCCAGCGGCGTGAAAGCAAAGGGATCAAGTTGGGGCTAGCAGTCTAGCGGGCTTGAGCATCCCAAAACCAGCCAGAAAACCCACAATCTGGAAGGCGAGGTGCGCATTCAGGGAGCTTAAGTGCCGTGACACGCACAAATGCAAAGGTCCCCCACTAGCCAAACCCCACGCACTCTGAGTCTCTGTTGACCCATCTGCCCTCCCACTGCCACCCGAAGATGCCATCGAAGGGGACAAGGCTGAACGGCTGCTCCGTCTCCTGCGAAAAGGCAAACATTTCGAACAGCCGAACACACAGCCGAACGCACAGCCGCAGAGAGCCGCACGAATTGGCCAACATGGATGAACAATTCTGCGGGATATCCTGTGCTGTATAGAGATAGGCTCAGATAGGCCCTGTGTCAAGAGCAATCAGGGACCCGACCGACGGGGTTTTTGCTCAACCCTTCCTGAACTCGGTTGCGATAAGTTGAAGTAGGTTTCTCTGGGTATGTCCAAACGCTTCCACTCATTTTGCTTGCTTTTGAAACGGACGACGACAGAGTCGGACCCGCACACAGACGCACACACACACACACGCTCACTTACTCAGTCGCTCACTCACTCAATCACTCACTCACAGACAGACATGCACGCGTGCATGCTGCATGTTTGCATGCAATATACTGCATAAGCACTGTACACTGTACTACTCTGTCTTGATTCAGGAAGACTGAACATCACTCGTTTGTGGCACCTCCGTGACCGCAATGAAATTGCCATGAGTGCAGATGTCGCCGAGGCAAATGTGATCCTGCGTCCACATCATGGGGCCTAAGAGGGCTACAGTAATTTTGAAGCGAAGTAGAGTGAGATGAAGCATTGGTGCCCGATAGGAAGCCCAAACCCGGGCACAGCCAATCGGAGTACGAAACTTCATCTCAGGACACTACAGGCAATCTTACATTCATCTGCTCCATGTTGACCCTCTCAAAGGCTATCAAGCTTCCAAACCTAGCCCTGCTACCCATACTTCGACCGGTCCCTGTCTCCCTGTCGCAGGCGGACCGACAGCTCAACAGCTCATCAAAAACGGCGACACGCATGCCTATACTGCAATCCAAGCCGAACGTCTAACTGAAAAGAGCCCAAAACATGCATCCTGCTTCAAGCTAGTCGAGCTGAGCGGACGCGGGTGTGAACAGAAAATGACTTCCTTTTCGGGGACTTGGATGACGAGGAACACGATGCATGTAGCACACCCAATACAGCGCCTAACCTACCCCGAAACCTCGACAGCAGGAGAGCTCCCACAGCAGCGCAGAATTTTTTCGGACACTCTAAGAGCTTTCTGGTTTCTGGGGAGGTCCAATTGAAACGGCGATGAAACAAACCCTCCAGTTTGGGAGGGATGTGACTGCTGGGCTTCGGGAAGGAAAATCCGCATGGTTGTCCAAAGCCGCGCTCCCTCCCAGCTCCAGAAGCAATTGCCACTCTGTAGAAAGCCGCCGCCGCTTCAAGCTGGGATGCCCTAGTGAGATGATATGTACAAGCAGCTTCGTCTGCAAAGTGGCAATTGGCACGTGACATGCGCTGCGCATAAAAAGGTGGCAGGCATTGTCCTTCAGACCATGGTAGTCACTGGTGCACATAAGGGCAAACTCATGACCTCCAGAGACCCTGACCCCAAGACCCGTCTTTTCAACTGGTGTCTGCTTAGAAAGCCACGTAGGTTTTGTTGTCGAAGCGACTCGAGTCGCGATTGGGTTAGTGGGATCGTTGAGAATTGAAATCAAAAGAAATCGCACAGGATGTGGTCAGAATGGCCGAATTGCCCAAACCTTCCTGCTGCTCTCGCTGTGTGATTTGAAGTCCACGCAAAGCCATCCGGCCCACAGCCTGTCCCTGCTCGATGCAGGCTGGGTAAAGCTGAGTCCTGGTGCTCTTGCTGCCTACCCGATGAGGATGCAAAGCTTCCTCAATGCTAAAAAAAGGGCTTTCGCGTATAATGGCCGCACTGCTGGCTGGCAGAAAGGCGTACGTTTTCTAAGATGCATAGTCACAACTCGCAGAAACCTCGCCGGCTTCGCGAAGCCCTAGTAGTAGCACTTGGCCGGACAGGCCAATGCCGAAGCATCAGTTCTGGAATTCAAGGCGCTCAAGCAGCCTGTTGTGCATGGCCAAGATGTCCTCCTCGCCATCGCTGAGAGTCAGGAAGAAGTCGTCGTCCAGATGCATCAGGGCCGGCATCCAGGCCTGAAGGATCTGGAGCTGCGTCGTGAGCTCACTACAGGCCGGGGAGTCCAACATCTGCACGGCCTTCATCCGAAAGCGCTTCTGACTTCCAGTCACACCACTTGTGGGGTTAGTGTGCTTGAAGGAAATATCTCGCAGCGCATTGAACTCGGCTTCGCCATCTCCAATGCTGACCACGTTCTTCCAGCTCCCTGTCCCATAGGCCTTATTGATTACTCTCCTCATGGCCATCTCTTTCTTCTTGATGGACTGACCCATGAGGATCACCTGGGCTTCTGCACCCAACGAGCTTTTGGGGAGACTGTGTCAGGCTCAAGGTGGGGAACAGTCTTTGGACTACCACACCTTCGACGCAATGCAAACCCTGCAAGGTCGCTCACGCATCCGCTCTAAAGACCCAAACAAAGACTTCTGCAAACTCAACACCCTCAACCATTGGAGGTTGCTCCAAACTAGAGTCTCTTTTATGAGCAAGCTTGACAGGAGCCCTTGTAAAACAAAAGAGAACTTCCCCCTCAACACCGGGAAGCCTTGACTCACAACAACCCTCCAACACCCCAAGCGGTCGAAGCAGCTTCTTGCTCGACCAAGCCTGGCCCCGAGGCGTGGCGGCACTCGCCGCCACCTCCGATTTCGGGCTGGAGGCTGTTCGAGCTATCACTGGCGCTCACAGTTTACGGTTCTGGGTTGTGGGGGACGTGGCCCGAAGTTCCGTCTACTTTCGGGAACACACAATCAGCAAAGGCGTTTGCAGGCTCAATCACAGACTCGACATCCCTCGACGCTCTGCTTTTGGCATTCGCGTAGGCGATGAAAGGCCTGAGGAGTACCGTCGCAACATCACCTCACTGGCGTAGATCACCTCCACGCCTGCCATCAGAGTCACGTGGCCGTTCCCCCCCCTAAGACGTGTTCCAACGCACCAAAACGCTAGGTCACCAAGTGGAAGCCGCCTGCATCTTCCCATGCCTTGGCAAGCTCAGGCATGAAGGCCTTCCTGAGTTGGAACATCGCTGGGCTTGTGAGACATGCTCCCAGGACTTGTCGGGGACTGAACAGAGCAGAAGCAAAAGCATCACACAAACCAACTAAAACGAACCAACTGATGCTTTCGGATTGAACTCCGAGAACGTGCAGCAGCGAAACAAAAAATACAATCATCAGCAGAATCAAAAGTCTTCTAAGGACTGTTCGGACCAGTCCCAGTAGCTGTCGCGTTGCTCTTTGGGCGTTGTTCTCGTGTTTGGCAGTCGTTGTTGCTCTAGTTGTCTGCATTGTTGTGCGTTGTCTCGTTCGCGGCTGCCTTTACCTGTTATTGTCTAGGCTTTTTGAGCGAATGCGCGGCCAAATTCTCACGGGGTTGGACAACTGGAAGGGTTTTGAAGATACAGGGAGGCTTTGATACGCTTAAGATGAGGATTTCTAGTTTTCTTCCTCAACGAAGCATCCGGTAGCCCATGCCGACGCTGAGTGCAAGCAAGCCATGAATGCGTATATCACATGTATGCGTTCCTGTTATATGTAGCATTCTGCGTCTACATCTCATGTACATATTCCCCATGTGTATATACACGCAGGGAGGAAACCGAGAGTGAGAGAGACAGACACCTTCGTGCGTTGGTTCGCTCGTTCCTTCTGTCTGTCAGTCATACTTACATGAGACACACGACGCTAGATGGACAGACAGATAGATTTGCAGGATTGACTTTACACTGATAAGAAAGAAAATGAGAGAAACAGAGAGCGACTCCCAAAACAAAATATGCAGAACAGATAGATGAATGGAGTGCGAGTTAGAGATCAATAGCGAAGTGCAAGCATGGCCTACGGCCCGGAACATCCTGCAGATTTGAACTTGTACCAGTCGCGTTGGTGCTAACTATACGCCGTCTTTTGAACATGCCTAGAATGAGAATAGAATAGACGCCAACCTGCAGGGCTCCAGCAAAGCCAAGGCTCATGGTATTGTGCTGCCAGGGTTTCCGCGAGAGCGTCACACACACCACCTGACTTGGCATGGTTTCGACATGTCTGGGGCTTGAGACTTTGGCCATCCGAAGTAAAAAGCAGAGGAGACTCCGTGGATGGGGAATGTGGGGGGGAACATGCTCTTTGATTAGTTGGACCTACCGGATTACCGGACCGGCTTACCGGCTTACCGGCTTCCCCCCAAGACCTTGCCCAGCGCGGAGGCGGCACAGAGGAAGGCCCGTGCGGCCTTGTCCAGCTCCGCCAGATCACGTGCGTCCTCCTCAGACAGCTTTGGCGCCGCGCCCGAGACCCACATCTTCTGCCAGGACTTGAACTCGCTCTTTGCAGCGAGCCAAGTGGTTGCGAATAGCGTATCATCCCAGTCCACGATGATGACCCCTTGCTCCGGGTCCTTCCAGAGGCCACTGGACGTCTGGGTCGCACCCTCGTCGAGGGCTTCAAGCGAAAACCTGCTGGAAACCTTCTTGACAAGATCATCCTCGCCGTCCAAGTGCAGCAGACCGTCCTCGTCCACTTCAAAGTCATTGGACATGCCGGACATTATCCTCGTCACGTCATCGAGCTCCTGAAAGTGAGGCGAGGATGGCGAGGCCGGAGGGGGCTCCGAACACACCACGGAGTCCCTTCTGTGGAAAAGTTCCATGCCCGATGTGCTGCACATCATCGACCGTTGCAAGGCCTCGATCGGCATGCTGGCGGCAACGCGGCTGCGGTTCGTGGGCGTGGTGCGAAGGGTCCGTGTTCGGAGCGCCTGCAGCGGCATGCTCCTGGCTCCCAAACTGGCACACTCATCCAGTATCCTGGCGCTGAGCATCGGAAACATGTCTCGGTTACAGTGCGAGGGTAGCAGGTAGCGGCCGTTGAAGCGCAATGGCAACGATGGCACAAAAGCCAAGAAAGCCAAAACTAGCCGTCAACATAAAAAGCAAAGAATCATGTCTTTACAAAAACCTTCGGAGTTGGAACCCGGGCATCCTGGGGGCCACCATCCGGAAGGCCGAATGGTCGGTGGACTTGCGGAGCAGCTCATCGCTCGGCGCACCCAAATCCGTGCTCAGGCCCATGGACTCCGTGGACTCTGTCACGGACTCCGTGGACTGGCGCTTCTGGATGCTTTGCAGCAACGGCGGCGGGTCCATCTGTGTTACACAGGTACACGTCGCCATGGCCCGTAAAAAACAAGGAAAGGCATGAAAAGGTTGTTGCACAGGAGTGATGCGTGAGGGGTGCTAAAATTGGCTTCCAGCTTGCTTCTAAATTGTTTCTCGTGTCATCCTGGCTCAGAGTGGAATGCTGGGGAGTGGTTTCGGCACTACTCTCCCATAACCCAGGTTTTGCCAAGTACCTTGCAGTGCCTCTGAAAGATCTGAAAATGCATGCTGCGGCTGAGTTTGCACGCATGGCCAAGAAGCCTATGCTGTCCCCTGGACTCGGACACTTGACGCTGGCTCTTCATCTGACTTGGATCGCTTCTCCTTCATGAAGACGCCGCTGATCTCTCCAGTGCCGAAAGTGATGGTGACAACGTCGCGGTCTCAGAAGGAGATGAAAGTGAAAGTACTGAGATGTGTTGGGAATACTGGGGACTACCGCATCAAAGACTTGGTCTTTGTTGCCGCTATTGACCTGAATATCTGCTGTCAAGTCGAATCGGGACGCTGGGCCTCCATTTGGCTTGACCTGTCAAGAAGGGCCCACTGAAACTTGCAGAGCCTCGGAGATACTGCTTTAGTAGTCCTAGCAGGTCCTAGCAGGTCCGAGCAGTTTGAGGGTGTCGAGCTCTTTTCGTCGAACGGGCTCGGCTCGGCTCGCTGCTTGGAGCTTCGCCCCCGGATCCGAAAGCACTACGTAGTCACTACGCTGTGGGCTGGACCGAGTGCAGGGAAAGACAGCCTGGCTGTTTTCCCTACCACATGTCCTCACTCGAAGGGATCGCTGGAACGCCAGAGAAAGCTTGATCCCTTGATACGCACTTGAAAAGCACGCTCCTTGCACAAGGGAGAATGACGTCATTGACTTCTGTGTCTGGAACTTCGGCCTCAGAGAAGTTTCTGCAAATCTGCGCCGATCTGTCCTGGCAGCTGCTGGGTCACTGTCTCCCGTAGGGTCCAGTTCCACCTGACATGCGAGCACAAGGGTGTCGATGGTGCACTACGATCTGTGCCACAAAATTCGTGCATTGCTGCAGCAAAGCCTTAATAACGCCACAAGTCTTCTACTCAGCTCAACTATCAGCAAAACGCTGTATCACAAGCTGCGGAGCAAACAAGCAGAGGCTGACATGATGGTCAAACAACTGTACTTTCTAGTCAGAACGAACAGCCTACTAAGCCGCACAAAGCCAGCCAAGCGCACGGAAGCCGGCAGAACCGCCGAATAGTCCTGACAACGGTAAAGGCTTCAGATTCTGGAGTCTCACAACATGTTCGAACCAGACGATTACAGAGTGGACTCCGACACCCCCAGAGTTTCTGGCGACTAGCAGTGAACGTTGGTAAAAGTTGTTGAATTCCGGGCCACACATTCATCGAAACTTGACATTCTAGTCAGAGATTTGTCATGGGCTTGCCCGCGCCTTTACCGCTCGTCGCCCAGCTATACCTGGCTGTGAGCTGAAGATGCGTCGTTTCTGCACTCGGGTGTGGAGGGTTCGGGACTTGCACATTGACATGCCGAAACGGCCCGGCGCCGCCAGCCGCAGGCATGACGCCACGGCCGGCATCACCTCGAAGAGTCTTTGCACATCTTTGGCAGATGGAAAAAGAAGGGAAGAATGGTGAAAGAATGGTGGAAAAATGGTTGGAAGAATGGGTGCGCGCATGTGCTCACACTCCTGGTCATTCGAAGGCGAGGAAAGAAGAGGGAGCTCAGAAAAGTCAATGCCCGCGTTCGTTCCCATGTTCCCATGAAGAGACCCATGGCGTGCAAAAAGGAATCTGACCTGACCGAAGAATCTAAGAGAAGCTAAAGGCGGGTCCCCCAATAAGCCTTGCCACCCTGTGCTCTGCACACTGGGCTCCGGACCCCAAGCCCCCCACTCAGGAGCCCAACCTGCAGAAAGAAAGCGCTGCCCAGTCCAAGCGTGAAAAAAGGTGCTTTCGCTTGACAATAGTCCACCAGAAGCAAGGGCTGGAGACCAGATTGGAATTCCAAGCGCAGCTGCTTCTGGAAACATCACAACTGAGGAAGGAAGCAAACTACGTCTTAAAATACGAATCTGGAGATTTTGGATACGTATTCACTCTTCGACCTGCGAAAGTGTTGCTTATAGGAATACTAAGAGCTTAAATGCCTGGTCAAACTAAACAGGGCTCTTTCAGAAGATTCCGTACATCTTGGATCTCCTGCCATGCCTTGACCGAAGCACAAACTGTCATTGCAGCGCTGGGCGCCTGCACTCGGTGTGCCGGTCCAGCCCTGGGTGAAGGCAGGTCTCTTCAGCTTCATGCGATATCGGCGATATCGGTCATGGAATGGGGACGGATCAACTTGCGCAGGACAGATGGGAATATTTTCCTGCCTGACCGCACCAAGAAATTCCAGAACGGGTCAAAATAGGAAGCCACGTGATATGGTCACTCTACACAGCAGCCTTGCATACCCTACTCCCCCCGCGAAGTCACGCCACTTCAAGAACGATCCGAGCATACATGCACAGCGAGCAGCCTGAGGCAACGACACCTGCACTCTCCTTTCCTGCGTTCCGCGGTGCGCTCGGCATGTGCGTCATCCTCATCAGGCCAAGTCTGAAACATCTCGCAAAAGCTCAGGGAAATTCTCGCAACTCGCAAAGGCTGCAACTCGCAAGAGCTCTGAGGTGCCCACGTGCGACACTCTTCAAGCTCGCCGTGACTCGATCTGCCCAGAGTCCCGGTCATTCCGGGCTGTGAGATTCGCGGTTTGAGAACACTACTCATGCATATGCAAGCCTTCCCCACCCCTAAACCTGCCCCAGAAACGCCGACATGTGACCTGTTTGCGGTGTTACCCCTCAGACCTGAAGAGCTCGATGTAGCGGCCCTGGATCTCATGGCGCTGCTTCTCATCCTCACAGCAGCGTGCAAACAAGGGGCGATGCACTTTGGATGTCTTTTTAGGCTTCTGTTTTGCAGGTCAAAACCAATTCGGACTGCCAGTGGGCATCTGGGACGCTGGCTAAAGCCTTTTGAGCGAGCTGGGCATTGGGAAACACGACAATTGCCTGCGCTGAGAGACTGCGAACAGAATTCTGACTCAAGTGCAAACAGAAAGCTGGAAGACGGACAGGTTGTTTGTGTCCATGACGGCCTTTAGATAAGTCATGCTAAACCTGCAAACCGCTAGAGCCGCTACACCCCAAAACCTGAAATCGCAGCAATCGAGCTCATCTTGTATCATGGAGCTTGGGGCAGCCTCGCCCATGTGCCGGCCATCAGGCCTCTTCATGAAGGTGATGTCGTGCCTGGGAAAAGCAGCTCCAGGTTCTACGTGCATACGTGTAGCCTGGTGTTTTTCCACGTGCTCTGGAGCTTGAAGCGATGCCAGATAGATCCGCGGCCAATTCGCGTGCTGCCAGCACTTCCACAGAAAAAACTCATGACAACAAGAGTGTGCATGCAGAATGAACCTACCTGTCATCATGTAGACTACGATGAGCGCTGATACTGTATGTCAGTGTGATATTCATCTATACCTCACGTCGAAAGCGCCGCAACCTCAACTGGCCCACAGTCCAGGCGAGGTGCTCCCGGATGCTGTAGTCGCTCAAGAAGGAAAGAATGTCTTCTACCCCCGCTTGGAAGGGCACCTCAACTGTCGTGATCTGCCATGGGGGACAGCTTCTTGGGAACAGGGAGTTTGAGTTGATTTGGGTTTCTTGGCTCAGTCTACGCGGCTTGGAGTGCAGGAGTAAGTCGGCTCAGCTGTTTGAGGCAAGCTGTTTGCAGGCTACACCCTCGATATTTCTAGAACGCTTTGCTTTTGGCATCCATGCAAGCAAGTTCCCCCCCCCCCCACCACGGGAAAGTAAAACAGCCCGTGTCCACACAGCTTTGTTCACGCTCTGTGATGGGCCCCCTGAAATTCAGCTATAGACCTCAAAACCAAATGCCCAGCCATGTCGACACCTGCACCAAGGGGAAAGACCTTTAACGTAGATTCCTTCTCGTACTTCGGCCAACCCGGAAGAAGGTAACCAGCTCCGACTCTGAGGGGAAGACTCCACGCATCCGCACAACCGGGCTGTCTTTGCCTGGACACAAGGAATTTCTAGAGACATGCGCACTTGAGACACCAAGCACCTGAGGTTCATGAAGCCCATCTGGGGGCTATCAGTAGATGGCAATTGTCAGCGCGATATCCATGACTAACTCGGCCAGCCGACCCAACATGGTTGCAACCGCGTTCAAGTCCTCTCCATTCTTGAACCCCTGCAGGCAGCAGGCAGTCGCACCATGCCGACCGATCGGATAAGTGCGAGTTGACACTAGAAAGATACTTGCCACACAATGAGGGTTGCTGTAGTACACTGTTGACGCACACTAGACTCCCGACATAGAACATGCTACAGAAGTGACTACACGCGTGTACACACACACTCAACCTTTGCCATCCCATCTTTGCAAGATCTTCTGGCAATGTATGTACGGGCGCCATGGGCTTGGACAGCTCAGGTCCAATCCCAGAAACCCTTTGTCACTTTTGGTCTCTTCATGGATCTAGCCATTCGGGGGTTCTTTGCAGCCAACATCGGGCCTGCGCGAAAGCACGCCTTGGAGAATCGGGAAGGGACTCAAGAGCAAGAGAAGCCATTCTTTCAAAACTAGATGGAAAAAAAAGGCCCGAAACTCCAAAATCCCTGATGCCATGGCTTTGAACGGGGTAGCAATCCTGGGACCGAAAGCCAAACTCCAAAGCCAAACTCTCCAACCTGTTTTTTGGCTTGGGCCCTGGTGGGAGTCAGCTCAAGGCCCCTGGACACCCGCTTTCGGGCCCGGACCCATGGACCTATGCACCTCCTATGGAGTTTTTTCGAGACCCTGCATGGACCCTTGTGAATTCCGGCTCTCTCTCTGATGCCCATGCTCTCTGATGCCCATGGCCTTGAGGGCTGCAGGTGAGCGATGTTGCAGGGCTTGTGGTCAGGGACTTCTGGATTTTTGTGAGGCCTTCTATGGCTTGTGAATGCTTGCATGTGATGGATCCTTTCGAGCCCCCAGACCCGTCTCTCCTCTTATAGACTGCATGGAGAAAGTCTTACCCCACCTACCGGGACAGGCCGAGGCGGAGCGCGGGCTTGCGCTAACATGCGTTAACATCCTGCTACATCATGACTCTAGCTCAGCGCTCGGAACCTTCTACCGTAGACATTGCTCAGAGTTCATCTCCAAAGTCCGAGTCCCCCTGCAACGTGTCCGACGTGTGCCGCAATGGGTCGCGGTTGGCGGTGCGAAGAACATCGCAGAACTGCTCCCACCTTGAATCCCATGAGCATGCGATGCCAGTATGCATACGGCTGATTACAGGGCTTCGGAGGTCGCCATGTTCTGAGCCTGCATCTCTGGCTGATCCTCCTATTATTCACAGACTGGGGCCAGCATCGTCTACAGTGCCACGTGTCGATTGCTGTTGTTGGAACAAGTGCGACTTTGAGCGCTTGATCTTGGCACGGCTTGGCCAAGCTTTGTAAACTTCGAGTGGGTGTGGTGAGCGTGACGACAGCAGTTCATGATGTTGATACCCTCCTCCTGTGTGGCATTTATCTACGCGCAGGCGAGATGCGCATTGCGCTACAATGATCTGATTGATTTTGCGGCTTCCAGGACTCTAACTCTCACAAGCCATTTTGGGTCGCCTACCGAGCACGACGCGCAGTTCGCTGTAGGGGGTTTGAAGCGATATAGCGCGCTGACCACCACAGTGCAAGCGTGCTCGAACCCTCAAGCCTCTCGAAATGTCGGAAACTCGTGACCCCAGGAGAAAGACTCAAGCTCTTTAGGGTCTCTTCTCAGTCTGTGGTACCTTGTGACTGCAACTTTGAAGCCCCAAACCTCAGACCGTTGTTGAACAGAGACCCCCGCTTGGCACGCCCATCCTCGCTGGATCGCTGAATGTGCTTGACCTCCACGCGCACTTGACACGTTCCCGTGCGCCCCCTATCTGGTACCCATGGCGACAGCTTGCACACAACCACCGAGAGGCCGCACCTCCGCAACCAAGGCCTCCTTATTGATGGCATCTGCGGTGTAGCCATGCATGCCTCCCAAAGAAACAAAAGTCTCTCCAGCGCTGCGAAGTGTTTTGCTGCATGCTGCTGTTTACAGGATCAGCATGAAAAATCACGCGGAATCACACTTGCCCGGCACAGTGCGCGGCACCCCCGAGGCCGCAACGCATAAACGCTTCGTGGTGGACCTTGCGCAGAAGACCGGTTCCGCTAGGCTGGGAGGTTACTGGGAGGTTGGGAGTCGCAAACCTGCAAATCCCTCGGCATCCTAAGCTCCGGCCTTGGACTCATCCCAATCGTCCAGCGAAGCCCTGACGCAAAGCAAAGCTCGAGAAGGTGCTCGGTATCCATGCCAGTTCATGGCCAAAGCAAACAGGGCAGCATGGTGCAGCCAGCCAGTAAGGTCGCAGGTAGGTGAAAGGCCAGAGACTTAAGTCAAAGAGCTCCTAAAGAAGCTTTCGTGCCCGGAAGTAGGTCGCTGGGCTTGGAAGGTTTGTGGCACAGCAGCCAAAGAATGGTTCCACCCCAAGCCTGAAGAGCTCGATGTACCGGCCGTGGATTTCCTGCTTCTGCTTGTCCTGGTGATGTCCAGTGGCTTCTTGCAATTGTTCACACGTAGCCACCAACGAGCCAATAGTGAACAGGTGATTTGTGCATTTTGCGCATGCTGAACGCCCGAGGCCTTGCAAGCTTCAGGCCCCCTGCGATTGGTCCCCTGGAATCCCCTGGAGCAATCGACCCCTCCGAAAAGGACGCAACCTGACCCGTGGCAAGGCGAACTGGGAAGCTGCCTCAAGGGCCTTCTCCGCAATCTCCACTGAGGGCATGATGACGTAGGCCTGCTAAACAATCCGGCGAAGTCTTGAGCCAACTCATCCATACGTACTACGAGTGCACTTTGCTAGGCCTGACTCCGCTACTGAGTTGTGATAAAAGTTGCGATGATCTCCGAAGCCGAAAGAAGCCGAAGCTTCCCGTGTCGAAGGCTTGAGGCGCGGGCCTCGCCCGTCTTCTTGCCATCAGCCCCACGGCCCATGACAATGCTCTTCTCGTCGATGCTATAATCCGCCCTTCACTCTGAGGCAAGTAAAAACCGAATGAACCCAAAATGACAAGCTCGAAGGTTTGAAAGAGGTTCCCGAGATGTGGGCAGAAAGGAGACCACGTCTGAGAGCTCGCTCTGGAAGGGTACCTGAAAGGGCTTTTACGAGCGGCGCCCAGACGAAAACAGCGTTACGCAAAGCATCCTTCCACTGTCGGTTTGCATCACATATCAGCAGCATCCGTGTTGGAAGAGATGTTTCTGACACTGAACGACTCCAACACCTTTTGGTTGTTGCATACACTGTGGTGGGCGGCCTGCGCCGCACGAATCTGCTGAGCTACTTTTGGAAAGGGGTTCGTTTGCCGAGCCGAGCGATGCACTGAACCATACACCACCTGCATTCCGAGGTGCTCCAGGGCGCTGTCGCAATATCGCAAGGGCATGACAAAGATACTGCAGTGACGCCCAGCGATCCCCAGCGAACCCTAACCCTCTAAAACAGGCCCCCAAACGTATCCAAACGTGCAATTGGCCACTCCACGAAGACGGAGGACTTTGCCATAGATCCTGGCTTCATTTTGGGATGAGTATGTAAACTATGTCTTTGGGATGTTTGGGGGGGGGGGGAGGAGGCTGTTCTTCTTTCTCACCTTTCTCACACTGCCCTACCTGTGGCTGCAGATTGTGCTCTCACAGCTTCCTGCACATCTTCGAACTTCATGTTACTGGATGCTGTAGGCTGCTACTGTGCCAGCTCATGTGCGCCACGCTCACTTGTTGCCTAAGGCATGAGGCCGCGGCGGCTCTGTCGGGATCTCGCCTTTTTCAAACGCCTGCACAATGTCGCAAGGACATGCAAGGACATGCCCCGTGAGAGCAGTTTGAAAGCGCGAGGCTTCCGGAATAAGGCGCCGAAAGAATCGCTGACCCACTCGAGCTCAAACTCGGCCTCCAGGAACATCTTGAGCGCTTGCGGCGTGTGTCGCGCAGGATCACGATTGCCGGTGCCTGGGGACATCGCCGTCTGAGGCATTCCAGGAGGAAGTGTCAAGTGTCCCAGATGCCACAGATCAGAAATGCGCCGCGACGATGTTCAACGATGCTTACGGCCCTTAACCTTTGCACTTGTGCCTTGTGCTTTCGAATGCTAAGATCAGGAGAACCCCAGTGCGAGGACTCAGGCAAGGACGGAGCACCCCACAGTACTCCTCCCACTTTGTCTTGCCATCTTCATAGTTCCGCTGGATCCTCGGAGACACCAGGAAAAACGTGGAGTTTTTGATGCTGCTTTCGGCTCAAGTATGTATCCATCACAAGTCGGCACAGTGCAGCTCTCCCTTCACCAGCGCAGACAAGGTCGAAGCTCGCAAAACACTCACGACACACAAGGATCCTGAAACAGCCCAGCCCTAAACCTCCAAAGGCCTGAACTGACAGTTCTTTCTGGGATCGAACTACAAATCACCAGCAAGTGGATTTTTGCACCCCGCCCCACCCCATCCCTGCATCCCATCACCAGCCACACCACGGAAATACTGAAAGTACCGAAAGCATTCGCAGGATGCGCGCCGGTTTTCCAACTACTGGGCCTCCGGCTTTTTGACTGCCGCCACGAGCTCCTCCTCTCGGGGTTGAGTGTCTTTGGATCTCTAAAGCTTCAGGGTTTCAGGCTTTGGCAGGTTCGTGGTGGGCCTGTCACTTTCTGGCAAGTAGAACATGGAGTGCGGCAGAAACACGGAGGTGGATTCCGGCATACTTGGCCACACAGCATCCCGGTGTCAAACCCCTTCGAGCATCACCCTCGTGTCAGGATACCCCACTTGTATGTGGGAGAGGGGACACCAAAACAGTGAGTTGAAGGTGCAATATGGAGTGTTGACACATAGTCTGCTATGTGTGAAGAATAGTCGGGGGCCAGTCTGTGGCGAAAGGAGAACACTTCCCCTTCTAAACACGTAGCGAACACGCATTGGCGTAGCGACACCAATTGCCATCGGCCGTTTTCAGAAGCATATCGCACCACGTATCTAGTTTGTAATGCCCTACCCTCCTGAACTTTCGAGAGGAACTTCACGCCGTTCATGATTTAAGGCCATCGTCTGAGGAATTGGAGAACCTATGGGATGTGTGAATGGAAAGAAATTGAATCTCACTTCGCGCTCATGTATCTGCACGTCCTTGCTGCCCGGCGCCGGAGCATTTGTCAATGCCATGACGGGCGGGGGCACGGCATTTTGGCTCCAGGCTCCTGCCCAGCAGTTCTGGCAACTGAGCAAGCTAGTGAAGCTAGTGTTGGACTATGCTGGACTCGACTTGGAGCGAACATGCGACCAAACTTTGAACGAGAAAGCGCGCTGTGGGAAGAGGCCAATCTCAATTTTCCTCTGAATGTTAAGAAGGGGGGCGGCGAAGTAACACTTGCATGTGCTGAGCAGGACCCGACCCCTGTACATTTTCAACGGGAACCTGGCGACCCCAAACAATGTGGCTTGCTCCTTGCATCCCTCCCGCAGAGAAGCCGGAGCCCGAGCTCTTGTCGAAGTCCTCTTGGCATGACCTGACCAGACAGCTTCTCTGAATTCTGAATGGCTCAACAAGAAAAGCAGAGCTGTAATGTCACTCCCACTGGTCTCGTCTCAAAGTCGCAAGGGCCCCCGACCGGAACAATTCGATGTAGCGGCCAATGATCTCCTGCCGAAATTGACAGATAAATGGCGTCAAGGAGACGCAGACAAAGGGCACGCAGACCCCGGGCACATCCCATGTCATAGCGCAAGCGGGAACACAAGCGATGCTGTGAGTTGCTTTGACATGTATGGCTAACCCTGAATAGACCCGAAACTCAACCCTCTCCAAATTTTGCACCGTCTTCTAAACCCTTGAACCCGTACCCTCTTTCACAAGATTAAACCACGTTCTCAACCATCTTTTGAGTCATCTCGCGATATCTTGAGCCGTCTGGGATGGCCTGGCGCTGCTTGGTCTGCAAGGCAGACTCGGCATCCTGTACGCCTCAGCGCACAGCCGGTGTGTTGAGCTTCGGACCACTGTTGGCTCGGGAAGCTCAGGAAGTCTAGGGCTCTGCTCCTCCCAATCAGGCGCTGAACGTGACAGAGCCGTGACTTAACCCTGGGCATCCTTCGGGGAACCAAAAAGAAGCGCAAGAGCTGTACTTTTGGCGACTACCCTGTGCGAGGAATCGACTGAGAATTTGGTCGGGGTTTTGTTGGGATCTGCCTGCTCCGCGTGCTTTGAGTGGGGCTTTGAGCTACACGACTGTGACGAAGGTGCCCAACATTTCCAGACAAGAGGTTGCAGTGACACTGTTGTTGCCACGGTGCCACACCTGCTGAGCCCTGAGCTGGAAAACTGGACATAGGCTTCTCCCGTTGGCCGACCTAAGCATCACGGGCAACGGCATCACACAGCAACAGTACCGGGACAATTGCACTGCACAGGCGCAACATGCGAAAGCGCATCGATCAAAAACAACGTTTGCTCGTCATTTTCAGGGCTGCCACCCTCACGCAGCGACATCCTCACGCGCGACCTTAGTCAGATGTTGAGGCGTCTGCGCTGCCATCGCCGTTCCTGATGTTGAGAGCCCGACTGGTCAATGCCGAACTCGGTCAGAAACTGCACGACATCGTCTACAGTTGCCTGGAACGGGACCTGAGAGATAGTGTGGCCACATTTGGTCACATCCACGCGACCCTTTGGAGCAGAGGCTCTTCCCTCAAATCCAATGAGGAAGGCCAAGAGGGCCAGAACTGAGCTCTCTGAGAGCTGGGCGCCTCTCAGTCGCAGAATCGGCGAGAGCTGAACTCAGCCAAACAGCGATGTGGGAAAAGGCCGCATGATCTAACTAGAACTGCTGAGGAATCCTGAGAGCGACACCGACCTTCTGTGCAGCTTGCTCTGGAGCTTCCCCACGCTCGTAGGCCTCGGCTTCGCTGCATCATGCGATCGTGAGACAGGGGGGTCATGCGCATGCCCAGGTCAAGCTGTGTGAATTTCGCGTGTGCATTTTGTCACGTGCAAGTGGAATGAGGGCGCCACCTCAATGAAGGCCTTCAGCGACCTGGGGCCCAGGGTCAATGGCCACTGTGTCCGGTGACTCCGCTGCCCTGACTCGACAGCTTAGCTACCAGCATGCAGTGCCATGCACAGTGTCAGCACACTGAGATCCAGGCTCCGGGGTGTGTCGAGCTGGGTCATGGTTGCCGGTACGCGTGCTCTCGCAGTACCTGTACCACGCATCCTGGCATGCATGTGGCTTGAGACTTCGAGTCGTTCTTGCCTGAAGCCCGCGGACTAGGGTCCAACTACATGCTACATCTTCAAGCAAGCTGTCCTTGGCTTCCTGGCCACTGCGCTGGATCTGTTTGATCTTCATCACCAAGTACTCCTGCATGGCATGGCTCAACCAACACAAGCTCCGCTTGCCGCAACGCTCTCAACTCTGTTGCGATGCGGTCGATGCTTCCCCACGGCCCCACCTTGCCCATTTCGGCAGTTTGTGGTGCAGTGGCTTTCAAGCCTCGGCTTTCCTAGACCCAGACGCTTCAGAGTCAACGGGAAAAGCATACAGCTACGCATGCAGAGCGGGATTTGGGTGGTGTACCATGGGCAGTTCGCATACTCACACTGTTCGGGAAGCATCATCCAGCATGTCTGCAGATCCGGATGTGGTGACAGCAGATTTGCAGCCATCATGCTTACTTGTTGTGGTAACGACTGCAGTCATTATCGGAGCCAAGTGACCACAATGCCACTGGCAGCAAACGGCAATGCTGCGTGCGCTAAAACGCTCAACAGCACAAAGTCGAACAGCTCATTCTTAAAACACTATCGACGAATCGCCAAGAATCACGAAAGACAACCCTCACCCCCCAGACCTGAAACACCGGAGCTCCAAACTCTGGCCCTTTTTGACCGAAACCTAAAGCCCAATACGGCACCTGAAAAGGATTCAGCCCTGGACCGTTCTTCGAACCCAAGGACTTGAGGATTTGAGAAGACCCTGAAACCGAGTCGAAGTGAGGCTGGGACCAGACATTCTGTGGAAGTCTTCCTGGGAATGCTTCACTTTGGATTGAAGGCTCGGGATTTCGAGCTCGGTGCAACGTGCCGATTTCGATGCCTCACCCTACAGCTTACTGTATCCACACAGATGACTTGCTAGCACAGACTCGATAGACTGCTCAAGCTCAAGAGTGCCTCGGTGGAGCGGAAGAGCTCGATGTACCGACCCTGGATTTCCTTGAAAAGAGAGTCTTGAGAGGGCCCTTTGAGGAGCCTGTTGCTACGACAAGACACATTCATGGGTGGTGTTGAGATGAGGGCTCTGTTCTGAAGGGAGTTCAGTGCGTGCTCTGCCTCTTCGATGCTGCGGAACATGACGTAGGCCTCAGAGAGATGAGCACTGCGGCACTGAAGTGAAAGACAGGGCAAAAGAACCACAGAACCGCTGACTACCACAGCCTCGCCAGTGATGCGACCATCAGGACGTCGTCCGAAGACCTTCTCCATGGCTTGATTTCATGGTCCAGGTCTTGACATGTCTTGACCCGCTATCCTGATGGACGTCGTATCGTCGCAGGACAAACCGCTGGTCTGAGATGTTGACGACACTCTCCTGGGGGATGCTGAACTCAGACAAAAAGTCCACCACCTTCCACGCCAGGGAAGAGCTCTTGGGCTCACATGGGAACACGGTTCGGAATATGTGGGAACACACGTACTCCGAGAAATCTTCAACAGCATCTGCCTGCAAATGAATGAGCAATGCCCAAAAGCACCCCTAAAAAGTACGATTTCCAGGGCGGCCTCGTGGAGCTCTGCCTGAAATGGCACGCCTGTAGTCGTTTGGACTCTGCTTTTGGGGCTTGATGAGCATGGCGAGATTTTCTGGATGTCTAATCGGTACAACGTATAATTCAAGGTCTCTTGAGAACTGGGCTGCTTCGCAGGAAGAGAGAGCAAAGAGGTGCTTCAGGGCTTGCACTTACGAAGGTGATGCTTTGTGAGATGTGGTCAGTGGAGTACTGTTCACCCACCTCGGAGGCGAAGGAACCGGGTGCTTCCCAGCTGGGACGCGACTTGCTCCGGCATCTGCCATAGTCGGGTTTCGGGTTTTGCTGCTTAGGGCTCCAGGGTTCAGGGGTTCAGGGTCGTTGCTCGCACCAGCCACACTGATCTGCGGAATGGTTTGAGGAGGCTGTCAGGGTGTCGTGGTCAGGCTGATTGATTGAATCCGTCGCCCCGTTGACAGCTGGCATGATTAGGCTGCGTGTTTCTCCTCATTTGGTCATTGCCGACAACAATCACCTTTGCCTCGCCTTTGGCGAAAACGTGAAAACATCTGGATTGAAACTGTCGCAGCGTGCCAACTCCCCACTGACAGACTGCGGCCGCATCATGCCATGTTCACGGTTCCCATATGTCCAAGTGGTAAAGTCCAGTTGGAAAGCCAAAGAGCCAGCCACTGCTAGCTGTGGCAAGAAAATTGCACGTCTCGGCCTCGGCCTTTTGTTACTTAAGACTACTCCGTTTCTCTGGGTTGGCTGCGCTCATTGCTCTGATCTCTCTGCTTCTTGACCCTGTAGAGGTACCAAACGATGCAGGCAACAGACGTAAGGATGTTGAACACAGCCGAAAGGCTCGCGCCAAGAAAGACCAAGTCCAAGATGAAAGAAAGGAATGCGGGGACGTCCTGCTTCAGGGGGCATCACAGACATTACGCGTTGAACATGAAGAAAGCATGATTAAAAACATATGTTAAAAGAAACTAATGGAGCTCGGCTTCCAAGGCATCACCAACTACCTGAAAAAATGCTTCAACAATCTTCAACATCTATGCGTTGAGAATGGGAGAGAAAGTCCTGCACAAAGCGCAAGACTTCACGATAAAAGCTGTGGTCGAAGGCGCTGTTGATGCACTTGATAAAGACCATTTCGTCATCCGACATGCTGTATGCTGCCCATGCACCGAGCAAGGGAATCTGGTTGCGAAAGGCAAGCCGCAGTTGAGGTCTCATGGCAGCTAGTTCCTGATCACTGAAATGACGACGGTCGCAGCTTTCCGCTATGACCACGCTGCCCCAAAACACGACGACTCCAAGAATCAACACCACTGCAACCAGCGCTGGACTTGACACCCAGTAAGCCACTGGAAAGTAGAGCACAGGCATTGCAACGCACCAGCATAATGCGGGAATGGCGAGCACTCGCTGCCCTGCAATAGCTTCGGCCTGGTGGACCCGTAAAACCCACAGAATTGTGAGGATAAGTGACAAACTGCTCACGAGCCAGGCAGCACTCGGACCACCTGCAACAACGACATCCATCGAAGAAATCGACGTGTTGTTGTTTGTGATGTTTGAAGTCATGTTCTTCTCTGCCTCGATGGTTTCGGCTTCAGTGGCAGCAAAGCTTCGAGCGTACGCGTCCACACAATACACAAGCAGGCCTACAAGCTTTGTCGTGTCCAGCAGGCCCGAAACAAGCCAATCCAACTTGAGATTCATTGCCGGAAAACGCAGCTTGTGGACAGCCTTCCGAGCCAAAAATGTCTTGACCGGCGCATTTGTCCATGATCTTCCCTTATGTAGGAGCTTCCGATGCTTCAAGTTGGTGTTGGAGTGCTCGAGATGCGCGCCAAACCGTTCCCCCGCTCAGCAATCCGCCGAGGCCTCGTGCCGTAGGTGTCTGGGGAGCATAAAGCACATACCCCACCTCTATCCTCTCCCCAACACACCTGGCGCAAGTTTGCGCCACTTTATTGGTATTTTTTGTTGGACAGAGCATCTATGGCCGATAGTAGGGACTTCGGCCAACCAACGCCCCCTCGCCCTCTTCTGCACCCACCTGCCGGGACTACCCAGTCGAGGAGGGTCACGTGCCTTTGAATTTGCTACACCTGAGAGTGAAGTACAGCCTTTCTGTGGAAAAAAGTGTGAAAAGCCTGAGCTTTAGCCAAACCTACTCAAAGATACTAAAACACCAGCTGCTCGGAGAGGGCAAACGGGCGAAAGGGGCCTTGCCGCCTTGAAGGGCCTGCAGGAAGCCCCGGAGATGGTCCTCAGGATGGCGGCCTTGAAGAGGGCGGCGGCAACGCTGCATTTCGAGTTTTAGGAGGGATGTAGGGAGGGCTTGGAGTAGAATAGTGTGGATGGAAGATGCTGCAAGTGCTGCACCGACATAGCCACCACACACCCATCAACTCAGCCTGTCGGCCTCGATACGTCAAACCCAGCAGACCCAGAAAGCTGAGGGTAGCGCTGGGATCTCTGCTGCCCATGCGTGTTGCATCCGCAAACCTACACAGAACACGCAATCACCTGTGCTCTTTACATCTACATAGGCAGATGCATATACAGAAATAGCTTCTGGAAGATCGGTTCTGGAACCTCACTGTTGCTGGGGCGACCACCGCTCCCACTGCTCCTTCCCGGCGGGGTCACTGCCTCAAGCGTCGATTTCCGGACAGGAGAGTGTGGCCGGTGGTGCAGGAGCATGGGTTGCAAAGCCACGCTGTCAAGGGTCCGAGTAGCATGGAGATTCAGGATCTTAGTGGCTTCGTCAGCTGAGCCCCGAGCGCTGGATATCTTTGATCGAGCGAACTAACCTCGGAAAGGAGCGTTGACTGACAACAACATACGAACCCTTGGAGAAAGCTTGCAACAGACTGCAGCCGTGATCCACCAGACAAAGACAATGAAGCTGCCTGTATAGCTGGGAGAGTCAGGCAAGGGCCTGTCTTTCTCGGTTTCCACATACCCAGCTCCATCCTGCGTCAACTCGATACACCTCTATGCATCTCTACAGGTTTTCTTGGTATGCGACATCCATGGCCTCCCAAGAAGCACCTGACGCTCCTCGGCTCATATGGCGATCCGTAGGAAGACGTTAGATTCTTACACCACATCATCAGCAAGTCTGATGCAGTAAGATGCCGACCGCCAGTCGAGTATGGACCATATCTGCTCAAGGTTACGAAACAGGAACTGACGACTCAGTGATGTTCCATGCTGTGCTCCGTGTGCGACTATGGTGTGCAAATCCGCCTTTGGGTTTGCTGCGTTGCCGGGCCGTAGCCGCCATAGGCATCGCTGCCGCAACAACCGCCACCGACACCATAGCCAGTAGCACCATAGCCACCGCCACCGTAGCCCCCATCACAGCCATAACCACCGGCGGCGCCATAAGCGTCCGCACCGCCGCCATAATTGCCCCCATAGCCACCACCATAGCCACCGCCATAACCTGACCACACAGTTGGGGTCATGCTATTGGAATTTCAAGACGCGACCCTGCGCGGCCTCCTCGGCCCGTGGCACCCATCCCCTTGCCTGGGCCCTGGGCCCACGGGCCTCCGGAATCAGAAGCATTCTCCGAACAGCAAGAGAAAACACAAAGCCCGCAGCGCCAGCCTCTCATGGCGGTACTGCGGCGGCTGATGCACTGGTCGAACCGGCTGGTGCTAGCAAGTTGTACGATGGCTGTGGGGGGCTTGGCTGCAGGGCTGGTGCAGGGGCTTGCTGCAAATTGCTCGGCCAGGTTTTGAGATGCTAATAATGCTCCATAGTATGCGATTGGAAAAAAAACGCCCAGCATGCAAGTTATACCACCATATCTCTCTCCGGAGCGTTGCTGAACTTCACCAGCTTTTTTGATTTCATGCTGCATGGACCTGGCGTTCGCACGCTGGCAGCCAGAAAGGACAGTGGGCGGAGCTTCAGGGAGCCACATGGAAAGAATGAAGAGAACTCACCAGCATCTCTCAGAGGAACTCTCAAAGCACCTGATCATCAGGGTTCTCGGCCTGACAAGCTCAGAGCTGAACTTGCCTGCCTCACACAATCGCTGACACACCCTTACTAGCCTTCCTGACAAATTAAACTTCAATTAGTTCAGCTTATGACTTCTACGTGAAGAACAGGGCAAGCATTGCTCTCGACCAGACTCACAAAGGATGTCCAAACCGAGTGCCAAGCAAAGGCCACGTCGACTGCAGTGCCTCTAACACAGAGAGAGCACCCGTCCGCAGCACTGCAAAAAGTAGCCCCTTTAAGAACAAAAACTAACGGCTCCATAAACTTCAGAAATCTCGGGCTACATGCATCAGGAAACCTCGAGCTAGGTGCGGGTTCAAACTCTGCTTCCCAGGTCCCCAGGCGCGATGCGCTGCTATTGAAGCGTCGGTGCATACTGCACGCCTGGGGAATCGGGACGCGGGGTCTGTCAAACTGTGGTGCACTCTTCAGCAAACAGCCGTCTGTGTGTTACAAAATCTGCTCATATCTGCCCATGTCTCCGGGGAGGAAGACAAGTTGAAAGAAACAGCGCATGTGCTCGAAATCTGATGCAAATTCCGTGCGATTTCCTTCACAATTCTGACACTGCTTCTGCTTCCACCACGACCATTGATGCCAAGAGCTCTGCATCACTCCCGCAGGCGGTGGACGGTATGATCAGATTGCCACTGCCTTCCAGGTCAGTCTATGTTTTTGCGATTCTGCCTTGTGTCTACATATCCCTACCCGAGCAGCACCGCGGCCTGTGTCAAAGACGACCTCGAACTCCTGAGCCGGCGTCCTGCCCAACAAAGGTTGCAGAGGAAAGATGCGAAGCAAAGATGCGCAGCAAAGATGCGCAGCTCAGGTGCCCTCTGTCGCACGGTTTGCTTCGGTCCCGAGCCGCAGGATGCCATAGTATTCGCTGGCTTGTGAGCCCTGAGACTTCGGAATTGGAGGATTTGTGGAGATTTGTGGGGGGATTTGTGGAGATCTGGGGTGGGATTTAAGCAAATCCGCCAACCCCGACGTACCAACAGCTAGGATCCCTCCCGCAGCCCTTGGGACTCAGTGGCCTACCCACCAGCCCTTCAAAGACCTGGAGCTCTTTCAAACATATTGTGGGGCTCTTTGAAGGGAAACCGCTTCTCTTGCCTTTGTGTGTGTGAAGTGATCATAGTAATACAGCACTTGCGACCCTGGAAGCCCAGTTGCAGTAAGCACTGCCGAAACAAAGACACGTGCTGTGCATCCTGTGTGCGGGTCGTCTGCTAAGTGATGCCAGCTCCACCAGACTCATCCCTCTCTCAATAAAGACCCCAAACGACGAGGGGAGTGCCGACGAGCCGCGGAGGAATGAGCTTCCTCTTTCTTCGGCACGGGCACTCGCTTCTGCAGCCTTCGCGCTCAGCGCTCGCAACTGCGCAACTGCAAGTGGCCGGTGCTTGGGGCGCAGGAGGCCGCAGAAGGAGTTTTATGTTGTTTACATCAGTACTACAGTACTACATGCTATATCCCAACCTGCGATGAGTCCTTAGCTACTTGCGGGCTTTGCATGCTCCAGTGCGTTGGGGGGGAGAGCAAAAAACAAGACTCCTTTCTTGTGACGAGACGAGGCCGGTGACATTGAAAGAGCGAGGCTCAGCAGATTCTGGCCTGGTGCTGCGAAGGCTCCCCTGCTCCGAGAAGCTGACGGCCTGGAGCTCCAAAAGCCCTTGATCAAAGAAAGGAGCGAACTAGCCATGAGGGCCTGACAGTAAGAACGTCAAGAACGTCAAAGACAGTACTCAACTAGCAACGGCCCTAGCACCGCGCATCCCAGCACATCGGCGTCTTCATCAAGCAATGGTCAGGTCTTTGTCTGCGTGTCGCAGAGTGAGAAAATGGAAGTTGCAGCTCTGGCTTCTGCAGTAGCCGCCTAACGTGGCTATCAAATTCATCGACAATCCCGGAAGGTCAGTCTGCATTCGGCCTTCTGCAAATGGATTTCGGGCTTGGTAAGTCTACTAGCCTGCACGATCCTGCAAGGTACTGCCTAGGCTGAATGGTGCAGCTGGCACGCGCTGCAACAGAGGTTATTCGCCACCCCCTTCTTAAAGTTTACAGAGGATACAAAGGGTGCACACACAAGGCTCCGGCGAACTTGACATACCGGCATGCTTCCCAGACCAAGCTCCAGTACATAATGTCACGAAAATATTGGGGGCCGTTTAGGTTCTGAGGTCTTCGGAGTGCGACGTGTCTTCTGTCCACCTCCTGTCCCGACACGTTAGCAATATCCGAGGCGAACAGGAAACCCAGCTCCAAACCCATTCTCCATCATCTGCCTCTGTCCCGTCATGAACTGGTTGTAGATGGCCTGGCCAGCCCCGCACAGGCTGTGGCATCGCTTCCCCACTGCGATGAACTCCTGAAAGCCTGACCTCTCTCTGCCGGCAGTAGGTGTCCTCGTCGATGTCATCCTGGATGGCAAAGGACACGACCCAGGGTTTGATGCTTCAGCACTTTCAAGACTCTCAGAGCAGAAGATCCTTCTTCGCAGCTGCTTCCTGCGCGGACAGGACGTCCTCGGAATCTCACATCGCTGTCGATTGAGGCCGAGTGGCAGAAAGCACTCAAATTCCACGCTCTGCAGAAGAGGCTCGATGAGAGATGCACCTTGACAGCTCGGTCATAGAGGATTGAGCTTCAGACAATGCCTGCCCTACGCTTTACCATGAAAGCTTCAGAAGCTGGGCAGCTGCAGCACATGCTCCTGACGCATCCTACACCCGCCTCAACCCCCTCCTTACCCTGAGACCAACAAGGACCCATCCGCAATCCGCATCTGCAACACCTGAACGCCTTCCGAATTCTGAGGAAGGCCTGGGGCTGCGCCGCCGGAGGGCATAGAGGGCATAAGTCTCGTTTTGGAGCTCTCCTTCCGCGGAGCTTGAAAGCTTTTTACATATGATGTTGCACGTGATGATGCCAGGTGCCAGACTGAGAGGACTCTCAGCATCAATCACGTTAGTCCGCAGTAGTCAACGTTAATCAGCGCTAACCCTACGCCTCATTGATCTTCACATTTCTTTTCAGTTCTTAGTGGCTCGCATAGTACTTGAAGTCGGGATGTAAAGGAACAAACTCGGGAAGCAAATAATCTGAATCTGCACGGGCATCCCTTTTTTTACTCCAAAGCTGCGGATCACTGACGGTAGGGAAACGAGTCCGAGGCATGTTCGTCACCTGAGGTCACACACAGCTCATTTCAGCCAAGACAGGAGGGCAAGGGAGGACAGATGACAGCGCTGGATGCAATTGCGAAGAAGGGAAGCACTAAGAAGCAGCCCGGTAACTCGCTGGCTGAGACCGCTCAGCAGCGCAGCATATGGAGAGCACTCCTGCGGGTCCTTCACGCATGACTACTTCTCTCGCATCACTCTTGCCATCTCTTGGCGGTCTTATAAGCGGTCTTGCCTTGCCTTCTCCTGCGAGAAGTAGTCGAACCAGCAGCGCAACTCTCCCCCTCGGCGTTGCAGCTCGAGGACTCTTGCGGTGTCGTGCTCCAGGAGGCCTGGCACAAGCACCATCTTCCAAGCGCTCCAACACTTTGAGAGGGGCCAGGCCTTGGAGGTAGTCGTAGAGACTGAGATCCTTGGGGGACGTGCACGGCTCACGCTTTCGCGGGCCGGAACTGGCATCCGTTCACGGCGCTCACAGGTTCTGGGTTCCCGGCCGCCTTCGCCATGGGCCACAGAATGCTGAATTCGGACCAATTCACCACGTGATCAAAGGGCAGACCTGATTTCGAGCCAAAGAGTGTCAAATTCGGTCCAATTGTCAAGCTTGTCAGCCATCTGCAGTGTGGAAATACACGACTACGCTGCCGAGTTGCGCAAGTGGTCGGACAGAATCACGGGAATGCAACCAGCAAACAAAGCTTCGAAGACCCGTGAGGTGTATGAGCTGGCTCCTGCAAGCAGGGACCCCTGTAATTCCATGGGGCAGGAGCATTTGATGCTCAAGAACGGCTTTCAAGAGTAAACGGCTGCTAAACATTGCTAAACACATCCAATGATGCAACGAAGCAGTCGTAGTTTGGCGGCAAAGTAACGGCTCAGAAAACCGCAAGGCATGCCAGCAACAAAGCCGCCCAAGCTGAGTTTGCCCAGCACCCCTCTACTTCTTCTGAAGGCGTGGCAAACACAAGCCAAACAAACAAAGCAACACAGCGATAAGCTGCACGTGGGCAGCATGAGCAGAAACAACACATCCATCAGCACCAAACTGGAGAGCGAGGACCGTTTTCTGGGAAGCTCGGAAACTATAAACGTCCATCATCGTTGGCTGAAGAGAACCCGGCACTCTCCACAGAAGCAACACACAGGGGCAGCAATCGAGATACCGGACACGAGGCCATGGCTCACTCTACATTCCCATGTGTTTAGCTGTTTAGCTTCTCTCACAGTCCGCGTCCTTTGGGGCACAAACAAAATTTGGAGCTGGCCATCAAGTCTGCGTAGCCAGACACCGGCGAACCGATGGAAACATTTGGAAGGTGACCTTGAGCATCAAAGAACTCAATGACAAACACAACCTTTCGTTCACCGGCGCATCCTTCCCTCCCTTTGACCGAAGCACTGAGGTTGTGGATCAGCGCCGTGCGCACGGTCTCGTTGGTGATCGTGTAGGCGCGGCGCACCTCTGGGAGCCCGGACTCCGCGTGCTGGCCCCTCCAAGTCCTCACCGGCATAGCAAGCCGCTGCGCCGGAGCGAGGGAAACCCAACTCTCCCAAGCTGTCCAAGCCCCGGACATGAGGAACTCACGCTCATGAAAGGGCTTGGACCTCGACATCATGCTGCCTCGGTGCGAAACAAGGGATATGTAAGGATCACAGGCTCCCGAGGTCTGGTCGACATTTCACGTTCCCAAATAACTACAAGGCCAGCCGCGCGTGCCGGTCAGCGGCGTCAGCGGGGGCACCACAAGGTCTTTCCAGGGTTGGAAACAGTCCTTGCAGTGCCAGCCTTAGTCTCCCAGCTCTGAACAACATTAGTCAACTTAAGAAGCTGCAGCCCTTGTACGGCGCAGCCATGACTTCGCCTCGCTCCAGCTCTGGGTAGGTGTAGCTGGGTGAAATCAAAAGATCAGAATATATAAAACCTACGTCCTACGTCCGCAATCCTATTCAAAAGGCTCAGAGGTTGCTCTTGAAGAAGTCCACCATATGTTTCCTCGGCTGGCTTTGGCGAGTAGATCAGCGAAACTGGTCTCACACATGGACTCATGCCACATGGGCAGAAGGGACTGAAGAAGTGCACAGCGGCATCGCTGCTTCCACATCACGCTTCACCTCCGCCTGCGCGAGGTCTCCACGCGCGCAGAAGCCGTGCTGCATGTCCTTCACGAGGCACAGAAGATCACAGAAGTGCTTCTTGCCCTTGAAGAGTCAGGCATGTGACATACTGGAGGGTCGCTCCATCAGTTTGCCCATGCTAGTGATGCTAGTGCATACCAGCATAACAAGGGCAATCTCGAAGAATGTCCCATGCACTCGCACTGCTGGAATTGCTGCCGAAACAATACAGAGAATACAGAGCCGACATCACGGTCGCCCTCCCGCGGTCCGGGAAGGTGATGGTCTTGCCGCCCTGGCACGAAGTGAAACAGAGCATTCGAGAGCTGTTAGTTTTGTTTCTGGACACCGTGAGCACACAAGGAAGGGACTGGGCCTTCTTGGCCATGGACTCGGCGATGGCGCCGCCCTCCTGCATTACAGGCGTTGGGACTTTGAAAATGGACTGAAATCTGTGCTCAACTATATGACTTGGTTGGTTCTTTCCTGCCTTGAGATTCTCTGGATCGTTGCCGGCTGGCATGAGCAGCACCTCACGAGCGACCAGTGCAGAAAAAGCCATAGAACAAGTATCAATCTTTAAACAACCAACCTTTCAGAAAAAGGACAACTTTGTGAAACTGCACAAAAGCCAAGTAAGCTCAAGGAGACCTCTGCCTACAGTACCTGGCCTTTATGCGGTAAAGTGGCCTCCACCAATGCTTCTTAGAATGAGGCCAAAGTCGCGTCAAGCCTCTCGTGATTCAGCCCGGGCACAGGCATGTTGACCTTGTCCATCATCGCCTGCTCATCTCCACCGAATGCGCCTTCCAGTCTTGTGCTGGGATGAGGTCCGACGCCACCTCGGTCCAGTGGCATACGGTTCGGCCCCTGCACAAAGGGAAACCCTGATGGATGTAGCAAAGACGAGATGGTGGCTTACATTGGCGAGGCACACTTCAGAGGCACGCCCAAGGAGGCGGACTTGCAGAATGCCCAGACGCCCCAGCAAAAGCCAACCGCACCCACGCTGCTGCATCCCTGCTCCTGTAGGTGCTTCACACATGCCTCGATGTCGGCGCCGATCTTCTTCTCGAATGGGAACTGCATGATCCAGCCCATGACGTCCTCCTTGCCAACCGCGGAGTCTCCATAGAAGGGGTCTGAGAGCAACACGCGGTACCCCTGATCTGCGAGGGTGTCTGCGATGCCCATGAGACGGCCCTGGTTGGAGGACCAGCCGAAGATGTCCGGCAACACCAAGATGCCCTTTTCTTGCAGGGCAGGTGAGGTTCACACTCTTAAACAAGCATCGGCATATATCGGCATGTGATTTGCAAGCATTGAGTCTTGCAAGCAAGCACTCAAATCTGCCTTGTCTCCGGTGCCGACGGTGTACACTGGCAGCTCGCCTAGCTTTGTTTCCGTGCCCTTGGGCTTGTACTCGTCTGGCTTCTGGCAGGCTGGCCATGAGCCGGGAGGGCAGCAGCTTGCCATCCTTCGATTGGAAAGCCCAGAGGACCAGAACAGCCAAGAGATCGAAGAGGAACGCTCGAGCCAAAACTACAGCGAAGTGGACTGCAAGTGCAGCGGGCTCCCAGACTGCATCCCCAGCTCTGAGAAGAACACGATATCGATCCGAGGCTCGGGCAAACAGTCGCTGTCGCAGAGGTGCCGTCAGACTCGATGGGCTCGGACTCCACAACGAGCAGGATCGATCGGGGGAACAGGTCTCGCCACCTGCCCCAGAAACACTCCATGAAATCTGAGTCAGGGCCCTTGCTTGCAACAACGAACATTGTTCATTAACAACCCTTTAGCACGGGATGAGGGATGGCAGATGCAATGCCCGCCTCTTCAGCTGCCACACGGACGACCCGAACAGGAACACGTGGTCCATTCCTTCCTTCCTGCGAAAGTACTGTTATGCATTGACTTCGGCTCCACACGTCCTTAATACATGGGGACGGAAATCCATAACTTCCCTGCTCCCCCCCCCCCCACAGTCTTGCAAGACTCCTGTCTGTACTCATTCTGTACGGAGGGAGGCCTAATTTACCACCCACACACACACACCGCACCTCTGCAGGTAGGGAAGACGCAGAATGCGGTCATGCATGTCGTCCATTGCTGTACGCCTTGGTCACATCCGAAGAGGCATGCAAAGACGTTGTGATTTCGAAAGAGGAGCGAAAGGAGCCTTGCCGGCCTAGCGACTGTCCCTCTTCCGAGAGCCGCTTGCCCACATGCAGCTCCCAGCAAGTCAGGTACAGGGGGATGAAGAACCTGAGAGCTGAATTGCAGAATGCCAGTCCTCCCCGTCCACGCTTCCTAGACAAACATTGCAAGGCTGAACGTGCTGAACGTGCTGAAGGCTTTGAGGAGGCAAAGTGGGCTCAACAAGGACAGGTGCAGCACAGTGCCACGGAGCACCAAACAGCACCAAAGAATACCAAAGATTCGGTCAGGGTGCAAGTCTGCAGCCTCCGGATCGCGGGTGCGGCAGCCAGAGTGTTTGAGGAAGCGGTCCACGTAGACCTCCGAGCCCCAGAAGCCGATCCGAGCACAGGAGAGCGGCCGGTCGGCCAGGTCTCCCATATCGTAAACGTAAATTCGCGGAGCCTTTTCTGGGCACCAGCCCTGGAACCGCACATCCAAGCCCATGACCAGATTGTAGTGGCCGAACATGTCGTGGTTTACCATTTGCAGCCAGCGGCAGTCTTCCAGGCCACTTGCTTGCTGCAACAGGCGTTGGGCGTGGTGGCTCGCTCTTCTCGCAGCATCACTGCCCACCTCTCTCTCAATTCCCGGCAAGCTGTGAAGAATCACGGCCGCAAAACCAAAAACGCAATCTTCTTCACTGGCCTGCCTTGCCTGCACACTACGGTTGGCCTTTTCGAGCAGTGCCGACACGTTAGGCCAGCCGAGAAATGAGGTTCCCAGCGCCTGTGACAACTGATGCGCCCAGAAGAACCCAGCCCACTCGTCGGCGGTCACCCAACGCGTTCCGCGACACTGTAACTGACGCGGAAGACTCTGCAAGTCTTCTGCACGATGGCAGTCCTTTGGCAGTTGGGAACCCCTTTGATCATTCAGACAGCAAACCTCGTAGGTGTACATGGAGTCAAAGCATTCAGGATTACGTGGAGTGCAGCAGTAGCTGTAAGAGAAGCCAACGCGCCAACATGCTTCGTTACCCTGTGCCCGTGAGCCGACGCTGGCTGCAAATCCGATGATGGCTCTCAGCATGCTCATCTCCCTCGCTTCTCCATGCTGATCCTTCACTGTAGATTCCGAAGGCGAAGCCAGGAAAAATCGAACTCTCCCGCACTCTCCTAGAAGTTGCTCGAGCCACGCTCCGGCGATGCACACAAGTCGGATCACGGCACCAAGGACAGCGCTCCTCTATGCACTACAAATACCAGCACGATCCGGCAGGGTTCTGACTGCGAAGGTAGCCCGAGTGGGGAGAAATGTACTCTGTAGTCGTTAGCAATAGGCCCAAAACACAGAGGCAGCGGGAGTCCTTGATGCTACACTCGATGTCATCTTCCTTGTCTGCGCCCTGAGGCTCCGGGGGGGGGGGCAGGGCTTCTGCGCGCGACAGCCACAACACTACCTAATCCATGCCTAATCCATGTGTGTTCTTTGTGTGCCTGGTCGTGTGCAACAAAATCTGCGAAGGTGGGGCGCCTCAGGCTTGGGATAGCCATTGCTGCCATTGCTCGCTGAATTCGCTGATCGTGTGTCGGCAAGGCCCTTCCTGAGTCGAGGTTCCAGAAAAGCCCGAAAAGCCCTGCTACTGTCGGAGACGCCAGCACATGCGACCATCCGCTACAAGGCCCAGAAAATGGCTTGCAGCAAGTTTCTGCAATGCCTTCTGGGCCCACCCACGATCTTGTCGGTCCAGGATCTCACGGGAATGCCGGAGAAGAGAAAACTTTAGGGGCTCTGGGACGATTCGAAAGGTAATTCTTTCCGGGGCAACCCCACCTTCTGCTGGCGCTTGAGCTTCGCCAGCTCCTTTTCCACGTCCCCTGCGATGGAGTCGTCCAGGTCCCGTGCTTGCAAAAGGTCCTGACGTCCCCGAATCCACGACTCATGAGCCACTACTCATGTGTCTCAGGGGGGAGTTGCGGCATCTTCGGTGACTGTCGCAAGTCGATACCCCAGGTGCCGAAAGCAGGGGTAGTCCTCTGAAACGTGAAAATCAAGCCAGACAGCACTAGGAAAAAAAAGAAGCGGCCACCTGAATTGCCATCAATTGGCCACATGACTTCGGCATGGCGGCGGGGGGGCCTTCTTGGCGTCGTCCAAGTTGCCGAGCTGAACCTGGCACCTTGGGCCCACACCCTCGTGCACACATTGCAAACCTTGCAAACATGCAAGACGATGAAAGAGATTCCCGCGCCGACTCGTGAACGGTGCTACAAGAGAATCACAGCAAAGGCTTGGGGAACCCAGCTGCCCTCTTCGGAACAAAGCCTTCACCTTCAGCTGCTGCGGACTCCAGTCTTTGCACAAGCTTGCAGAGCAGGCAAGTTGTGCCAAGGTGTGCTGGTGCGCTTCAGTCCGAGTCGGGGGCACACGAGCTGTCGATATCGAGAATGACTTCGGCACATTTCCGCTCCGCTTCTTGCCACTGGCTCCTAACTACCACCAACACATGCATTTCAGGCTATGCTGAGTGGCTGCTCTCGGTTTAGTTTATCTAGTGCTTTTATACTCACAAGTTTCCCGGAATCATCTGGTGAACTCAGTTTGTGGTGGGAGTAATCATAAGTTTGTTGGGTTTCTGGGGGGTGAAGTCAGCTGCAGTCTGAACAATTATATCCTTTTGTTGGTTCCAGACAGTCGGGTACACAGCTCTCTCATGCTCTGCAGAACAGCCCGGAGAACTCAGGAAGCTAAGCCCAGCCAGCTTCATCTTCCTTTCGAAACGGGGCCCCAAACAAATTTCATTTGGGCACCCCCCGGGCCAGATTCGCTGCAGTAGGCCTGTTTGGGTTACCCGCTACATTATCGAAAATCTCAAGCCTTGGAGCCCTCAAGGCTTCAGGGTTTTAATCGCCTTGACTTCAACCCAGGAAGGCAAGCAGGGCCCTCAAGGCTTCAGGTTTTAAGGGCCTTGACGTCAACCCAGGAAGGCAAAAAGCTTCAGGCCTTAGAGCCCAAAAGGCCAAGGAAGGCGCGAAAGCTTCGGGCCTTTTGGCGGTAAAGGTTCAGGGCTAAATGGTCTTGGGTTCAGCATGTTCAGCCCAGACCTCCCCCCTCCCCTAAATTTGTTCGCGGGCTCCCGGGTGAAGTGTCTTTTTTGACGGTCTCAGATTTGTTTGGGGAGGCGGTGGTGTCCCCCGTAGTAAGCCGGGTGCAACATGAAATTCAAAGGAACGGGCGAGGCAAATCAAGGCAGTGTATTCGAACATGTGTGACAGACACGTGCAGATCCTCTTCATGAGAACAAGAGCCCAGTTCAGAAGGATCGGCTTCTGACCTCAAAAACCAGCTTCCAGCCAAGCATGCAAAATTGTTTACGCACGCGATGCCTGCAGCAACATGCTGCCTTCGTAAGCACCCCGCAGTCGCGAATACGCTTGTTGTTTGCCACTGCCTTCTCATCCTTTTTTCCACCTTGCACTGAAGCATTCAAAGCTGAGCTACAGCGACAAGTGACTATGGGCGATCTATCCGGCATCACGTGGTGCAGCCCCTGCCTCCCATGCCAGCACCCATTCCATTCATTCCGCCCATCGCACCCATGCCCCCCATGCCCCCCATGCCCCCCATACCTCCCATACCTCCCATGTCTTCTGCTTCGATGACATCCATGAGGGATGACCCCCTCTCGTAGTAGTCCGCTGCTCGCTGCAGGCGTCCTCGCAAACAATACCTAGTCGAGCATGACATACATGGGTGGCGTCGGTCGGCAACGCCAGTCCTCTCTTGAGCATTGCATTGCCTCGTTCACCTTGGGTTCAAGCAAGCTGCTCAACCTACAAAGCCCCTTGTTCAAGGAATTGCATGCAGGGCACGAAGCTGGGTCGCCATGTCTATTCGCTCGTCCACGGACATGCGGAACCTAGTCCAAATTGCAATGAGCCCATCAGTAACTCCCTCAACAGATCCTCACACGGCTGCCGGCCGGAACCGAAAGTCTGAAGTGTTCAAGGAGCTTGTCGCGCTGGCTGCCGCGGACGGTTGCAATTTCGAACCTCCATCGACCTCCACTTCTCCAGAGAATAGCGCAGGCAATTCCAACCATGGTCTCTCCATGCCTCCTTCGCACATCTCGCGCCCCTAAAAGCCACCAAGGCCAGTGCGCTCCGGGCACTTTGAGTCGTGCACGCTGTCCTCGTCGTCGGCGAGGGCATGCTCGCCGATGCCCACCTTGGAATTCCCTGGGTGCAAACCGCAGGGCTTTATGTGATTGTCATGCTTAAAGCCACTGCAACGTGGGCAAGCAGCCAGAACACAGGTTTGGGGGGGGGGGGAGGGATGCAAAACAAACACTGCAAATGCCACTGCTTAACGAATTAAGGTGAACTTTATCTTGGCGGCGAGGGTCGACGTCAACCACGTCACCCACCTGAACTCCTCGGCTTTCAAGCACCAGAACCATGGAGAACCCCAGTCCCCTGCAGCCCTCAGAATTGGCCTGTTGCTTTCCCAAAGAACTTGAGGCATCAACTTATCTGAACATGTTAGCCTTGCCTACGTGAAGCTAGGAGCACTGCAGGCTTAGAAGACCAAAAACTGCAGGCCAGGAGACTGCGGGCCGTAACTTCCAATGCCCAGGGCAGGGAAGGACTGCCAATTTCAGCCTTTGCACAACGGAAACCCATTTGCTCGCGTGGGCACTTTTAGTCTTCACCAGCGATGACCGGATCCGTGACTTTTGTGCTTGTGGCTGGGCCACAGGCTTCCTTCAGGGGCTGCCCCTCGGCTGTGCGATAGCCAATGATGCAGCCATCACCTCCCATGCACAGTGACACAGTGAGACCCCATGCACAAGCATCTCCACAACACTCTAACATCTCGGAGCATGATTCAACGCTGGACAGCAGGCCTATTCGGGCGCCCGCGGCTGCTGCCCTGTGTTGGGAAAGTCTCTTGCACTTCAAAGGCACGAACAACTCAGTAGAGCTTCGAAAGCTGAAAGCTCTCAAGACCAAGGCATACCAAAACCGATCCCTGACCCTGGGGGCGCCTTTGCACCACAGTGTTCCTCACGCCGCCATCGCAAAGGACCACCTCGCTGGTGGCCTCCGGCTTGCACCTGCTATCTACTGGTGCTGCTCGCAAAAAGGCCCGGAGCATGAAGAGATGATGATGATGAGAACTGCGTGGAAATCTAAGAAAGCTGAGAGAGAGAAGGCTCTTCAAGGGTGGCACATTGTGGCCTGTGAGGCTTTGGGCTTCTGCTTGCAGCTCAGGTGCTACAGAAAAGGTTGACATATATGACATAAGCGAAAAAAGTAAAACATTCCAATGTCGCAACAGAAAACTGTAGCATAGGAACCTTCTTTTCACGGAGTCTGCTGGAACGGGCCTGGGCTCGGGCTGCTCAGGCTCAGCATTCTTCGGCTCGGCCTTGACCTGCGCACACAGAGAGCGCACCTCGCATCTTCCGTCATTCATGCCAAAAACTCCCCCCCCCCCCAAAAAAAAAAAAAAAAACAGGCCTGCTGTTCACCTTATTCACTCCTTGTTCACCCTGTTTTTGCTCATCTCATATCATCGCCCAAGCATAAGAATTGCCGCAGTTGCAACTAAGGCAACAGAAGGTTCTCTCCCCCCTCAGGGGCGCCTCCTCGATGTCGCCATCGGATTCCAGTAGGCGCTGTAAGTCGGTATTGGACAGCATTGGGGATCAAATATGGATCAAATGGGTACTACTGCCAGGGTTCCGGGGAGGCTCACTTGTGGCTCACTTCAGTTGTGTGCACGTGATGCTTGAAAATTCTTGCATCGCTGGGGGCTTTAAGTGGTTCTGGATTCAAGCCCAGCCTTTTGGATTCTTGTTCGCTAAGTTCAAGGAGACGAATTCTTGGGCTTGGCATCTCTGGGCATCTAAGCTCAAGCAGTTGCTGCAGCCACCAACAAGATCGCAAGATGACCAGAGACGCAGGGCATGGCACGGCGTGGTGCAGGAGGCTGACATGTGCGCACCTTCAAATTTCGCACATTGCAGAAGAGAAGCCGATTGAAAGGCCCACACGACACCCCATCGACATCCCACGAATCAACGAACTCCGAAGCCATGTCCAGTCATGTCCAGTCATGTCCGGCCTGCCGCCGCCTCCTCTTCAATGGCACCGAATACGAGGCCGAACCTTGGCGGATCTCTTGGGGTCTCTTGGGATGCGCAGTGCCAGCACAGGGCTGCAGTGCAGGGCAAGTGCAGTGCAAGTGTAGAGCAAGTGCAGCGCAAGTCCAGTGCAAGTGCAGTGCAAGTGGGGTGCAAGTAGCGCAAGAGCGGCACAATGAATCCACGCAGCACAAACACGACAAGCATGCAATTCATGCAATTGCCCTGGCCTGTAGTTTGGTCCACATGTAGATCCTTAACTCCTGGGGAAGCCGCCGAGGCGGAAATGACTGCAATCTGTTGACAGACGAACAACTGGCTTGCAGACTGCATGGCTGCATGATCTCTATGTGGCCGGCCATATGGCCCCTAGAGAATCCCACAAAACTGGCCTGTGAAGTGCGCAGAAGTTATCGCTTCCTGAAGCTCGTGCGCAACAGTGCGCAACACAAGCTATACTCAGACTGCCCATGTCTTTCAGCAGCTGAGGCTTCGTCAGCTGTCAGCAGGCATGCAGCGCCGCAAGCGCCGACAACACGCAGGCCTGCGGTGATGCATCTGTGATCAACAGACACGCGAGCATCTACGAATCTACAACCTACCTTAACCATGTAGACGGATCTTCGGCAGCGAGCTGGCACACACGACCCAAGGCCGACTGCATACATGCAATCGCTCGTGACATGTCGCTGGCCCAAGATGTTGAACGACATCAAGTGAAATCAAAATATGGAAGGGAACGTCTGAACACAGCTGTCGGCCTTGCCGAGACACACCAAGGCCCATCTACCTTAAGTGCATGGTCATGAGTCGTGAGCTCTGATGCCCTATCCGATGTGCGTATAGGCCCTGGTTTCTTTCAACCCATCAAGCAGAGCATAGACAGGCGCAAGCACTGTGAGAGTCCTACGTTCGACGGGCGAAACTGCCCACGGATGGGTTGCGGGGGGTGGAGTCTCACCGCAGCCCCGCTGGCAAGCCGAAACACGCCGCAAGTGTGACCTCAGGAAGACTCGTCGGACAAGGAAACCCTCTGGAGAAAAAGCGCAACCTGCCTTTTTGCGGGGTAGGGTAAGGGAACAAGCCCTTTGGTTGCAGTCGCGAATCTGGGCGGTTGCTTAGCGTCAGCTGCATCAGGTTAAAAGTGATTGCACATCTGCATGGAGCAAAAAGCACGAGAAATAGCAAGAAGATGCCAAGCAATAGCAGCACATCGCCAGACATCACAGGACTGCGGCAGGCCAAGCCTTTTTGTTGCGCTCTCTGAGCAGAGGCACGTAGTTGGTCCTAGTCCGCGGAACCTTCCTCGCTTCGATTTTTTGCGTCAAGGCTTAGACTTTTGAGTCTCTGCGACTTGAGAGCAGGGGAAGGGTTGCGAGCGCGCCCCGAGGGAGAGGCACCCGTAAATTTCGAATTGGCAACTGGGCAAGCAAATTCAGCACCTTGCAGCTAAGCGCAAGGCTCAGTCAGCAGTTCCAACTGAGCTCTAGCTTTTGACAAGTCGCTTGCAATGCACTCAAGCAAAGCGAAGACGCCGCGTGGACTTGTTCGCTGGACATAAGAATCGATCCTACATTGCAGGGGCATCCCTTTGTGGACAAACCTCTGCTGGTGACACCAACTTGCCATGAACTCAGGCGCGGTTGAGATCTCGCAGCGGCGCCTTGGCACCAACCAACTGGTCATCTTAAAACTTTTTCTGGCAAACGACGCATGTTTGAAACCATCCACCGAGGCCGAGGCCCTAGGCGCTTGGGGCAAAAGAACCCACCACCTCCACCCCTTTATTTGGTCCGCAGTTCTGCTTGGGCTTCGCTCCAGAGGCCCCTGCTCCGTTTTTGTTTGCACTATGGACCGACAGGAACGAATAAGCACCAAGCCCATAGAACTTCAACCCCAGTTGTTCCAATGTTTCCAGGTGTAAAGATGCTGGCACTTCTTTCGGGACATGCCTACCGAATGACCAGGGCACAACGAGGGCTTATCTTCCACCCAGGACCTTTCGAGGAAGCAGAACAGCGAGGATGATCCGGGAAGGATTGTACGAGTAGGGTTCCAGATCCTGGGCTCAGGGTTTGCCGACTCAGCGCCCTAGAGAATGATGGGAAGCTCTGCCCTGAACTTCCCACAACCACGCGGGCCGCGCCGAGGTGGGGCGCTTGTATGCCGTCCGCTCTCTCCACACCAGCATGGTAGGACCCTCGCTCGCTGGTCAGCAGGGAGTCTGGCCGGGCTGCACCACACCTCCAAATCACGCACTCACAAGAGCAGCCACAAAGGCAGACTGTTTTTTGATGGGCTGTTGTCGGTTTCAGGCAGGAACAAGAAAAGCTCCGGCACATCACAATCTCATGACAACTGAGCCCAGAGAACAGCTCCTTGCATGTGACACGGATGCACCTTCGTCTCCAGGGACTTTTCCTGGGTTCTGAGATTTTCTGAGCCATGTGAGATGCATGACATGCGACTTGCGGCATATCCACTGGACCTGTTCCGGACATCACCTTCACCTTCTGCCTTTCACCTCTAGAGCTGCCCGTGAGCTGTCGTAGGCTGGCTGAGCGGCTGCCGGGTTGGTGCACTCAGCGTTCTCCCCCGTCGTCATGTACTTCTCCTGGGGATTGTGTGCCAAAAATCTGCGTTCTCACAGTACACAGTTCAGCATGGCTCGAGGCCTCGGCCTCCTCTGGCAAGATCGTTGATGGATTGCCCACAACTGCCAGAAGCTCCGAGATGGCCTCTGCAAACCAAAAGCAGTGAGAGTGTGTTGTGCGTCCGTGTGGCCAGTCCGGATCTGGCCCACATCCCACCGGCCTGGTCGGCTTCCATTGCATTGGCAGCCTTCTGTTTCGCCTCTTTGGGTCCAGAAACATGCTCGGAACCCCCGCACTGCCCGGACTGCACTTGCACCATCCCGTATGATCTTACTGCACTCGCCTGCTGCCCACGCACTTGCCGAGCCCGTGCCACCATCTCGGTTAGCAGCTATGGTTTGTCTTCTCCCGTCTATGGAGGGAGCGACCGCGGAAATGATCCGAGGTCACTGCTGGACCGGCCTCGTCCCCGCTCAAATTTGCATCCTTCATCTGAACATAACTGAACCCAAAAGCACAGCTTCGGATTGCTTTGCATCATGAAAATGTATCGGGTCCTTGCTTTCCACATCGGGGACCTCTTCGTACACTGCATCGATGCCTCAAGGATTGAGATTGCAATCGAAGACATATGATGTCACATGTGCAGCATCACATGACACATCAGACAGATCATGGACTTTCCATCCTGAGCTTTGCTGAGCTGTGCTGAGCTGTGCCGGAGCTTTGAGAGACGTTGCAAGGCCCCACCCCTGCCACCAAGGCTCTCTTCACGGCCGTCACCACGGCCTGCCAGTGCAACAGAGTCCAACACCAGCCCCCAACAGCCCCGTGTCTGAGCCTGAACTCAAGCATTTCTCCAAGAGTCAAGAGTTCTCCAAGCCACCTCGCGGCAGAGCTCCAGCTTCTTCAGGAGCACTCGCAGCTCCTCGTGCCCATGCTCCAAGTCCTGCGACTGCGACTTCTGGGACGCAAGCCCGCGGCCATTTCGCTATTTTTCGCCCATGCTGCCCTGCCTGTTTGCTTGAGCTCAGCTGCTCTTGGATTGTGGACAACCTTACCAGCGCAAAGTCTTTAGGCGAGTGAGAGCTGCAAGATCCCTGTTTCGTCGCCTTCCATCGCCTTCCCAAGAGAGCCACTGAGGGAGGCACTCTTTTGCGGTCAAATCGCGGGCGCGGTTCAAGCTGTCGATTTCCTGCCTCAAGTTCTGTGCAACCGTGCCACTACTTTGCCAGAATGTCGGCACACGCATTCAAATGCGGCATGGTGCGCGCCTTTTTTTAAGCTCCCGCTCCCGGAGCTGTATGTTGGCTTCCCGCAAACCTCACAGATTGTACAGGCACGTGACCAGCGGACTTTGACAACGGCGAGTGGTGCGTGTCACAATCTCAGCGCTTCACGTACATGCTCCTCACGCAATGCTAGAAGTGCCGCCCGTGCACTTGCAGCAGACGGCGGATCCTTCGATGCACCCTGCCCTGCCCCCACTGGAAGCTTACAAGATCTTACAAGCATCAATGAAGGAACTACCTGTACTGCTGTGAGATCTGCGTCCGCTGCGTCTGTGACTCTCCAGCGATAAGCTCAGCTGCAGACCAACTTATCGACCTGATCAAGAGTCACGGGAAGATCTCTTCGACCCCTTGGAACCCCGAACCTTGCACGTCCACTCTAGCCGAATATCCAGGACAGCATTCTAAAATACATCTTGAGCATGGGAACCAGAAGACTCACATTTCACAACAACGAAACGTACAGGTCGTTGAGGCCTGTGGCGAAGAGCTGCTGCCACTGCTGAGTGGAGAGCCTGCTAGAGTTGGTAGCACCCTTCCGATGCTGAAGCATAAAAAATTTGAGAGAGCTTCCCCAGTTGCCTCGAGACGAGGCTGGAGGAGGCGTCAGCAGCGTAGGCTCGTCCTGAAAGGCATCGATCATGCGCATGCCTGTCCGCACAATGCAAGGTACTGCAGGGCGTTTGCTTCGAGTGCCTTCCTTCTCCAAGCATGCGCTGACTAGGACAATGCCTCTGATGCACATTCAGGAAGACGCACTAAGATGCTATTCCGAAAGATGTTGACGGAACTTCCTCTTCAAAACTGCACTGTGCACCAAGTGCTCACACCTTTCAGCTTCCAAGGCATCAGGTCAACAAGCCTAGGCATGTTTAGCACCCTTTGATGGACATTTAAACTGCCAATCTCGGACGGGTCCTCCGCCGGTGCCTTGATGCAAGCAGCTCTGTTTGACGTGGGAAACTCTTCCATTCGTACACAATTCTTGGTCTCTCTCTCTCTCTCTCATTGCTTGCTTTTTTTTCGTGGCTTTTCTTGCAAGAGCGCAAGGAGCCTGGACCGAACACCTTCCCCTCCGCAGCTCAGCCCCAACTGAAACGAGGCAGAAGTAGGCCCTCGACCCTCGACCTGTGCCTCTTGGAACGCCTTTGTTCCTGAAAGACGGACACAGATGCCTTGTCCTTGCTGTGGTATGCAGCTGCTGCTCCCTAAGGCTGGTCCCAACTGAAGCCTTGCTCTCTCTGTGCCCTCACACTCCCTCTGTCTGAATTATACCCAGGCTGAGAAGGCGGGCTGGTGCCAGCTCGCTGGTCTTCACGAAGCCACGGGGTACCACCGGAAGCCAGCCTCGCGTTCTTGGGAAGTCTGCGAAGGGCTTGCAAGGGGTTGAATTCCTCTTGTGACTACAGAGTCGTTGTTGAAGTCCACTCAAGGCTGCCTTCGACCGGCTCTTCGGGCCAGGACGCCTCCTGGACCTCCGGCCGCGGGTCTTTTTTGAGAGATTACGAATCATTCTTGGGGGTTCTCTTGGATGCTGCATAAAACATTGGAACAAGGCAAGTGCAGAGTCTTCTTCAAGGTTGGGCAGCTTGCGACATCCCACTGCACAAAGCGATGCTTCACAAAATCTCCAACAGCTGTGCACCTTCTGGTGTCAAATTAAGTGTCGCGCGTTCGCACACACACACACACAAGGTTTACTGAGGCTTCAGAGTGCAAACAATGGTCTTTTGCGCAGTTTCTGGACCATCCGGGGTTCGAGCGTGCCATCCAGGTGGAAACATGTCGATCCTGCCGCTCAGCTTGATCGCACTATCGTACTGCATGCCAGCCATGACTACTTCCTGAGCAACTCTGCCACTGAGAAAGCCTGTACCCCATTTCACTTGGAGCCGTTCGCCAGGCAGCCATGCGTGTGGTGACCTTGGCAAACATGATCCGAGAAATTTTGCATGCTGCCAAGATGTCTGCGTTCAACGCAAGGCCTTCATTGGACTACGAGTAACACACTTGCATGGCAGTGCTACTTCGGGCTGTCTAGGTTTCTGCGTTGTGTTGAATTGATCTTGCAGCAGAAAACACAGGCAAAGCTGATGCATGGCTCGGCGTCCGACCCACTGCCCAAGTCCACTTTCGTTCTTGGCTGGCTTCGTGACCTGCACTGATGACGTGCTGAAGACAACCAAAATGGTCAAGGAAGAGCTCCTTAGGATGCGCAACCCTTCCGCAAATAGATGGATGGCTGCAAGCATCTGAAGCTGTCGTCATGGAACAGCTCATGTGTGTGAAACTGTGCGAGATTGTGAGCATGTACTGCATGAAAGCAGGCCTCCTTCTTGCGAGAATGGATTGGGCGCGGTTCCTGACCAACTTCACACTTAGAGCAAGTGTCTGGAACTTGTGCAACTAGCAGCTTTGGAGGATTTAGATGTGCCCCAACAGGCTGCAGCTTACGAAACTACCAACTACACGGCTGATCCCGACCTGAACAAATTGGCCGCCGACAACGTCGAACGACAAAACACACATCATAAGCACTCTGTTGCTTCACACTCGTCACACTCATCACATTCTTTAGACTTTACAAACTCAGGCTGCCCCTGAGGAAGCCAATGACTAAGCATCCCAAAAATTTTGGAGAAGCGAATGGTGTCTTGTGGACACATTGTCACACAGCATCACACGCAGTTATGGAGACAAAGGGCAGAAGCGACTGCCGGGGCGCTGAGACGCCGCGACCTGCAGCTTCAGAGAGTGCGTGGCACTTGCTCGGGCAGGGCCTTCGAACAGCTCCGGGCTCAAGCTGCTCATCGGCTTTTGTGCAGCCAGGTGGGGCTTGAACTCATCAAGCTGTGAACGTCACACCAGATGCAAGAGCTGCGATGCAAAACGAAGCCCCGCACCTCCATTCCTGCGCGGCTCCGCTGCGGCCGCTCTGTGGGGACATCGTGCCGGGGCCGCAGGCCTCAAGCATCCGATCGCGAGAACGTCTTGGTTCCCTTGGCAAGACGTCCAAGGGGCAAGCGATCTCACGGAGATGCCCGTTGGCACTAAAGCAAAGGTGCTGTAGGCTACACAGGCCAAGAAACGGCTGTACACTGCACAAAAAAAGACGTTTAAGCACTGCAATTCATCCTACGGCCTTGGACACCACATCTCCTCCCTAAGAGAACTCTCAAGACATCTGAAGACAAAAAAAGTGAGCCTCCACTACCTGGAGCCCCCCGAGTTCACCGCCCTCGCTCGCTGGCCGTCCATCCCAGTGTGTGGAGGACCTGTCCCGGAACACGACTTGCCGGGTTTATGTCGTGGTGAAGGTAAGTCGAGTCGCCCAGCTGTCTTGTGCGAGTTTACGTAGGGATTTGTTTCAGTTTGGGTGCTCATGAAGCATCATCTTGTTGCGGGTCTGAAACGATTGAACCCATCGATACAAGTTGCAAGAAGTATAGAGACATCTCACCTACATATGTTATCCTAGTTATCCTGAACCGAATCCCTGCCACCTTTACGTAGCAGCCGTAGCGCCGCTGGATCCACCCGGAAACCCCAACAGCTTCCTACGGAGGCGCACCTCTTGAAGCAACCTGGAGATGCAGCACGACTCCAGGCCCACCCAGGAACAAACCACGAGCCCGACGAGCCCTCGCTGCTGCAGAAGGCCCAGGCAAAGCAAGCTATGAAAGTTGCTCGGGTTGTTCGTAGAGGTCACTGAACGGCTTGAGGGCTAAAGGCGACAAACCACGACAACCTCTCACACTCCAGTCAAAGTGCGGCTGCGTGCCTGGCACATTAGGCACTCCTTTTGGGAAACGCATGCATTTGTGCACTGAGCACGATTCACTAGATGTGAATGAAACCACAGTGTTTCACAAGTCCAACGGCCACACCACCCTGCCAATTTCCTGTCAAAGCTTACAGGCTTACAGTCTTACAGTAGTGTTCAGGCTTGGCATCTATTGAACCTATGATCCATTCATTGCCTTGAGGGCGAGCTTGCGCTCGACCCACACGCAATTTGGCAGGTGTGACATGGGTGGTGTGCATACATCGGCTACTTGCGGCCAGTCGGAGCCTAAAGCTGTTTGCGACAGCATCGTGGAACGGCCATCTATGACAACGCTCATACCTCCTTCCAGCTTTCAGGTTTTGAGGCGATGGCTGGGGTCCGCTGTGCACTGTACGATTGACCCAAGGCACATGCCTTGCTACCACCGAGGTTCACTTCTGAGCCAGAGCGATTTATAACCTGACTCATGGCTACAAGTAGTTTATAAAGTTTCCAGCAACGGCACCGAAGAGTCCACTGTCCACTGTGCCATGGACACACGGCATGTTGCTGCCACCCACTAATCGGGACCAAAACTCTGAACTGGATGTTCGAGGGTTGAACCCTTGGTTCAGCAAACATGGAACATGGCACGTGACGCTGCCTCGTTCATCTATGTTCTTCTCAAGTTCCATGTTCGTTTGACACAAGAGACCTTTACAATCTGACTTTACAATCTGACTTTGCATCTATACATCGCGAACTCGCTTAGGATTCGCTGCATATCCAGTCTGAAAGCTCACGCTGCTGCCAAAGCTTTAGCCGCGTCCTTGATGCGCAAGTAGGGGATGTGCTCATTGGGCAAGGGCAGCCTGGATTACTGTCAAGGAATCTAAACCAAGTTATCAAAGCTAGGAAGTCGTGTTGTTCACTATACACTCACAATATGGCACCATAAACCCTAAGCCCTACCCATAACAGGGGCAACTTACTTTAAATTCTTTAACAGCGACCTAGCAACTTGTAGGAAAAGTCGCAAGAGAAGAACTTGGGGATGTCTGCCGAGACAGTTTGACCCAGCAGTGAAGATTCCCAGCGCTCCATCTTCGAGCACGGGAGTTCCACGTTCAAGTCGGCCCACTGGTTGTAGCTGACAATACCTGCCTGCACATGCTTTGTAGGTGCTGTAGGAAACTACCCCTCAACTTTCGTGATTATTTGCTCTCTCTCTCTCTCTCTCTGTTGCTCACAGCCCGCCCGCTTCAAAGCAAAAAACAAAAACATGTCATGGGTTATGTTGGACCATGTAGGACTCTTGGTCCAGAGTAATGAAAATCAAAGGCCTGCACGCTGTTGGCGTTGATGTCAAGCACCTCAATCATATGGGTAGGCGCAGCCACCCAGTCTTTCAAACTGGGAATCTCCTTCAGGTCGTCCAACAAATCGTTCAAGCCACAATTGTCAATAGCGCCCATGTCCTGGATGAAAGTGCGGCAACCAAGTGTTACTCCTTTGCACCTTGAAATCTCTGGAACTACGGCAAGCTGATGTCTTTGTTCACTCGTCAAGACGATTGGAAGTGAAACATGATCTCAGCAATCGAAACCATCAAACTTAAACCCCATACAACACCAAATCGAAACATTAACCTCTCCCAACATGAGAAGAGAATACTGATGGTGTTTGGAGGAAACCCTGAAACCCCAACTATGTACAGCTTTATGTGGTTTACCTAGCCAGTTGTGGTAAATGGGGTTACAGAGTCTCTATAACCACCCCCTATATAACCCAGTCTCCATTTCTCTTTCCTTGTTCTTTTCCATCTGATGCTCCATTGTTGTGAATTCCTGGGGTTACAGAAAGTCCTTCAATTCCAGCTTCAGCCCATCCAACTCCTCCGCGCGATCCTTCACCGCTGCAGCCTCAGCCTTCAGGCTCTCAAGCGAGTCGAATAGATCCTCATTGCTAAGGATTTAGGGTTTAGGGTGTGGGGTCTAGCCAAGATATCTGCAACGCAAGAAACAGCAACAAGAAACACAAGTCTCAGAAGCCTGCCTGGCCAAAACCAAGATGGCGTTCTATTGGGAGGCTAAATGCTCCAGCGCCCGATACGCCCTAACTTCTACACCCTTCCATACCCCCATAACCGCATACTCCCACATCCCCTAGACACCCCTAGACAAACCCTTTTACACCCCTGTACACCCAGAGAGCAGAAGCCAAGGATCCTTCACCTCGCGCAAGTCGGAGATCTGCTTCACTGCGTCAAGCAAAGGCACCTGCATCATCGGAGTCGGTGAATGTGAAGCCAGGGTTAAGGGTTTAGGGCTTAGGGACATTCCACCTATATACCTTCTCTTAGGGCCTCACCTAAGTAAACACTACCAGGGGCCATACATCTCCAATCAAGGGTACCAGGAGGGTTTTGTGGTCTAAGTCTGTAAAGGTGAACCCATAAGAGCAAGAATACAAACAGCTCTACCTACAGGTGTGAGTCTATGTGAATGTTCGCAGAACTACTTTGCAGAGCATTGTGACACAAGATACACGAGCCACAGGTAGTACTTGAAGCTACGACCATTGCAACAAATGTGCTGCCTCGCGCTCTCTTGCCAAATGAAACGGAAAATATGGCCGAAATAATAATGGCATCGGACCTCGGCACGACACACCAGTACCTGTAGAAAACATGTCCAGAACCTGACCACGTCAGCAACAAGCTGACACGAATCACGAAACAGTCTAAACAAAAGATGAAACCCAGCCCAAACTGGAAACTATCCGGAAAAATCCGCGAAGCCGGCATAAACGGTCCAAACCCTAGACCCTCTCTGCGGTTGGCCTTTCCCTCCTGGAGATGTTCGATGACAGCCGTGACCGAGCTGTCCAAAGCCTCCAGGACTCCGTCGAGCGCATCCAGTGTCTTCCGCGACTGTTCCTGGATGTTCTCCACCTGACAGGGCCGACGAAGCTTTGGGGTGGTTTAGGGTCTAGGACCAAAGATGAAGGCATCTTTATCTGACATTTTTGTCTTAGTTGTGTGCTCCTCACGGGTTATGCACCAAATCCACTTGACTCTTCCCCCCTTAACCAATCACAGAGCCTTCAACCTCAAGTTCTGGAAGAAGTCCTTGATGCCTTCGATTTTCATCTGCAGTTTCTTGAAGGCTTCCTCCGTGGCAGTTACGCGGCGTTGGATTCTCGAAAGGTGCGTGAAAACAATATGGTACACACGACGACATGCTGCAACCCAACCCTGAATTCTGAGCCCGACATGTTTTGGTAGAAGCAAATTTCAATGGGTGCACCTCCAACACCCGCAAGGCCCTACCCCACAGCCTCTGTGGCGTTCGCCTTGCAACGCAGTGCCTGCGGCAAATCGTTTGCCAGCATCTGAGGCACCTCCGAGATGGACACCAAGCAGGGGTTATATGCTATGTCGGGATATATGCGGGCAATGTGGAAATCATGCGGGTAGAACGGAAAAGAATGCTGTGACTACTGTTTGGGGCGAAGGTCCTCCGAGGCGGTCACCAAAGGTTGAAGCAGGCCGGTCAGGACGAAGGTCTGAACGAAGTCTTCGAAACCGGCGCCAACATCCTGCGTCTCTAGCTGTCTATGCATCAACAGCAATCCCCGTGGTAAAGACATGAGAAGCAAAGATCTGGAGACTTGTTGACCATATTGGACACACTTACGAAGTTATCGTTCACTATTCTGATGACCAAGAACCTGAGGAAATGAGCTGTCCTGGGCGGCAGACCTGAAGTAGTCCATAGTCACACCATGGATCAAATCACATGCGCCACCACCAACGCAAGCACTGATAGCGACTGCCATGGATGTGTAGAGCTCCAAGTCAACGGGCGCCGCTTGGATGACATAGTCATCTCCAGCAGTCAACTGCTGAACCACTGCCTTAGTTTTCTGATGATACAAGTGGGGAACCCCAACTCAAAATCTTTAGCGGAGACTTTGGTCACACACACACACAAAAAAAACGAATGAACAAAAGTTGGGCCGCCGGCTTGTTGGTCTGTACATCAAAGCCATTCTTCACCAAACACGCCAACATCTCCGATGCGGCTGTCAGGGCCTTGGCAGATGGCTCCGAGTCGAACTCAGACACTTGCTCCAGGAAGCCCTTCAACTTGCCGAGACAGCTGCAGGTCTTTTCGGCGGTGCGAACCAATGACCCCACGCCGAAGTGATCACAAGGAGACACGTCTTCCCTTGGTTCAAATGATTTGCTTAACTTGCTTGTTACCAGGCTAAAGACGAACTCCTCCAACATCGACTTAGCTAAAAGCATTAGCAGCCAGAGGTGGCAAATCCAAGTGTCCAGTCGATTCGCAAGGTATCCGGCACTTTCACACACGTCTGACCGCAATGTTGCTTGCTGGCACCTGTGCACGGGATGTCCACGCAAGTCTCCCCGCACTTTGACTTGCTGCAACCGAACTCTGGCTTGTTGATGCACATCTCCCCGCACTTACTCTTGGAGCAGCCGCATTTCAGGAAACCCCAGCAGCAGCATTTGTTCGTGCACGCCTGGCTTGTCCAGCTGCAACAGTTATGGGTGCAGGACTCTTGCCCACACGACCAGCTACACACATTGTTTGCGCATGCGTCCTTGTAGGACATTGTCACGCCCGTGGGCATGTTGAGGCTGGTCTGACAGAATCCCTGGCCGATGCCATTGCACACTTCCTCAACCACATCAACTTCGCCCAGCTGCCGTGGCACGCTCGATGATGCGGAAGCAGAAAACAAGCACAATGCCGCCAAAAAAACTGACTCCACCGCCATGGGGGTCAACCTGCGGTAATGAAGGAAAGCGTCTCCGTCGGGAAATGCCAAAATGCTGCAATCGTGATGAGAAGCATTTGAGAAGAATCTAACCCCGATTGCCCCAAAGGGAACCCTTTCCCTAGACTAGGCTTGTGCAAGCCCAGGATGACGAATTGGAGACTTTGGAAGTGGTTGGAGGCCTAGAGAGGTGTGCAAGGTAAGTTTCAAACTTTGGCTTACGTGTAAGCCGGTTCGGGCTCTTGCTCCGTCCCAATCTCTCAACCCTACAGACTTCCAATTACGAAAGCACCCTGCCTTCGTTTTGGGGCCACTGCTTTCAGTCGCGGCTGGGTTCTTCGGGTTTTGGGCTTTTGGGGCTCAAGACGGGTTCAGTATTTAGGATGGTTTTAGGGTGCGGAAGTAGATAAGGAAAATTTAAGGTGTATTTCTGGGACTTTTTTGTTAGGCCTCGTACGCATTCCAAATCGTGAACGACCCCTCGATGTTTCCAGGTGGCCCTATCGCTCTCGCCTAGAAACCGTGCACATTCCAAATCGTGAACGATAAGCACCCCAGTGTTTCCGCGTGGCCCTGTCGCACTCGCCTAAGCACTGTGCGCAGGCCCAATCGTGGACGACCCCCTCCATGTTTCGGGGTAGTGCTGTGCAAAGCTCCACATCGAGCAGTTTGCATGCGAAAAACCCGAGTTTGTGCTTTCACATGAAAAACCATGGTTGCAGTGTGCTTTCGTACGAAAGAGCACAGTCTTTTGTGCTGCGCACAGCTAAACATCGATCTGTTTTGTGCCGCGAAAACCAGTTTTCGTGTGCTTTTATATGAAAACAACATGGTTTTGTTTCATACGAAAAGCCAAAATTTTTGTGCTGCACAGAACTAAACATCAAGCTGTTGTCATACGAAAAACCATAGTTCTTGAATGCTTTCATATGGAAAAATTACGCCGTTGGTGTGTTTTCATATGAAAACCACAGCTTTTGCGCTGCGCTGAGCTACACATCGTGTTCTGGCCGCAGCCCCGTATGCTTTCATATGAGAAACCATGAAAATGCATCGCTCAGCCCATCCGTGCCCAACAGTGAGTCTGTGTGAAGCGGCCGTTTCGCAGCCGAAGCAGCAAGGGCAAAGTAAACAAGCGGGGCTTTGCCCGCAGAAGCTTCGGCCTTCTTTCCGGGCCGGAGGGTGGGCCACACAAAGCTGCGGAGCTTTCGCTTCAGCAGTTTCATGGTCTGCATGAAAATGCATCGCTCAGCCCATCCGCGCCCATTTTCCTTCTCGGCACACCTGAAGAGTGAGTGTGTGAAGCGGCCGTTTCGCAGCCGAAGCAGCAAGGGCAAAGTGAACAAGCGGGGGTTTGTCAAAAAGCTCGTAGCCCAGAAGCTTCGGCCCTCTTCAGGTTGCAGCCGCAGATAGCGTTTTCGGCAAAAACTGGCGCTGCTCTCATGGCCGTAGCCCGGCTACAGCCCCATCTCAGGAACAACGAGCTGCTAGGACTTCGAAGAGAGAAATCGCGGATTGAACCAAGTCCTTGGTCCTTGGAGCAAGCTGCAAGTAGACGGAGTCCGCACCCACCTCCTGCAAATAGTGCTGGAGCGTGATCAGATTAGAAAGTCTCATGGTTCTGCCGGGCTGGAAGAGGAGGAAGAGTGACTGGCACTAGGCTAGGTGACCCACGGCACGGAGGCTCATCCAGAGGCAGATCGCCAAGGACTTTCTGACAAAGCTCCGCGATGAGCAGGTTCTGGATCTTGATGTGCTGGGTCATGCCGAGGCCACGATACCTGTTCTTGGGCTTGACAACCTCAGCAACCAGGCCTCTGGGCGACAACAAGTCTCGCCTCCGAGCTTGCAGCACCCCGCCTCTAATGCCACTCGAACCTTGTCATCTGAAGTCAAGGCAGGATCACTCGGCGAGGTCTGACGCCTCGGAGGATCAAGACGCAAACTTCTAGGCCTTGGGCCAGCGGGCCCGGCCACGTAGCCTCTTGAAGACGGCATCGCCATTGTAGCTGCTTGGAGAAATCAGAACAGCCCCCAACTAGAAGAAGGTCCAGTGGATCCCCGTGGAAACGTCCAAAGCAGGCTACTTGGGTAAAGCTTGGCTTAGCGCAGTCACTCGGTCTGCCGATTGTTTCCTTGCTCCACACGCAAGTCCCGGATCACGGTGCAGTCGATCCCAATTGGTTCGGTACTCAAGAGCCTGCGAAACCTGCTGCGCAGCTGCAGTACGTTACAAGCACTAGGGCGGGTTTGTTGCCTTCGGCTAATAGCTCAGCTACACAAACTGCTAGCTACGACCTACGTTCGAGAGGTCTACAACCGTGAAGCTGTACAAAAGCAAGAGCAAACCACATGCAATTGCTACGTCACTGCATCACACGCTACAATGATGCTTGCTGCAAAATGCAACCTACACAACGCACGAAGCGAGGGGACATGTCTCTATCTCACAAGCACAGCCGCTTGCAGTGGAGCAGTTGTAGTAGCAGTAGCAGTAGCAGTAGCAGTAGCAGTAGCAGTAGCAGTAGCAGTAGCAGTCGCAGTAGAATTAATAACAGTAGTAGAGTAGTAGTAATAATACTAATAATAGTGCTAGTAGGCCATCGTATAATAATAGTAGTAGCAGTAGCAGTAGCAGTAGCAGTAGCAGTAGCAGTAGCAGTAGCAGTAGCAGTAGCAGTAGCAGTAGCAGTAGCAGTAGCAGTAGCAGTAGCAGTAGCAGTAGCAGTAGCAGTAGCGTCAGTAGCTTAGAAGTAAGTAGTAGTAGTAGTAGTAGTAGTAGCAGTAGTAAGTAAGTAGTGTAGTTTAGTAGAGTAGTAGTAGTATAGTAGTAGTAGTAGTAGTAGTAGTAGTAGTAGGAGAAGTAGTAGTAGTAGTAGTAGTTAGTAGTAGTAGTAGTAGTAGTAGAAGTGTAGTAGTAGTAGTAGCAGTAGTAGTAGGTAGAGTAGTAGTAGTAGAGTAGTAGAGTAGTAGTAGTAGTAGTAGTAGTAGTAGTAGTAGTAGTAGTAGTAGTAGTAGTAGTAGAGTAGTAGTAGTAGTAGTAGTAGTAGTCCAGTAGTAGTAGCAGTAGTGGGCAAAGTAAGTAGTAGTGATGTAATAGTGATAGCAGTAGCAGTAGCAGTAGTAGTAGTCGTAGAAGTAGTAGTAGTAGTAGTAGTAATAGTAGGGTGAGGTAGTAGTAGTAGTAGTAGTAGTGTAGTAGTAGTAGTAGTAGTAGTAGTAGTAGTAGTAGTAGTAGTAGTAGAGTAGTAAGTAGTAAGTAGTAGCGTAGTCGTAAGTAGTAGTAGTAGTTAGTAGTAGTAGTTTGTAGTAGTAGTAGTAGTAGTAGTAGTAGAGTACAGTAGCAGTAATAGTAGTAGTAATAGTAGTAGTAATAGTAGCAGCAGTAAAACTAGTAGTACTTGTAGTAGTAGTAGAAGTTGTCGTAGTAGTAAGTAGCAGTAGCAGTTGTCGTGGTCGTAGAAGGTGCGTGTCTACTGGGACGCAGTGAGTGCCTTTAGGGCCCTTCATTGTTTTTTGCTAAATAAAGAAAGCACATGCCAACACCAAAACCAAACACACACCAACCACACACCAACACACAACACACATGCACACACCATACACACAACACACACAGACACACACACACACACGACAAGAGATTTTCTTGAAGATTTGTTTTATCTTGCCTGTTTTCTGAGATTTTTAAGATTGTCTTTCGAGCAGCGGCTCAGATCCGCAATCTGTCGCAAAAAATTGCAAAAAGTCTTCTAGAGTCTTGCAGATCTCAAGGCATCTTGAAAAAACAATACGGCACAAATCCAGCAAAACAGGTCTACGTGCAAACAAAGCAAAAGTACCATTGCAAAAATAGCAAACAAACGCAAAACAACGCAAATGTCCAAAATCTTCTGTAAACAAGAAAAAACATTTAGAGCTGCTAAAAGACAACCGTATGAAAGTGGCCTCCAAAGTAAGACTAAACCTACAATGCTGAAACCCTCCACCTTAAATTCTGCAAGCCTATACATGCCTCTTCCTTGCCCTCTCATAAATTCTAGAATTCCTAGCATTCAAGTTTAACATTCTTAACGTCTGGTGTGTGGAGTTGGAAAAAGACGGTCATTAGCAGGAAGGCCTCAAGCCAACAAAAAAAAAAAAAAACAGGAAATTTATTCTGATGAATCCTTGGCCTACCCAAAACTGCTTCCTCAAAAGAAAGGGTCATTCTTTATCAAATCAAAAGAAAACAAACACAAAGCCAGACCACACTGCCTTTGGTCTGTTTTTTTTTGAAAAATTGGGCTTGGAATCGATTTTTGAGTGTAAACTTTCAAATCAAAACTGGGGCTTAAGACATCCGATCCAAGTGAAAAAAATAATCTTTTTTTGAAGGCAAAGAGGTGTCTGCAAGTCCAAGTCTAACCCAACACTGCAACAAGTCAAAATTTTTACACTTAAAAGAAAAGGTCTCTGAACATTTGCCCAGCAAAAGATCTCACCACTTCGATCCAACAGAAAAGGTCTCTTGACATTTGCCAGCAAAAAAGGTCCAACCAAAACAACCAGGCACTCTGAAAGGCAGCTGAGCGCTCTCTTGCCTCAAGCAGCTCCTCGGCCACAGCTAGCGTATTTGCGCCGTGTCTGCCACGTCGGAGCCTGATTTGTTGGCCGAAAAAGTGCCCAGACAGAGTCCGTAGGTCCATGTTTATGCTTCCGGTGTCGCAGCTCTTCGCAACTCGCTCAGCGAAGTACTCAGTGGGAGGTTGCCGAGGTCTTCAAGGCCGATTTTTGGGAGGCTTCACATTCGTTGCGGCGCAGGCGCGGCCGGCCGGTGCGCGGCCGGAGGTGTCTGAGCTCATCCGTGCGCTGCTTAGTGGCCTAGCTATGGTTGTAGCAACAGCTATGCGCGCTTTGGGTGCAAGAAACCATGCCTTCAGTCAGGTCCTTGGGTTGAGTCTGACATGAAGGCAGGAAGTCAGTCTTGTTCTGTAGCAAGTTGTAACGTGGACGGTGAA